ATTCTAAGCCAGTTTTCATCTGCAAGCATGCCAGAAGAAGAGGAGGAAGAGGAAGAAAACTATGAGTCTCTTCCACAGATATCTATAACAGATGCTTTGGAGAGTCTATATAAACTCCGGCTTTTCGAGGAGCAGCAGGTGGATGGAAATAAGGCCTTAATCCAGCAACTTCTCTTCCATGAGAGGACCCTTTTGAGAAAGAAGGTTAGCAGACAGCAGCAGAGTGATATACGAGACTTCTTTTGTAATTAGATGACGTCTATATATATATTTATGGCAACAAGCTCGTATAATCCGATATAAGCAATACTCCGTTATAAGCAATTTCCGCGACCTGCCGAAATAGTTGCTTATAACGGGGTTTTACAGTATACCTCTCTTGTCCAGCTAGTCCTCTCCATACAGACCTCGTTAGTCCGAATTATCGATGATTCCAGATCTTCCTCTGGATGTGGCAGTAAGAGAGTATAGTACCTGGCACCAATCATGAGTGGACTCTCAGATGTTAAAGGACAACATTGAAAAGGCTCGTGACGTTGCAATTACAAATGGCCTCGATCTCAAGCAGATAGCGAAGGATGAAGACCCAGACTTCTTCATAAAACACGGGGTCATAGTTGGCGTGGCCCGTCGCTTTGTTGATGATATCCGTGAATGGTCAGGCAATTGGGAGCCTGCTGTCTAGTTAATTTACATTGCACATATGATTTCACTCTTTACATGCATTTCCTGTTTACATGAGTCCTTAGTTCAGTCATTTGAAGCACCAACTACGATTTTCTGTGTGTCTATAGCGGGTAATAAACATTAAAAGAACACAACGAGCGTGCTTCAGTGGTAAATTTGAAGTATGATCCGGTTATATTATATTATGCGTGACTCATAAATCAGCTCACATCTAATAGATCTTGAGGCCCTGAGACCCGAATGCAAAATTGGCCATGCAATCCAATGATGAAGATGGGTAATTTTGATATCAATTATGTCGTCTATGGTACTCCAAATCATATACCATGTGGGTCCCATCACGGTCGTGGACGCATATATATCCTACTTGCCCAGGCCCCAAGATGACATTATGCTTCCTAGTCATATACTGTACTTACTATCCAATAAACGTATATATATTTGGATTGGATCTAAAGGTTCCCTACTCAGGGAAGTGAGTGGTCGCAGGGCGACTTGTTCCAATAAACCCTCTCTTAAGTAGTAAATGATAAATAGATATTAATTCATATATCCTCAATTGCAAGACCTGCATGTCGGAAATGGCCTCTGGCGCTTTGTTCTCTATCACCAACAGTATCAACGCACCCTTCTAGAAAGCTATCAAAGCCTTGAGCAGGATTCTCCTCATAAGCTTCCCAGTTTCGCTTAATAAAGGCCTTCAGCTCAGCGAAGAATTCTTCAATTGGATTCAAGTCAGGTGAGTATGGTGGTAGATACACCAGTTTAACCCCTGCTCTGAAGCACATATCCTCTATTCGGTCAGAGTGATGAAAAGACGCGTTGTCCATGACAAGAACAGACTTTGGTTCGGGCCATCTTCCACAGTGTCGAAGAAGCTGTTCAACAAAATCCTCAAACATGTAAGCATCAGTTGAACCCTGAAAGATGCGAGAGAGCATTATTCCATCTTGGGTATACGCTGGCAAGATCTGGTAGCGTTTATCACGATGGAATTTGGATACCTGGACTGGTGCCACACCAAATGGTGACCACCCAGCTCTTCTGAACCTCGCCCGTTTATCGCATCCAGACTCATCCACAAACACCAGCTGATATGAATGAAACTCAGAAATGTAATGAATATATTCATCTCGCAAGTCCTGATTTCGCTCTTTTGCCTTTTGACGGAATGTCTTTTTCGACCAACCGATTGATGCGAGAGTCTTCCTAAGACAGCAAGCACTCACATGTATGTCGAATTCATCCCATAAGAAGACTGCCATTTCATCGATATATAATGTAGGTTTCTCCAAAAGGCGATCACAAAGCGCTTCCAGCATGGAGGGTGTGATGAGACGTCGTCGTCCAGCATGAATTGGTGGAGCTCTGGCACTATCAAAGTGCTTGAGGTTAGAGTGAATATAATAGACTGCCTGTCGGCTACACTTAGCAATACTAGCAATATAAGATATCTTTTCACCGCAGCTTAACATATCGCAGATAAGTTGAATTCTTGATGGTTCAAGCCTCGGCGTCATTTTGTGTTTCTATTAATGTCGTCGACATTTGATCCTGTTAGGAGATGGAGGAGAGAGCGAGCGTAGGTAGAGAGGGGTGCTAGGCTGTCTAGGCGGTACTAGTTAGTTAATTTAAACGCATAGTTATAAATCCATTGACTGTCCCATACCGTACAAGTAACATTACAAATATGTAGTTTTCTGAGCCCAACTATATATAGTCTAGCACCTCTTGGCATGTCTTTAAACTTGAGCAAAGAGTATTCGGGTTGTCAAGCTGATTTAGCCGCCTATTGTAATGTTCAAATGAATGTTGCTGTAGTCAGTCATTGATTTGTTTTACGGTCCCGTAGGCATCTTCGCACCAAAAAGAAAGATAAAGAAACGTCATGGATAGTGATAGGCGAAAGGCAACATACAGAAAAACAGGCTGCCCTCAATAGAGCCTGTCAGGGAGTCTATAACAATCCTCGCAGACATTCTCCTCTCTTTCTTCTCCATCTACCCCCAAGCATCTATCTATCACATATCCATTTTGAATACATACTCGCATACTTCGCTTACCCAAAAACAAATATAAAATGTACACCCTCGACTACCACATGAACTTCACCGACAAAATTATCGCCACCGGAGACAAACGCTACGTCGTCGAAGAGCAGCTAAACGAAGTCATCAACCCCCAGCTCGCCCAATGCCACGTCCTAACTCTAGCATACGACATGGAAACTTCGAATCCGGTTATGATAAAGATTCGCTACGAGTAAGCCCACCTCCCTTTTCCCCATGTATGTTTCAAAAAAAAAAAAAAAAAAAAAAAAAAAAAAAAAAAAAAAAAACTTCACTAACAGATACCAGCCTAAACCCTTCACCCTTCGACATCTCCAACCCCTCAAGCCACAGAGAGATAATCGATGAAGACTTCCTTGACGAAGTCAAAGGTATCTGGTACCTTAGCCTGCTCGGCCATGGACCACGGTATATCACGCATGTCACTGTCGGTGCGGGGCCGGAGTTCCCGTCTCTTGAGGGACAGGTGTGTGTGTGTGTGTGTGTGTGTGTGTGTTGGTTACGGATAGGGTTCCGGGGGGGAATTGGATGTTATTCGGGGGAGGTTGTCTTATGGGCAGGTTGAGAGTATTGGAGTGCAGCTTGGGTATATTCTTGAGTATGTTGCTCCGTCCCGGGAAGAGACACGCTTGGTGGGTGGTGTGGTGTATGGCTAACCAAGGTGATAGGAAACTGGGACGGATGAACATTCTCTTGTACGAGCAGGATCCGAATTGCCTACGGTTTGATGTCGCGAATGACAAACTGTGAGTACCCTCCCCTCTTATCCTTAACTTATCTGATCGCATTCCCACTAACACAAACCAAGGTACTTCACCGACCTATCTTACATGTGCTTCGGCCATCCCAAGGATACCAGTGCCAAAAGACCGACGAACTGTGGACTGCGTTCAATAACTCGCGGATCGGCTAGTGAAACATACCGAACCTGCAGGGTCCGGCGGCATCCAGGAATGGGCTGTGGACCGGGACAGGAAGGTGGGGATGTTGAGGTTGGACGAAAAGGGTGTTTTTTGTTATTGAGTTTGGGTTGATTGATTGAGTGATTGAGTGGTTTGGTACGTGGCATGCTTGTGTCTGCGTGCGTGTTTTTCTCTTTCGGTCTGGGTGGTTTGAGAGGAAATACAAGTCTTCTGTTACAATACTTTGGTTTCATTACTACTGTAGAACTAAGGCAAACTTAAGACCTAGTAAGGGGTAGGAGTAGGATGATAAAGGTTCGACAAGATCTAATACTCAAAATCAAAAAACTTGGTATCACATTTTCAAATATGGTATGTACAAATAATCCGGGCACCTGTAGCTTATCCAGAAGCAAGACTTGTAAGAACTTCCGGGTATGGAGTAGCCCACTCGCATCATGATTCATATTCTCGTGCCTCATTAGAATCCACCAGGCAAGGTCAGAAACAAAAAACTAAGAAAAGAAAAGGTATAATTCCAAAAATCAAATCAAATCAACGGCATATCAACCATATTCTCATAATCGATATTCTCATCATTGCACTCAACCCGATCAGCACAGGTCCCAAAAATACGGTCCCAAAGCCTCGTTTGCTTCCCATAGTTGTGGCTCTTCCTCCATCCCTTTCGGTGGTGGATATCATGGTCTTCAATGACCAATTCTGCGTCGAAAAGCTTAAGGAACCACGAGAGCGTCGATGGCGGGATCGCATGCAAACGAAGACCACTGTGCCCAGCGAGCTCGGCAAACATGACGTACATATGGCAGAACCACCACTCGTAGAAACCCATGGGCAGGCCCACGGCCTTGAGAGTGAAGTATGTCATCAGCGGGATACCCGCGATGTCGAAGAACTCCTGTTCGTGGTCCGCGTAGAGGGTGAGAAGTGGGTTGGGGTGCTTGGTGAGGTGGTGCGTGCGGTGGTACTGCCAGAGGCCGTTCACGTCATGCATCAACCGGTGGTACCAGTAGAACCAGAAGTCGAGGATGATGCCGTAGAGACCGATCTCGAGAGGGAGCCAGAACCAGCTGATGGTGTCTGGGGTCAGGCTGGTGCGGTAGCTGAGGAAGACGGACATCATGGGACGGAAGGTAGCTGTCGAGACGAGCGAATGCACGACCTTTGCCACGCCGACGTCCGGTACACCATCACGCTCATGCTTATCTCCGTCAAGGAAACCGTGAATATGCCCGAGGCGGCGGAGCACTTGCATCTCGTGGATGGCGGTTAGCTTGAACGCGAGCATGTAGAAGATAAATGCGGCGATCGGGCCCAGATTGTTCCCTGTGAGCTTGACGTATGCATGGTGAATGGCGAGCGGGATGAACGAATGGACGAGGACCCAGCGGTGGAGCTTCCAGTCGCGGACGTGAGGCACTTTGTCTTGCTTGGAGTGGACGGGCACTTCCTTGTCGAGGGCTGTTGGGTGGATGCCCAGTACTTCGTAGAACCAGTGGAATATGGTCCAGTCGCCACGATCAGTGCGGCGCCAGGTCGATTTCATCGAGTCCTTGGGGTTGCGTTTTGCCTCCATGGTGGAGTATACTTTGAATGTGTCTTCGAGTTGTAGTGCAATGCAGACAGGCTATCGTCTTAAGTAGAGTGGAGGAGCGAAGTGAGGTCAAGTCCAGGCTTTAATATATCCCCATATCGGCCCTAGTTTCGGTCCTCCCAGACGCATGTGAAGAGAAAAAACTGAAAAAGAAAAGATAAAAAAAAAAAAAAGATAAAACAGTGCCTGGCTACACCCAAATCAAGCATCTCTGCGCGCCTCCAGACTCTTTAACCAACCCACAACCACTTCCCTCCCCAGACACCATGCAGATCGTCCTCTCCCCAAACACGAATAACATCCCCCTGACCCAACAATGTTGGGGACCGAGAAAAACCCATGGACCACTCAAAAGCAGACCCAAAAAACAGTCACCCAAACTTTGAATCTAAACGCCTTGGCCACCAACACATAGCGAACACAGTTAGGCACATATGACGTTGGCGAACTGCATACTATATCGGATCGGAATTGGCTGCAAACTCATTATTCATTCGCCTTTTCTGTCAGGTTCGCTCCGGTTCAAGAATGACTTCAACTCTTTCGGGGCCGATCCGCGGGATCATATCATGGTTGCCCGAATGGGAAAGGCTTGCGAGGCTCAAAATAAACTGTGATCACATGACTGTCGCGTGAGTCACGTGAGGGATACGGTACTATGACTATGAGACCAATCATGATTTATTGCTGCATGAACAGGTTGACGGCTTTACTTGAGTCATGGGCTTTTGTGTCATATGGCTGTAGGCAGCCGGGTTGATTTGTTGGGATCACATGTGGTTTCGATGTCCGGCGTATGGATCACGGATCACGGAGTCCTAGGGTTAACGCGTGTTCGAGACAATTGTATTCTATGATCTATTATTTTCCATCTTGATAAAGAATTATCTGTCTGTTATATTACAGGAAGTTATACAATGTACATAGGCTACGGGTACAGATCACGCACGACAGACTACGGGCCGTATGTGAATCGCCGGCATATTCGTATCTGAGTGATTATTAAACATGAAAGAGACGCAGGAAAGAAAGCTACCGAGGCTCAAGAGTAGAAAGTAAAGCGTTCGCCGAATGTGTTGTGAGGCTGTATTGCCAACTCATCGCCGAATGGTCTGCTTATCGGCCAAATCACTATACATCGGACTGAGGTAACTATCATTCATAATACAGAAGAACACCGAGTATGTAGAATAAATTGAATTGCATCAAAATCCATCCTTAACGCCTCGGGGAATCCAAAAAGCTATGCAATGCTAAAATACAAAACCAACCCAAACCAAGCTAACCAACGTTATGCAATGCTATGCTATGCAACAAAAATCAAATCCAAAACATCAACACCAACACCGAAAGGATCACTGAGAGTTTTTTTTAGGCGAGGCTGTCTCCTTGGGAGAGCCGTTTGTCTGTGTAGCCTTATCCTTAGCCGTAGCAGTAGTAGCAGTGGTAGCGGTAGCTGTAGCTTGCTTGTTGCCGCTCTTCTTATCGTTGTTGCCGTCCTTGCTAGCAACGGGCCATCCGTTGTCGTACTCGAGGTAGTTCCAGCCCAGCTGAGCTTGGGCGTGCTCGAAGCCAACTCTGGTGTCCACTGGAGAGAATGTTAGCGTTTGTATTGATATTCTTTGCAAATGGGTCAACTTACAGAAGTGATAGTAGAGAACATCGCGGCGCTGGTCGTTACCAGGGAGAACACCCAGACCACCAGGAGCGTAGGTAAGACCGTGGTTGGAAGCGTAGACAGTGGTACCGCCGCCGTTGCGGAGGTCGTTGTCCTTCTTGTCCTTGAAGGGTCCGCTGACGTTCTTGGAGCGGCCGACGCGGATGTGGTACTCGTCGCCCTTCTTGGGGAATCCTTTCTCAAAGTCGCAGCACTTGCCCTGGCTAAACCACATGTAGTAGTAGCCGTCGTGGAAGCTCATCCAGGATCCTTCCTCGGGTCTGTCCTTGCGGTTCGGCATGAAGGTGAGCTGCGTGGCCTTGAGGTTCTCGATCCCCTTGACCTGGTTCTTCTTGTTGTCCTTGCCCTTCTTCTGGGTAACCTCAATAGTAGTGTTCGTGTCGTGCTTCACAGACAGCAGGTCATCCTCCAACTCGACCTGCCAGAGGTTGTGCCAGTAGCTGCCGTAGTTCAAGTACGGGGTCTTGGTCTTCTGGTCAACAACGAAGGACGGGTCAATCGCGTTGGTCAGATTGTAAGGCGAACCCTGATTGTCATTGCCAGTCACGATCAGACTGCCATGGTCCGTCCAGGAGCCCTTAGCAATGTCCTCAGTCGAAGCAACACCAATAGCACTCTTCTGGCTGCCAGCCTGACTGAGCGAGTAGAAGCAGTAGAACTTGCCCTTGTACTCAACAGTCGTAGGAGCCCAGGGACGAGTTGCATTCTGGCGGTCGGGAATGATGCTGTCCTTGGAGAGGACAGTTCCGACTTTCTCCCAGGGACCGCTCAGGTCGGTGGCCTTGTAGTAGGGGATGTGCACGCCGCCCTTGAACATGTAGAAGGTGTTGTCGTGTTCGAGGATGTTGGGATCGTGGGCTGAGATGTTGCCGGCGTTGGGCATGGGGTATGCATCAGTGTGGTCGAATACTGATGCCGGGTTCGCGACTTTGAGGTTGGGGGAAATCTGCACGGCGGGAGGGAGGGCCATGACCCACTGGCAGAGGATTGCCAGAGGCAGGAGATAGGCGGAGAGGGAAAGCATTTAGACTGAGTTCCAAGCTGAAGAAATAAAAAGGTAATAGAGGATATAGGATGTAGAATAGTTCTGATGTTATAGTATTGTTGTTGTGTTTGTCTGCTGAAGAGAACATTCTCCTTGCAGGACTCGAGCCATACTTATATCCATTTCGACAAGACAGCTTCTGCAATGAACCTACCAAGGCCGACTGCTATACAGACTGCTGAGGCTGACCCTGTTCATGCAGGTGTCGTTTTTTGCTTCTGCTGACACTCAGGGTTATGGCCCATCGCATCGCAGCCTTTGGGGGCCAAGCACAGCCCACGCTAACAACGTCCACCACTAGCAGCACCCGTATAAGCCCAATCCGCCATAATGGGACCAGTACCCAACCGTCGCATGTTCCTTGAGGCTCTCATGGTCAAGTTCCCCACAGGGATAAAAGAAAGGAATCGTATTGAGTGCGTTGTCGATGTCGGTTTGCTGTTGTCGATAAGGCTTACCACACCGCCCCAGGCAGGGTCCAGGGCATAGGATCCAATAACAGTATTCCGAATACGGTTTTTTCGCTAAATATTGCAATATTGCACTTGGGTTACATTCGTATTGGGAAGCGAACTAGGATTTATCGCTTATTATTCTTGGTATCTGAGTTGTACAAGAAGGGGTGCTGCTAGGGATACGAGATGTCAATGCGGTCAGCATTGGCGGAGATAAAAAACTCTACTACAGTTATGATGTGAGATTTGTCGAGAACCAAAATGAATATTATCCAAGTAGAGCGTACAGTAACTCGTCGCAAACAAATCTGAATTATTATTGAAATCTCAACCATTGTGTACCTGCATAGCGAGATCCAGCATAGCCGACTGTCACTTCCATTCCAGGCTGTACAGCCATGAGTATGAATATAATTAGATATAAAGTTGGCCCTGATTGCGGCTCAGGATTTTCAGGATCCGCACCGATCAATCACTGCTGAAACAAAAGACTGCCTTGTGAGACGAACAGGTGTACCTGCCTCAGGCAGCGAGGCACAAGGCGTCCTGCCATTTTGCTTGACCCACAACCTTATTTCTGTGCGACATTTTATTGGTCGGTATATTTGGGTGTGTCTATTAATATCGCACGGCTTTTTTCTACTCTGTACAGAGTACACAGAGGCTGTTTTTTTTTTAATTGTATCTCAATTACTGTCATCGACTCTTTTGTATCTTGATATAGGGTGAAAATTGGCAAAAATAAAAATAAAAAAGACCAAGAGGCTAAAATAACGAGGCACACTCCAACTCCAAACGAGCGAAAATTAAATCAAGAAACGCGAATTCTGGCATCATGAAGAAAAATTAGCACACTTTACCCATCACAAAACAACAAAAGTCTCATCAACCTTACCTCTTATATCATCAAACCTGCCTCCCCGCATCAACCGAATACTGCGTCGGATACTGCGTCGGATACTGCACCGGATAAACAACAGCCTCCGGCTTCTGAACCGGAGCAAACGGCGACGACGGCTGCGGCCCAGTCCCCCATTGTGTGATCGGAGGTGGTTGGAACCCGTATTGGGAACTCTCAAGCGCTTTGTCTTCCTTCTTGCGGTTTCGATGACGGATGAACATGTAGATAGCGATGCCGATGATGAGGGCAAATAGGGCGAGAGGGATGAGGATTGCTTTGAGGAGGACTTTTACGAGGCCCATTTTGGTAAGCCCGAGACCGTTGGGATGTGCTGATGCCGAGGAATGGGAGGGTGGGCATGGTGTAGTCTTCTATTTAACCACGATCATCGAGTGCAGGGTAATTCTGGTGCCTTGTGTGATGGCCTGTCAGTCCATCACAAAGCTTGACTTGCTTTGAGTACACCCGGGATGGGATCCCTGCTAGTCCGTCTTTGCGACACCTGCGCGCTTAACATTCATCTCGGATTCGACGTGATAATATCCCCGATAGCAACCAAGTGGACCTCCCTGCAACCCGGTCACATTAACTGCTGGTTGTGTCACATCTGTGAGCGCTTCTGGCACGGCTCGATGTGCCGGGGCCAATTAGGACTGCTGAATATTTCGTAGATCGCGATAGATAACGACGTAGGGCTGTAGGGCGGCCAATGAATAGCGAGAAAACGTGCTGCCTGCTCGTGGTATGTGCTGAAAATTCACTGTGATTGGCTGGTTGTCCGGGTCTGCATATGCCATGTTTATCATCTCGTTTTGCACGACAAAGGTCACGGAAATGGCGATTTGAGGCCAGAATCCTATTTTCAGTTAGATTATCATCATTCTTGTCCATAACATATCAATTGATTTCCTTTTACCGTCTCAAAACAGCACCGTGTATCACGTGATACCCCGCGCCATGACATCCGACATCCGGCACCGAAGCTCTGGACTCATCCCCAGACCAGATCTAAAATGACAAACCCAGCAGCCCATCCTCCAGAGAAAAGCTGGATAGTGAGCCAGTTTGAGGGACGGTGCGTACACCTCCCCCCCCCATCATCACCCCTGCCCCCGGACTCCGCAGCTGATATATATATATATTCACAGAGCACCGGAAACCCACGGCATAAGCTGGTCCAAAATATGGGATGTGGGAAAGTCCGACCTCTGGGATAGAGGACAGACCTCCCCGGCCCTTGTCGATATAATTGAGAAGTATCAGAAACCGGGTGAGATGTTTCATCCATTTGCTGCTGATGGGCGGCGGAAGAGGGTTCTTGTTCCGGTATTTATCACCTGTTTCTACTCTTTGAAAGTGTGGATGAAGTATTCTGATGCATGGGCAGGGATGCGGACGCGGCTATGATGTGGTCATGCTAGCTTTGCATGGATTCGATGCGTACGGCCTTGATATCTCCGCGACGGGCGTTGCGGCGGCGGAAGCATTTGCGTCGAAGGAACTGCAGAGTCCCGGGGCTGTTAATTTCGGACCTAACCATGGCAACAAGGAGAACCAGTCCCGGGGGAATGTGAAGTTCCTAGAGGGCAATTTCTTTGCACCGGAATGGGAGATTGAAGCTGGTGGGAAGTTTGATCTGATTTATGATTATACCGTATGTCCCCTTCTCTCCCTAATACAGATGAGAGAGTAACCTGACTTATACGGTCATAGTTCCTCTGCGCTCTGCACCCCACAATGCGCAAAAACTGGGCAGTCCGGATGGCATCGCTTCTCGAAAAGGACGGTCTCCTCACCTGTCTCGAGTTCCCTATGTACAAGGATCGCACACTCCCTGGTCCGCCATGGGGGTTGAATGGCGTTCATTGGAACTTGCTCGCTAAGGGGGGTGATGGAATTGACATTGACAACGCAACAGGCACCAGAAAAGAAGGTGAGGGATCTTTCAACCGGATTCTATATGTGCAGCCCGAACGCACACATGAAGCCGGGCAGGGCACGGATATGTTGAGTGTGTACCAGCGAAAGTAGCCTCGTAGCTCATTACCCGATCGAATAGAAATAAACCCCTAGAAAAAAAAGAGAAACAAAAAGCAAAAAGAAATGACAAGAGTGGGATTCGAACCCACGCCCCCTGTCGGAGATCAGGAAACTTCACAGGAAGTTGTGTGTTAAGGTAACCTTAACCTGACGCCTTGGACCGCTCGGCCATCTTGCCCTTGATGAATATTATTGTGTTATTGTTGGTTACACAATCCTGACAATTCATGCTTGTTGCACAGACCATTTACCCCGCAATCCAGCGCGTGGTCTGTAGGTCACCCATGCGAGGCCGGGATGCCTTTTTATTTCCCTTTACGGAGTATTTTTGCAAATTGGAAGGATCAGAGGCGCTCTCGTAATAAAGCAAGCTTGGCTATTGTGTAAATCACTATTCACAATACACTCATGACCTCATAACTCATAACTCGTACCCTATCAGACCTTCTCAGCTCGCTCAACCCTTTCCTCCGTCTCCTTCTCCGTCTCATTGTGCTCAATTCCCCCTTCCAAATCAATTTCCTTGCGCGGCGCAGAGTCATCTACACCTGTTACAGCCGACTCGAAGCGCCGACCGCGCTGCTCAGGACCAAATGCAGCAGTCACCGCGATTCCCACCGCAATAATTGCGGTCGCGATGCCCATTGTAGGACCGTAGGCTGGGGCCAGTGCTCCGGACGGCGCTTTAACGCTAGTTGCCTCAGCAATGGCGTTGACGATTTGTGCGGAGGGAGAGGAGATCATGTTTCCGATTTGGTATGAAAGACCTGGGTATGGTTAGATGCTTTCTGTGTATAAAATGAAATTTAGAGGCACATACCAGGGAATGTTGAGCGGAATGCGGGCGGCGAAAGCTCGTTCAAATGAATCGGAATGACACCCCATGCACCCTGGATGAAGAACTGGATGAAGAATCCCGTTGCACTCAGAGCTCTCTCGCCGTGTGGCAGGATCCACGCTGGGATGAGAACACCAGAGATCAACGTTGAGATGATAATCGCTCGACGACGACCGAAGAATTGCGACAGGTAGCCGATGATGGTTCCACCGACGCAAGCACCGGTCTTCATGAGGATAGATGCGCGAGACGCGGGTCCGTTATCCAATTCTTTCTGCTCGAGCATAAAGGTTGTATACGAGTCTTGAGAGGTGTGGGAGTAGTAGTTGAACTGAGGAGCATTAGCCTTTATTCTTCTTCTTGTTGGGGATTATAACCTACCCATGTCATTAGAAAGATGCAGTAAACACACATCTTCCACTGCTTTCGTAGCATATCCTTGACCTCTTTCCAAAAAGCTTTGGGGTCGGACTTTCTCCCAGACTTTTTGGCTTCGAGGAACTGTTGGGACTCGGGGAAGAAAATACGGACGATACCCACTCCGATGGAGATACCAGCTAGATGACAAGGCTGTTAGAGATGATGCAATTCTCCCTTTTTTTTTTTTTTTTTTTTTTTTTTTTTTTTTTTGAATGGAGGACTAACCTGCAATCCAAAAGACTGTCTTCCAAGAATCAGTAGCACCACCCACGCCCAAGTTGGCACATGCCGCAAACACATATCCAAGCGAGTAGCCTTGCTGCAAAATTCCCGACATAAGACCACGGGCGTTGACCCTATTCAGTCAGCGTAGGAAAATATTTTCTGAACAGGAGTGTACGTACGGACAATGTTCCAAGGCCATGGCAATGGCATTTCCATACACACCACCCATGAACAGACCAAACAGACTGCGCACGGCAAGGAACTGCTGGAAGGTGTGACTGTAGATAGTGGCAATTTGAAGCACGCCCAATACAATCATGTTTACCACCATGGGCCATTTCCGGCCAAACTGGTCACCAGCTAAGCCAAAACCCGCCGCTCCAATGCTTCGCAATAGCAAGGTGAGCGTAATTGCAGTCGTGATATCGGTATTGGTACGGTCGTAGTATTTGGCCAACTTTGTAGTCTGGATGGACAGAGCATGGAAGTCGAACGCATCCGCCGTCCATGCTATGAGTCCGACAAGGAAGAACAGCCAGTCACGAGCGCCCAGCTGCATAAACAGACTAATTGGGTTGACAATCGGCTCGGGATCCTGCCATTCCGCATGAGTCTCACCATATTCGTTGGTCACGACGACGCGCTGCTTCCACTTGAACAAGTCGCCCCAGGATTGTTTCGCCGTTGCCCAAATCCCATCAGGAATAGGTTCAGCTAGCTCGTTACCGGTGCTGGGATCGCTCATCTTGTTGGTTGTGAGATGCCGGGTGTCGCAGATGATAATAGAACTCGCTTCTGACCATCGACATCGACCCAGCTTTATAGGCGTACCAACTCTCCCTTCCTTTCAATTGCGGGTAGTACCAGACCCCGCTTACCAGCGATGTGATATTCGATACACTTCATGGCTCTTTGTCCATCACCGGTTTTCCCCGCGAAGTGTACGATTCCCTGTAGAACCAAGACTTCGCCAAGCGTCTCGCGACAGCGAGATGTACATGTTGACAGCACGAGCCGCAAGCGCCAAGGGCATCTTCTTTAGGCCTGGATGACATCCGGACGCCTTACTGTGGCTGGTTTCTTTGGCGCCGCGACCTTGGATCAAGGATAGAAAACATTCAGAGAGGACCGAGGCAATAGCTAAACCACCGCAAAATTTGATGGAACACAGTGCTGATATCTCACGTAAATATACCACCCAAGTCTGCGGTTAGGATATTTCTCCGCAGTTACCATCGTGGGTGGGCGTGATCTGGACGGCATAAACCGAGGTCACCCTAGCGCGTCCCCATAAGCTGACTCGGCAAAATATCAGCCTCAGCCTGTCCAATCATGGCACCAACCATTCATGACGTTTGGCTAGCCTCCCTCCGTCCGTGGACGCTTCTGGCATACAGCTCCGTGTCAACTGACCGCCAGGTGACCAATTCACGGAAAACCCCTCTAAGCGAACATAGCACCCTTCCAATAGAAAACATTTTATGTGTTTTACCCCACGGGGTCTGGCATCTGTTTTCTCCAGAAAAAAGTCAGCTAAGGTTCTCATGACACATAGTTTGGGATCGCGGAGGTGCTCAGACCCGCATTTCTTGCATTTCCCCGGAATATGTATCTCTCTCCTCCACACACGGCAACCCCGTCAACCTAACAGCTGGCTGGCTTGTCGCGTAGGGCTTGGCTTCCTAAGACTGGTCGGAGGCTTTCTTGTCAAGGCTTGACAAAGAACGCGCTGTTGGCTGTAGGACAGGTAAGGCTTGACTTGGAAGAGAAGCGGCCAGGAGAGGTCGGGGTTTGATGTGGAATACGAGGCGGCACAAAGGATGGCCACGCGAATCAAACCCCGTACCAAAAGAATTTTAATTTATTTAGCAAATGCGACATTTTCATGCTGGATGAATGGATGAAGTGGTTGTTGTTGCTGTTGTCTTGGATCGAGCTAAAAGAGGGGCACAGTCACCTGACCTGTATACTTGTATGCAGCGAGACATTTATTCCGGTCGTATTTCGTCATAGCACCGATTCCTACGAGTCCAATGTCAGTGGAAATTGAAATGCATTTGGGAGTCGACGACTATGTGCGGGACGACAGCTTTAGACGAAGGTAGTACTTCATTAAAACCGAGTACTAGTAAATCCGTATTGCCGCTCTAACTTGTCTATTGATCCCATAGTGGTAGCATTATTGATAGTCAAACGATCCGGGTCCTCCATTATGGTGTTCTCATCATACGGCGCCGTCTCGACTGACACTGGCAAAAAGGTCATGGCAGTGCGAGTACGTCGAAGCGGGTTACTCATCTGTGACGATGTAGATATTGAAGATTTATGTGTATGCTGGAACGGGCAAATAAACATGGTCCATTCTGGAAAATTTCTGTTGTCTCTATTTCAATGCATTTTCGAGCTCTCTGCTAATGAAGTCAGCCATTGTGAGAATCTTTTCCTCCTCTAACCGTCTTCCAATGAGTTGAATTCCCACTGGGGCACCGTGATACATTTCAGCATCATCTGTCAATATCAGTTAGTGCTCTACACAGTTTTAACAAGGGAACTTACACTCCGACTGGACTTGCTCATCTATATCACTGAGATACTCTATTGGATTACCAATCCTATGCACCACCTTGTCGGCATTTGTAACAGGAATAACTGCACTTGTGTAGTCCAAGACGTTCACGAAGCTAGTGTATCCGACGTGGCGATATCTCCCAGGAATCACAGCAGCATGGGGTGCCACTGGACAAATGATAGCATCGACGGGGCGCCCAGTCCCGGTCAGCTGGTCAGTGCTATTCCAGTAATCCATGTACATTTTCTGGTAGAGGCGTTTCTGTACATTCAATGCAGCTATCTCCCTGGCCTTCCAGTGCTTTCCTGTTTGTATGAAGCACTGGGGGATCTTTCCTTCACCCGACAAAGCAATTTGATCAGTCAGATCCTCGCCGCCGTCGAGGCTGTAGGCTTTATCCTATTACTTGTAAGAATTGCGCTCGAGATATTCTAGATTAAAGTAGGTAGAGACGTACTGCAATTTCGTGGCCAACCTGGCAATTTTGCGGACACCACTCTATGACCTGGTACATCGATTAGCTTTGAAGTAGAGCTGCTACCCGATCGTACCTACCTGATGACCACGATTCTTCAAAGTCTGCTCCATAAGCATGAGTGCCTGTCTCACAGGTGGATGAGGCTGCACGACGCTATCGTGACGCATAATGGCAAAGGTTAGGAGTGAAGGATCTTTAGCTGATGCCTCGATCAGACTTTGTGTCTGCATCTCAACATCATCCCTCCACGGCATCGCCAGCGCAAGGGGATCATGGAGCCAAGGCTCTTGGGAAAGAATAGCCTTGAAAAGCAGCTTCAGCGACCCGGCACTCGTCCCCATGGGCCCGACCACGGACAGGATCGTGTTTTGGCCGTCTATGGAATTCGCAGCTCCCTCATATGGCATTCGTCCCGCGGATGGACGGAGACCGAAAATACCATTGAAAGCAGCTGGAACCCGTATACTTCCTCCAATGTCGGTTCCGAATCCGGCAGGCGACCCTCGAAGCGCAATCAGTGCTCCCTCTCCGCCGGAGCTTCCCCCACAGGAAAGGTGTCGGTTTTTGGGATTCCACGTATACCCGATGATATTATTGGCGGTTTCTCCCGCCATCAGAGTAAGTGGTACGCTTGTTTTGCAGAAAACTATTGCCCCAGCGCGGCGGAGTTCACGTACGAGCTCGCTTTCAGCCATTTTAGCGCGAGGGTCGTCCCTTTTGCCTTCGAAAGTTCCGACCCAGCCCACGTAGCCCATGGTAGTCTCAACGCCCTTCACATGAAATTGGTCTTTGAGACTTACGGGAAGGCCATGCAGGGGACCCATGGGCTTTCCCGTCGCGCCGAAATACGCATCAAGCTCCTTCGCCACTTGTATGGCATCTTCGAAAAACACCTCATGCAAGCAGTTAACCTGCGAGTACAAAATAGTTAAAACATTGTTATCAAATCACGAAGTCTAATTTACATACAAGTTGATGAGCAATCGCCGCCCTGTGACAAAACGCTTCTGTCGCCTCTACCGCGCTCCAATTTCCAGAGGAGGTCTGCTTCGTTATCGTAACAGCATCGGCCTCCGTGATTTCTATCTCGCGGGGACTAAGGAAGCCCTGAATGTAGTTACCTGTGACATCGGGCAACTCGGTAGCTGGGGGGATGCATTCTCGGATTCGCCACTTCTCGGGGATCGCATCGAGGATAGCCAGGCGTTTGGCTTCGGCAACTTCCTGCCAGGACACCGTTACAGAGGCCATCTCGTGCAGGCGCTGGATGCTCGGCGGCTTGAAGATACACAGGCCCTGCTGCTTCTGAAATACTACTGCTAAAAAATGTGGAATGTGGGGCTACGGGAGTTATCCGAACTATGTACTGGGTAATACCCGAAACACTCGGTTGGACGCTTGGCAACCAGGTCTATCCATTCAGTTGTGCTCTTCGTATTCGTGAGGCAATGACGGCAAGCCTTGTTCTCTTATCTTCTTTTTCTTTTTTATCTCTTTCTCACGACCATTTTGTGAGAGGACAAGTTCTTTGCAAAAGGAGATAACAATGTAAAACCTGAGAAGGCGAAGAGACACAAGATTGAAATCTCCCCAAAATCTCTCTCTTGTTAGTATTTTATCTGCTGTCATTCTCTTTCCTTGCAAATTTGTTGTGGCACTCGAACGAACGTATACAACCACCTATTTCGTTATATTTTTGCTAGAATGCATACTTTGAACAGGGCAATTCTGCTTTTGGTTTAGGACCTAGCATTACTTGGTTTCGTTGACAGTTTCGATTATAGTCTTTGCATAAAATTGAAAAATTGGCCAAGGATTATTATCTTCGCGAAGTAGAAGAGTAGGGCAGAAAAAAAAAAAAAAAAAAAAAAAAAAAAAAAAAAAAAAAAAACAATAATGCAGTTAGAATATCCAGTTTCATGGAACAAATGCGTCCACAACGGCCGAGGTTCCATTCCGGACGACATCAATCGCTTCTTTGAGCACCGACTCCAGTTGTCCTACATCGCTAACCCGGGCCGCATGGATATTTCCATCACTTGCAGCTCTCGCAATGCCCGAATAGTCTGGACTAGGATCGAAAGAGATATTAAGGTCACGGTTATTCACCTTCGATCCGAGACCGTCTGGATGCACAAGGAGCATTGATCTTCGTGGAGCGTTCCAACCTAAAGCAAAAGGGATTAGCTGGGGTCCACTAAGCCAGTGCCTCCATGCAGGTCTGTTTTACAGAGGGGAGGGGAAGGGGCTGCTAAGGTCGTCCTTACCTTTGTTATTGAGCACGACTGTGAGAATTGGAATTTGATAACGATGAGAAATCCAGTATACGCTTGACGGAACGCTGAAAAGGAATGTACCGTCTCCCACAATCTGAACGATCATCGGCTTCTGATCTATGCCGCGAGCTGCGTTGATTGCATCTGCGGCTAGTTTGATACCGAGAGCACCACCACCGCTCCATCCCAAACCTCCTCCACCACAATTAATCCACTGGCCCGGAAGGATAGCCCGTATCTGATCTGCAGCGAGCACCGAATTGGTGACTGCCTCAGCGGCAAAAATTGTATCTCCGGGGACGAGCTCGCGAATCTTTTTGCATAGATAGGATGCATTGAAGGTATTTCCTGGGCGGAGCGCGCATTGTGTATCAATGTTTTGAATTCGATTCTGATGCTGCTCTTGGAGCGAGGTCCACCGACTTGCGAATTCCTGAGAATTCAAGGTGACCGTCAATTCCGACGATGATGAAATATAGGAACAGATCTGACGGATTGCTGTGTATGCATCAGCTGTATATCGCCGCAAGGCTGGGACATACGCCAGAGGCATCAGCCTTTTCAATGGATCAACATCAATATGGAAAACTCGAGCAGTGCTTTGAGGCTGGCACTGGGTAGGGATCCAAGGTACGTCGCAGTCGAGAATAAGAATCACATCAGCAGTCTCAATCGAGGGGTCCGACCCATATCTCATTCCAAGCCAACCAGGATGATCCGCTGGGAAGCACATATCGCAACCACCTGTGTCCAAGACGCGTAGACCCTTCACCGTATCTGCTAGATCGACTAGCGCTCCGACGCATTCGTGGTTTCGGCCGCTATAACCCGTGATAAGAAGCGGTTGCTTAGCCTGTACTAGCTCATTTGCAAGGAGCTGGACTTCAGGCTCCGGAATAGCGGCCACACTGCAGGGCTTCCAGTGCTCTGGTAGGAGAGGGTAAGGTTGTATAATCTCCTCCATCACCTCCCGAGCTCCCATTAGATAGACCGGCCCTTTGGGATCGCTCGTGGCAAATTGTAGTGCGCGACCAACCATTTGCTTCACGTTCTTACCGGTGCGAATCTCACCTGTGTATTTGCAATACTGTGCCACAATCTGCTTCTGATCAGGCACATCTTGCAGCCAGTGACTGGAAATAGGTCAGCTACTTACATATCTCGACACATTCTGATGAGAGAGACAGCTTACATATACTCCGTGCGAGAACCCCTCATTTCACCATCCAGAGTAAACGGAGAAAGACCCGCAAAGATCAAAACCGGGGCTCTGCCTGTGGCAGCGTTGTGAATCGCAGCTCCCAGGCCGGACGTTCCCACGTCAACATGAATGATGACACATTGTGGTTGATTCGTAACCCGGGCATATCCATCCGCCATGGATAAGGCGACCATCTCATTGGGACAGGTGAAGATCTTGGGGAAGTCGTTCGGCTTTTCTTTCAAACCCTTCGCCATAGCCTCCATGATACTGGGATGGTCGGAGCCCAGATTGACGAAGCAATTTTCAACTCCGAGCTCCCATAGCGCCTCGAAGAAGGCATATGACGCAGTGTACCTGAGGCGTGAATCGATTAACAGAGAGACATTCAAGAAAAGCGGCCGAACTCACATTGTTATTGGCACTCTGATTGCGCGAGCGAATCAAGCTAGAATAGATCTTTGATGTACGGGAATTAGTCCTGAAAGGTCTCAATATATATTCCAAAAAGGTGGCGTCCTAGCGATGAGGCCCTGGAAGTCTACAATATAGCGCTCGGGCAATACCCACGAGACTGTAAACGTTTCGGTGTGTCCGTGCCGAACTCCCAACGAGCGGGAATTGACAATATTTTGGAACGTTCACTGCGCGCTCTCATTGGAACGGATGATTACCGAGATAAAGGACAGTGGAAGCACCCAGCAAAATATACTGACAAATTGACCCGGTAAATCGGGATTTGAGAAATTTCTAAGGGTAAACTCGTGGGAAACAAAGTCACCGAGCAGGAATCGGGACTTACCCGTCGCTATAGAATCACATCCGAAGTGGGAAAGACCCGGATTCGTGTCATACGAGCAGCAATAAACTGAGATAAATGTATTTCAAATCTAGATGTCCAGGAATTTACGGATGGTAAAGCAATCTCGCCTTGCACTACTGAGCCGCATTGCTTAGAAGGATACTTATTCATCATGCTGAGGTCCATGTGCAGATCGTTGATACGATATCCTGGGCAAATTCAGCGTGTTAAACCTGGTGTTTACCTTGATCTGGCTAGATCTCGTACTGCTCGGTGCCGTTCTTTATCGACCAATCCAGTCAACGGGACATCTACTCCGCGAAAGAAGGTCCCTTGGCTAACCGCTCTAGTAGCGGTTGGTTTTGGGCTTACATCTGGCATTTTGTACAATTATCAGACTCCAGCTGTGAATGGAGAAGGTGTTAAACCAAGCTATGCGACTCGGGCTGATATGGAAAAGGTACGTGGAACAAGCGAGAAATGAGACGTACCAATCGCTGACGCTGTGCTAGGCAATTAGTGAAATCCGTCAGCTTCTTGGAGACGATGGCATTAGCACGGACGATGAAGATCTGAGATCCCATGGATACTCTGAGTGGTCTTCTATCAATATTGATCGGCTCCCTACGGCCGTGGCATTTCCAAATTCAACGACAGACGTAGCCACTATTGCGGAAATATGCTATAAGTACAAGGTTCCTATGAGTAAGTGATCCAAGGCGGAAATAACGTTAGATCTTGCTCAACGGGTGACTGATCTGATTGCTTTTTAAAGTTCCGTACTCGGGAGGATCAAGCGTCGAGGGACATTTTTCCGCATCTTTTGGCGGCGTAAGTGTTGACTTCATGAATATGAATAACATAGTGGAGTTTCACCCGGAGGAGTAAGGTCTGATTATCTTTTCTTTAATGTTCGTACTGACAGTTTGCCAGCATGGATATTGTTGTGCAGCCGTCAGTGTCGTGGATGGACATGAATGACAAGATCAAAGACAGTGGTCTTTTCTTTCCGGTCGACCCAGGCCCGCCGGTGTGTATCCCCGATAAATGATGTTACAACGATAGACCTAAACTGATTACCAGGACAGGCAAAAATTGGAGGGATGATCGCAACAAACTGCAGGTACGACGGCCTTTTTCTTTCTTTCTTTTTTATAGGAACCGCGAGTGGAAACTGACAACTTAGTGGGACGAATGCTGTTCGCTACGGGACTATGAAAGATTGGGTGGTCAATCTGACAGTGGTGTTGGCAGATGGACGTATTCTCAAGACTCGGAAGCGCCCGCGGTAAGAAACTCGCATAGATTGAGGGTGGTATAAAATTGACCCATTCACAGAAAGTCATCTGCAGGATACAACCTGAACGGTCTCATTACAGGTTCAGAGGGGACATTAGGGTTCGTGACAGAAGCCACTTTGAAGCTCGCGCATATCCCGGAAGAAACAGGTGTTGCCGTGACCACATTTCCAACTATGAGAGATGCTGCCAAGGCTGCCACGCAAGTCATTCATCAGGGTATCCCAGTCGGGGCTGTTGAGCTCCTCGATGATGTGCAGATGGATGTCATCAACCAGATGGGTGGCACAGGCAGACAGTGGAAACCACTCCCGACTCTCTTTTTCAAATTCAGTGGCACGAAGGCCGGCGTTAACGACAATATTGAAGGAGTCCGGCAGATAGTTTATCAGAATCGCGGTGGTGATTTTGAAATCGAACAGGATAAGGCAAAACAGGGTGCTTTGTGGTCTGCACGCAAAGAAGCCCTCTGGAGTATGATGTGTCTGAGAAAATCAGGCAATGAAGTATGGTCCACGGATGTTGCAGTCCCCTTGTCTAAAGTTCCAGACCTTGTCGGTGAGTCGGGTTTTGCTGTCTTTTGGGAGGTCGAAGGTCGCTGACTTGTCTTTCAGAGGTATCAAAGGATGACCTCAATAGATTGGGTCTATTTGGAAGTATGCTCGGTCATATCGGTGACGGTAATTTTCATGAAACCGTCCTCTTCGATGGAGAAAAAGAGCATGAAATGGTAACCGAGTGCGTGCACGCTATGGTCTACCGGGCACTTGAGATGGACGGCACTTGCACTGTAAGCCTCCGAATACATATATCTGATAAGACTGCAGAGCTGACAGAATCTACAGGGCGAGCATGGGGTCGGCCTTGGAAAAAAGACGTTTTTGGAGGAAGAAGTTGGCAAGGAATCGCTGCAAGTTATGAGAACCATCAAGGCTGCATTGGATCCACGCTGGATCATGAATCCGGGGAAAATTCTCGACCCATAGATACAGTTATGGATTGAACATACTCCGGTATTGTACTCCGTACGTAATATAGCGACAATAAAATTGCTGGTAAATTATATTTCGTCTGTTGGGCGGTCACGATATGGACTTCGGATAATTCCCGAGGCCACTGCCCGTGGCGACCTCTCTCGGGACTCTCTCCCATGTCCCTCAGCCGAACATCCATTTATTTTTTCCCGGCTTACATATAGCACTACGCCAAACTTGGAGCGAAGGTGAACAAAGCAAAGCAAAGAAAAAGAAATGCCTGTTTCACCTGCCGGTAGTGTATGTGTATGAGCCGGCGTCTTAGGGGCGTTAAGCTAACAATTAGTATTTACAGGTTGGACAAGTCCAGAGCCCCATTCGTGGGCGTTTCCCCAAGCGCAGACGCGTGGCGCTAGCTTGTGGGAGTTGCAGAGACCGCAAGGTACGGTGCGATGGGGCCAGGCCGGTATGCGGTGCCTGCCAAAGGCGAGGCAATACCCCACAGCAGTGTGAGTATCTCGTCATTGCAGATACTGCCAAGTATCAAACTGAGCGAGCGTATGTCCATAGCTACCTTTTCCGCTGCCAAGGAGGATGCAGTGGCAGCTGATAAGCTATTAGATATATCCAATCACTACGTGGTTACATTGCCAATCTTGAAGGCTCGATATACCAGCAAGAACCCGGCTCCTCAGCGTTGACACAAACAAGCAGCAACCTCAATGAAACGGGTAGTCCGATGCAGACTATGCCTATCATGGAGAGGGAACCAGCGTCAGGTTCTATAGGAGATCAGAGTAGCGCTTCTAGACATCAGGAGACATGTGAGCACCATGAATCACCCACATCAAATCCCCTGCCAGACTCTATCAGCGCCATGGGAGCTAGATTGACCGATACCAATGACACCGACATGCGCGACCAGTATTATGGTCAATCCTCCATTATTTCACTCGTCCAAGAATGCGCTCAGACACCACCCGGGCAGCTGTCCCAACCCTCCCAATCTCGGTCCGCGCATCCAGTCACCTCGTCCACTTCGTCAACTACATCATATAATGTGTCGTGTGATGAAGGGGGGATTTTATCCTTGCTTTCGGATGACTTCTCTCTTCCACCTCGGAAAACAGCAGACTGGCTGCTGGACATATACTTCACTAACTCACATTTGTTTTATCCTTGGGTGCATAAGGAAAGCTTTCTCTCCTCATACAATCTCATGTGGTCCAACCGGGACAGTTGCGAGCTGAGTGAGCTTCCTGAAGTTGGTATTGGAGGAAACAACTGCCCCATACCGGTATTCTTTTGTGGTCTGAATGCTATGTTTGCCATAGCATGTGAATTCTCCAGCATGCCTTCAAAGGAAAAAAGAACATCGTCGATGATGTTTTATGAACGGATGAAAAGTCTCATCAACATAGATATCCTTGACAGTGGGAGTCTGGCACACATCCAGGCCCTATTACTCGTTGCGATATACTTACAATGCACGCCATACCCCAGGAGATGCTGGAATATTGTCGGGATGGCATATCGAATGTCTGTTGGGTTGGGCTTACATTTGCGTCGTCATTCGAGCGAGTTGAGTGGCATTGAAAAGGAAATGAGATGGCGCACGTGGTGCGCCTGTGTACAGATGGACATGTATGGACCTGAAGTTCCTTCTCTTTCTCAATTCTCAACTCACCTTGCCTATAGCATCGTCAGCATGACCATGGGTCGCCCAGCAATGACGCTTACGTCTTCCAATGTCCCATTACCATCACCTACGGATGACGAGTATCTGGCAGTGGAAGGCCACCAACCGGCTGGAACAGTTTCCTCCAACCAATTTCTCTACGAAAATATGAAACTTATCGGAATCCTAGGGGATATCTTATCTAAAGTTTATCATAGCACAGCGCCTGGGCCAGAGGCCGAGTCACCCCGTCCACCTGCAGACTTCCAGGCTGTGATTGATATTGACGGTGCATTGGACGAATTTGAGGCGTCTCTCCATCCGGTACTTCATTGGGACCCATCAAAGGCTTTGAGCCATGATATGAATCCATTATTCAGAAGACAAGCAAATGTTCTCCATGCTAGGTATGTCGTACTCAGTCTCGGTAAATTTATTCGAAATTGATATGATTTGATATCTAACGCCAAGAACGCAGATATCTGCATCTGAAGTTGTTATTAAACCGTCCTGCATTTAGCGAACATTGCTCATCACTAAAGGGGATGAACGGTGGAAATGGAGAGCAACAGGCTGACCTACGGTCCTCAGCTCGCTCCTGGACCGCCTTGTATCGCGGGAACTGTGTTGTGAGGTGCGTGCAATCTGCGTGTGATCTAGTCGAGTCGCTAGCTTGGGCGACAAAGCAGGATGCAACAGGCGCTTGGTGGTACGGTGTATTCTGTGAGCCATTCCCCCTCCTCATATTTGGGACGTTGTTGCTCACCAACTTAGATTTAATAAGTGCCGGTATTATTCTTGTTTCGGCTGATTTGAGTGGGATTTCATTCGATACTCTCGAAAAAAATCAGCGAGAAAGGGCGTGGGATCAGTGTCTAGATACGCTTCATCGGATGGTCGATGTGCACCCTTCGGCCAGGGACTACGCAATTGCCCTAGATGGGCTCAAGCAACGCCATTCATTTTCAGTATCGCAAAGTAAGATAGCCTCCGCCGAGTCAACTCATCACCGCAATAACTTCAACTTCCGCTTCCGTCCACGGTACCAAAAGCTAACAATATTCGTTAGGGACAGATAGTACCCAGCCGCAGGCACAGGGAATCTCACCTGAGGGTAGCTTGCAAGATCGTGGCCTAAATGTCACTCCAGACAATGAACGCCGGTCTCCGAACGCCGACAATAATAAGAACACTTCTTACAGCGCACTCGGCCCATTTTTTTCTAACTGGGAGAGTGGGCTTGAGGATATTATGCTGCCGGCCCATGTGTTACAGGATATAGATGAAGGGCTGTTACTGCCCAATCTTTTCTGAAGTTGATACCCATCAAATACAGTGCCATGAAACTGCAAAAAAACATGTACAACTAGAAAGTGAGGCTTTCTCGGATAGTTGCCGGATAGTCGGGAACTACGACAAGCCATTGGGGGAAACCGGGGACTAAATTTACGTGGAGAACTGTGTTCCCTGTGGGCAGGAAAGCTGGATATGTACACATTTGACTTTCGATTAGGTGCTGTAACTACAACTGGAACGTACATGCGTGAGCGTGTGCTGGCCATATTTTTAGGAAAATAATTTTAGATACCTTGAAGAACGATGGGTAATCCCTTTCCCCTCTTCGGGGGTAGGTCGATTGAATATTGAATTACCCTTTTCATCTTCCTTTTTTTTTTTTTTTTTTTTTCCCGCTTTCTCCTAATGGCTAATGGTTTGCCGTTCCAGTAGCTCGGCTCGGCTGCAGTAGTTACAGCTCGGAACTGATCTGATTGTACGCCTCAAAGACGGGGGAGGGGAGACCTAGGCCGGGTATTACCCGTATGCAGGGACCACTTCCCAATGTCTGGTGCCACGACCTGTGACGCAATTATCTGCACACTGTTCCCCCGGACCCTGATCCAGGTCAGTCATGAGAAAGGGCTTACCAAGGATATTTGTACATCGGTTGTACTTAGCCAGTTAAAGATATTAGGCCGGACTACTATGCCCAAAAATGTCCCTCTAGAAAACCCCCTCCAAAGATATCAGACTCTCCCTGTCTCTCGAGCCAATTTAATTTCAGAAGTCAGGTAGTCCTGTACGATCAAGGAGTACGGGGTAGCGACATGTAAGTAGTCTGGGTGGAGACTTGCCCGGGATGGCACGGGAAGGACCCAATTTGAACATATATAGGGAATTCGCGCCAGATCCATGCCAGGTAGGGAAGAAACCACGATATGTCATTTAAGAGAAGGTTTCACGCCTCGTTCCTTGGCTTGACAAATAGCGATTCAAGTGTTAGAATGAAATACGTACTACGTACTAGATAGAGACATGTTTGTTTTGCCGGAGTTATGTCGGAATGTGGTTTCTTATTTGGAGAGAAAGTGAAAGGTGGATTCCGTTGTTAATAGTGTGGAGTCCCCGCAAAACTGAATTCGTTACGAACAGGTCCAAGTGTGCCCTAATCTGAATGATATCTACTCATACTTCCATGCCCTCTGTACCCCATTCATTGCGCACCATAACAAACTCCGCTTCCATTTCCGTAACTTCAAATACTGCAAGACAGACAGAGTGGCCAAGAGTCGAATTCATGCGTTCACGTTTCCTTACACAATGGGCTCAGCATATAACTTGATCGAGCAAATCGCCGTCGAACCGACTGTTGCGAGCTACATTCAAGACGCAAATTTCGAGCTTGACAGCCACATAACACAGCGCCTAGCTCGCGAATTTGCAACGGATGAAAGTCGTGACGGGGATGTGATCAAACTCCTTGCCAATTCTTCCTACCTGAGAGAAGCAGGCCTTGACTGGAAGCAATACCACACCGTGATCGAAGAGGATCTCAACGCCGCTCGCTACTCCCAACATGCTGCAGCATTTGTCTTGACACTCCTGCCCAACCTCAAGACATTCCGTCTACCCACAAACTGGGGGCCGGTCGACACAACTGACAGGCTTATCGATACTGTCGTTCATAGAGCCAGACAGGCGCATGTGCCTCACAAAAGACCCCCTAGCATGGCCCAGGTCACCAGATTCGAGTCATCTTTCTTCCGGAGGTCCAATAGAAGATTTGATCTGGATTGGGTGACTCCTTTCCTGGCCCTGCCGCACGTCCAGTCTTTCTGCGGCCCCGAACATGTCGATGGCCATGGGAACATTGCATCCAAATATTTGTATGGTGGCTTTGGAATAGCCCTTGAAACGGTTCATCTCGAAGGCGCTTCTGTCAATGAGATCGCCATTGCAGCTTTTTTTTTAAACACACCCCATACCTCAAGACATTGCAATATTCACACAGAACCAAAATAAATGTTGACACCCAGGACTGGGATATCTGTCGATTTGTTACAGCAATTGCGTGTGAGGTTGGAAGCCACCTCACGGAGCTTTCTATCTCCATTGATGAACTTCGCGGCTCAATAATCCCCGGCAAGCCATCAATGCATGATTTTCAGCAGTTACAGAAACTTGAACTCCCCCTTGAAATTGCAATGTGCGTTCTTACGGCCTCTGCATCAGCAGACCATGAATTGGATTTGGATTGTTCCGAGTCACTACTTGGTGACATTGTACCCGCTTCAGTATCTCAGCTTTCCTTGATCTCGCACGGAAAAGGCCAGCATGGAAAGGCTCTTGACATCATGTTTCATGATTTTGCTATAAAAAAGGCTTCCCAGGTGCCTGATCTTAAGGAAATCCATCTGTCCTGCCCTAGCAAAGCAGACCACCTATCTAAGGAGCATTTTGCCAAGCTGGCCGTGGAGGCTGAGAAGGTGGGAGTGGCTTTGCATAATGTCACAGCTCGATAACTAGTAGATAATAACGAAATAATATTCCTATCTAGACTAGGTAGTAGCCTCTCGACGAGAATATTGAATCTGGAGAGGAAGAAGAAGGAGAAAGGAAGCCGTCTGGCAAGACAAAGGAAAACTATCTACCCATCGTGCGGTCACGTGTGATGGAGCCATTGCTTATCGTTTGCTCATATTGCTCCATTGGCAGCGTTTGCCTCCGTTGGTGGTGTTTGTCATTATCAGCAGTTGTCATTAGCCGTTGACCGTCACACATAATATTTCATGACCATAGCTAGCCCCCTTGGCATAGTATGGGGAAGAATGACCGTGTTCTTTATCTTTAAAACTGATGTGGTTTTTGCAATTTCATGGCATGCAGCAATTATAGGGGATTGCATAAATTCCAACTGATTGCATGTATATATCCCTTTGTTCTGTATAGACTGAATACCATACACAAGGCGCTTGACCCTCGCTCCCGCTGGGGTGGTTTTTATGGCTTGCGGCCAAGCAGGAAATAGACTACTTGAGTGTAAAATTGCAAACAGTAATGAACTCTTCCCTGTGGTTCAAGTTCAGTGCAGAGTACAGCATACCCCTTAGTAATAGGTCTGCATGCGTGTCAGAATCTTGAGAAGTCTCCCCCCTAGCATTCTTGGTGGACGCGAATCAGGCTCTTACCTTTTTCTCGGTGCTCCCAGATGATATACGCAGTCCCGATTCTAGCTGGTGCATGTTGCACATCGTCGCCTCGCAGTATTATATCATATCTTCTTGTAGCGACAGTAAAGACACGCTCGAGCAATGATTTTGGGACGATCAGTACGAGCTTTTTGAAGTCATGACTTATGTGTGCATATTTTCTGGGGCAAAGCATAGTATTCGAACTCGGTCTGTGACGGGAATGTGCTGTTGAAGGATGTTATCCTGCCCACACATCGTGTGAGGGGTTGAAGCGTGACGTGAGAAAAGACTTGCATATCCCTAAGTCTTAGCCGTCCAACCTGGTATGTTTTCGGTTCAAGTTTGAATGAGGTCAATAATGCATCAATCGGCAATGTTAGTTGTATTATGAACCATTCAAATTTCCTTGCCACTGCTTCGGGTCTATTTCGTATAGGGTTATGAGTTGAATCTATTGCCAAGTTAGGTACCATGGCTGATTGTACATTTAATAATTACTCTAACATCTACGTTTACCTGAATGACGGTAACATAGCTATATTGATATTATCATTACAACGCTCCCCCAGAAAGTTTCCAGGAATGGATCTAATTTCTCCAAATCCCCAACTTGGGGGAATCTTGGCCAAAAAAGGCCAATAACTGGGATCACCTTTGGGCTGTCTTATCGACTATTACACCATGCACATGATCTATGGCGAACCTTAGTGGGTAATAGTAGTTGATTGAACCGGTGATCTATCGGCTGATAGCAGATATATTAACTACCGGGCTACAGCGAATGTATCTCCGAGACCCCGCGGCTGCTTACTAACCATGGATGTGCCATAACTAACTAGTTAACTAGCAGATCTACGCGACATCAATATCAATATCGACGTTGTCAACTTGTTGAATTTCCATTCTCTTGATCTGCTAACACTGTGGCTCAGTATCGCCAATTCCGCAACTTGGCTCGCATCACCAATTCAAAGCCACTAGCAATGGGATCTCTCATAAATGGTCATATTGGAGTTATTCCCTATGATGGAATTCCATACTTCACACCTGCCAATAATGGCGGTGCGGCAACGAGCCCGGAAAGTCCAGAAACACCGACTTTGTTTCGTCCGCTTCAAATTCGAGAACTTACGCTGAAGAATCGAGTCATGGTTGCGCCTATGTGCATGTATTCGGCCCAGTCCGGTCCATCCTCTCCTTTCATCGGTGCATTGACAGATTACCACGTCGCGCACCTCGGTAACCTTGCCCTGAAAGGCGTTGGGCTGATAATCATCGAGGCGACTGCCGTGCAGTTCAACGGTCGCATCTCGCCCAACGACTCGGGCCTTTGGCAGCAGGGCACGGATTCGGAGCAATTCAAAGCGCTCAAACGTGTCGTTGACTTTGCTCACAGCCAAGGAGCCAAGGTCGCTATTCAACTCGCCCACGCGGGCCGGAAAGCTAGCGTCATGCCGCCTTGGATCGCTAAGGAGGCCGGCAAGAGCAGCCTCAGAGCGGATGAGACCGCGGGTGGATGGCCTGATAATGTTGTAGGGCCATCTGGTGGCAAGGAACACATCTGGGCACCCGGCAATGGTTTCTGGGCCCCACGCGAGCTAAGAACTGCCGAGGTCGAGGAAATGGTGCAGGCGTTTGCCACTAGTGCTGAGCTATCTGTTAAGGCCGGCATTGATGCGATCGAAATTCACGGCGCGCATGGCTATCTTGTTAGCCAGTTTATGAGCCCTGTGACCAACAAGCGAACAGACAAGTATGGCGGCTCGTTTGAAAACCGAACACGAGTCATTCGCGAAATTACAACTGCCATTCGTGCCGTCATCCCAGAAGGCATGCCTCTGTTCCTTCGGATCAGTGCGACGGAATGGCTTGATGGCAAATTCTCGGAATACTGGGACCTGTCATCCTCCATTGAGCTTGTGAAGAGCCTCCCAGATCTAGGAATTGACTTCCTAGACGTCAGTTCTGGGGGCAATCACAAGGACCAGACAATCGAGCCTCACACCAACTACCAGATCGATCTTGCAAGCCAGATCCGGAAGGATATCCGGCGATCAGGACAAAATACATTGGTTGGAGCCGTCGGATTGATTACACAGGCAGAAGCCGCTAGTCAGATTGTGCAAGGTGCTGATATGGAAGAAGCAAAGGCGGCTGAGTCGATGGTAGCAGGTCCGCAGGCAGGGGCCGATGCTGTTTTGCTGGGACGCCAGTTCCTTCGTGAAGCAGACTGGGTATATCACGCGGCAAAGGCGTTGGGAGTCCAGATCACAGCTCCTAAGCAGCTGGGGCGTGCTATTTGAAGAGATGTTATTTTATAGGACATTTCAATTCAATGTATGCAAATAGATGATTGGTTAAAAAGGATAAAATGCCGTCCCTGGATTATATACAGATTAGTTTTCGATTTGATAGATGAAGAATCCTTAACCTGAGCCTTTGCTTTCCTATGGGCATTGTGTGCCACCCCGTGAGTCCGATTTCTGGCAGTCGTTGCTACAGTGCTCAGATCTTACATCTCCATGCAACTCTGGCATATCGGTCGAGCAGCCCGACAACAGGCTTTGGATAAGGCCGGCTTGGAGATGGTGAGCAGCAACAACATTCCTAACAGTGATGAGCACTCGACGCCTAGACCTATGACGACCGAGGAAATCAGGGAATGCATTGCTTTTTTCGCGCAAGCAGCTAGAAATGCTTTAGCGGCTGGTTTTGATGGAGTTGAGCTTTATGGCGCCAACGGGTATTTAATCGATTAGTTTATCCAGGATACCTGCAACATCCGGAGCGATGAGTGAGGTGGCAGCGTCGAGAACCGGTCATGGTTTTGCTTTGAGGCTGTCAAAGCAGTTTACGAAGCGATTGGCGCAGATCGCACGGCTATACCCCTGTCACCGTTTAGCATGTTCCAGGGCATGCAGATGAAAGATCCTATTCTGCAGTTCACAGATCTTATATCGCGACTTCGAGAACTTCTTCCTGCTTATTTGCATTTGATCAAGCCATGGGTCGCTGGTAATGTGGACAAAGAAGCACAGACAGATGAAAGTCTGGACTTTGCAATTCAGATATAGTCAAAAGCTAGTCCGATTATTTTGGCTAGAGGCTGTTCCGTGGAGAAGGCAAATCTGGCTTTGGAGACAGGCGACAGCTCTCAAAGATGAACCTGTTGCATTTGCCTTTGGCAGACACTTCATTTCCAATCCTGATCTACCTTTCAGGCTTAAGAACAATAACATTGATGTAATGATAAAGCCCATATAGTTCAGGAGTTCAGGTCCATCCTCACTTCTGACGCTATTTGATAAGGAAAATTGTCGGGCCGAATAGGCTCATAAGGCCAGCGTGTGCGCACTTTTAGATAGATAGCAGTCGTATGCGCATATACCGAAAATATATCATCCCTTTCATAGTAAGATCTCTCAGATTGTAGGGCACCTAGTATGTGTGAGAGCTGATACTGCAGATCATCCCACATGTGATTATGAAAGGCAGATCACTAACTTATAACCACAGCAATTGAGCGGACTTTCTCACACAATTCAAAAACCAAGATCACAACTTCCTACCATCCCATAACGTCTATTTTTCTATTTTTCAATATAGTTAAACTATCTTACCACTTGAATAGGCCTGTATATTGATTTATGACCGGTAACCTATCACATCGATATACATCGAAAATGTCCAAAGATGTGTTGGATTTTCCCGAGTTGGAGCGGCCGTTCTTGGAGCCTTACCTACAGCCACATAATGCCGAAACCAAGAATGACAGCTTGCCCTTTGTGACCCTTACCTTTGCTACCTCGCTGGACTCGTCTCTCAGCATTGCGCCCGGAGCTCGCACCATTCTTTCAGGCCCCCAGTCCAAGGCCATGACACATTACCTCCGATCTCGCCATGATGCTATCTTAATTGGAGTGGGCACGGCGGTAGCAGACAATCCCGGTTTGAACTGCCGAATTGAAGGCGTTGGGGGGTATGGTGGTTGTGATGGCGGCGACAACCTTCGGGGACAGCCCAGACCCATCATCATTGATCCTACAGCTCGATGGGACTTCACAGAGGAGGCCCAAGTTCTTCAACTTGTTAGGAATGGCTGTGGACGTGCTCCCTATATTTTGACGCAGAACCCATCACCTCCTACCAAGCAAAAACAGATTCTTGAGGAACATGGCGGGAAGTTCGTTACACTCGATATCACTACACCCGAACAAACTGGCCATGATCTCGATTGGACCGCCGTGCTGGAGGCCTTGAAGAAGGAAGGGCTCAACAGTGTTATGATTGAAGGTGGAAGTGGTGTGATCAATACCCTGCTGGAGCCGTCATCCCAGGCGTTGATTGACAGTGTGATCATTACCATTGCCCCAACATGGCTGGGCCAAGGTGGAGTGGTCGTGTCACCGAAACGACGATTTGATGCAGGTGGTAATGCGATTGCAGCCTCACGGCTTGCCAATGTCAAATGGCACCCATTTGGTGAAGATGTGGTTCTCTGTGGGAGGATCAGCCCTTGAAATATTAGGCTTTTCACGCAGCATGCTGGGCTAGCCGTCTTGATTCATACAGAGAAGGACTACGAATACGATTCTTTTCCCGGTTTAATTTATGGGCTCCAGATTGTCTAAATATGAATAGTGCTCAATACACCATATATGCTATTGTAGTTGACAAAATCTAAATTCCAGATCATCCATGAGACATAAGGTGTGATGAAAATGTCTGCAAACGTGCCTACCGAGCAAACAGGGTTACAGCCCTGTAGGCGACTGCACACTGATACATTCCTTTGTCCTATCAGATAGCTTCTCTTCCTCTTCTTCTTCCTCTCCAGATTCAATATTTTCGTCATATGGCTACTTAGTTTCAATAGGAATATCATTCGTTATTATCTACCAGACCGAGCCGTGACATAAGGGTAAGAAGAATTCACTGTTCTCGTGTCGAGTCACTCAACAGGGGTGGAGGGGGGGAGGGGGTCTGTTTGTGGCTATGTGCAGATGCTAAATAGTCCAGTGTTTGAAGTTGGAAGATGACAGCCAATGATTAGTGGCTGGGTTCGTACGGGATTGTACGGCAACCCAGGCCGAGTGGGAGGCAAGCCATGTCTCCATTGCACTTCGCTTGATCAAGGGCCGTGCCACCCGTGATCCACCTCAACCACTCCCAGCCGCCGCCGCGGCTTAGCCGAGATCAGGTCACCAGTTCCTGGTGCAGCCAACCCTCCTTGTGGGCTGTCAACAGCACTCCTCCAACTGAGTGGACGATGCATTTTGGCTGGCCTGTAGTGCCCGAAGAGTACACAATAAGAAAAGGATCGTGGAAAGCAACTCGTTCAAATTCCAGTTTATCATGTGGTGCCTAAGCCAAGAAGTCGTCCAATGGCTTAGCTCTTGGGACATGGCTGATGTCTGCTGGTTGTCCTTTGAACCTTGGCTGAGAAATGATACCTTGAAACCCCATGGAATGATGCCATATTCAAGGACCCCAAGGTGCTCCGCGACTACCGGGCGGCCACCATGGACAGCCTGATTGAGAACTTCAAGCGCGCCATTGCCAACAGTAATAAGCCCCTCCAACATACAGGACAAGATATCCCATTGACTGGAAACTAGTTAGCAGCTAGTTCACACCATTGTGCCTCACATCCATACAGTAACCTTAAAAAACTGGCAAATCCAGGCCCTCCTTTCCCAGCTGAAGATAATGCTTGTATGCCTACAAGTACATGGCATGTCGAAGTGTGATGCATCGGAGCGCTGATGTGAATGTCTCGATGGGCTAAACCGTACACAGTAGGGTTCCCGTGGTGCATAAAGCCCCGCACCGATCCGTTCCGCTTTGGAAACTCTCTTGCATGTCGGAATGTCGGTCGACATGTATGTACATGACCAGACAAGGAAATTGTGACTACATAGTACTCCGTAGAGCTGAGAATGATGTGAAGTTGGAATCGCCACTAAACCAAAAAGGAAACGATGGACTCAGCATCATGTATGCATCCAAGCCTGATCGAGTTCGGCGGAAATCAAGAGAAGAATGAGAACTGATACAGTACAAGCATCGGTTAATGTTTATACTACTATGTACATCTTCTCTGTATAAGCGGACTTTATCAAGCCAAGAAGATGAGCCATCTGTGGCAAATACTCTGGTCTGGATGACCTGCATAATGGCCCCAATGGTCCCGGTCCAGTACACTCTCTCATGGGTTCCACCCTGTGGAAGCAAGCGTCCACAACTCTGTCGCAGATTGGTCGAGATAGAATCTCATAGGCTTCCTTTTGCCGCAGATCCTCTGGCTCAGTAGCATTTGGTATGAACGTTTGTTCAATCACTGCATGTAAGGTGTAGTTCCCACGAGAACCAGACAGAAAGTGGCGGAGAAGGAATGGGTTGCGCCGCTATGCTACAAGTAGTTGACGTGTTAGCTCATTCAACACCTGATAGTCGTCTGCATAAGCTAAAGGAGTATGTCTTCCACCCAATCAGGAAGGTGGCGGACATAGCCCTTCATCACATCATGAAGAGCTTCTCACCTTGTTCTTTTACAGGCTGTAAAGAGAAAACGCTAAGTCCATGCTCATGCATGAGTATGGGTGACCAATTCACCGGCAACTCTTTGTCTTGAAACCCGATGAGGTGGTGTTCAACCAATTTCAGGTATCAATGTTCAGCCCATAAATATAGGGTCCTTTTCCAGTTATTTATTGCGGTATTTGAGAGCTTTATCATTTCATAGAATTTGACTCACGAGCATCCAAAACATGGCGATTGATCCTTCCCTCCCCCCTTCTCTGCAAAACCTGAAGCCATTTCCCCTCGATGGGAAGTCGCAGCATGCTCCAGGATTATACTCCATTGCCCCCCCCCAGAAACAAATGAGCAGCAGCCCCTTGTCGCGGCGACTAACGAGGACATTGCGACCACGACATGGTTCATGTCTCCGGTATGATTCATGCTCAAGGATAGGAAACATGATTTTCCACTTACAACTCTTACTCACAGCGTCTTGATAAAATCACGATCAAATATCTTCAAAATGTCCAGCTTTTTACTGAAACGCATGACCAAGGTTACGTCGACGACCGTGCCCTGGGAAACTGGACGTGGCTGGAGCTAGCCATCTACGAGGATGAGTCTTTTAATTCCTCCAGGGTTAAGGTGGGAGTGAAGCTGGAGTGGCAAAGCCACAGGAACAACATGGGGTCAAATGAATTTGCGTGGGTAAGTGCCTTTTTGGGAATGAAGTACCAACTACGCACCGCTAATGTCGTAAATCCGCCTTCAGCTTCCTGGTGAGAAGCTTGAACAGAAACATGACCTGTTGACCCATCTGGAAGTATGTATGCCCATCCCATGCGGAGATTCGACTAATATTCGCTCACGCTCGTACATTAGGAAGGGAATGTTATTGTGGTCAGGGCCTGTGCACGCTTCCCTGGCTGGAAGGTGTATGGACGGAACGCACGCCTCGTGCTGGAAGTCGGGGAGCACGCAAATATTGAGCAGCCCAGCCTGGAATGGAAGTGACAGTCGGCTATGCTGGATCTTGCTATGCAGGTACACAATGGTTGAGATTTCAATAATAGTTCAGATTTGTTTGCGACGAGTTACTGTACGCTCTACTTGGATAATATTTTCCCACTTTGCAGGATCGGCGGCGGCGATAGACGGGGCACTAAAGGTGCTTGACGTCGTAAACCACAACAATGATACAAAATTTACCCGCAAGCTGAGCACTGCACCTGATCGAGCTGACACTTATGCCGGCAAGGGAAAGAAGCCTCTCCGCGTGTTGTCTATGGGTATGTCATTTTTCTATTGTAGTCTCACCACTTAGCTAACACGGTCTGAGACGGTGGCGGCGTGCGAGGATATTCATCCCTGATGCTTCTCAAAAAGGTGATGGATTCGGTAAACCCCAATAAGCGGCCATGTGAGGTTTTCGACATGATAGCCGGTACCAGCACGGGTGGGTGAGTGCAAAGCTACCAACATCGATGCATCCTACCTTTGGATACTAAATGCATATAGGTTGATCGCACTGATGCTGGGACGGTTGAAAATAACCGTACAAGATTGCCTAGTCGAGTATGAGAATCTCATGGAAAAAGTGTTTGGATCTGGTTGGGTACACATTTATCTCGAGAAGCCCTTTCATTATCTTACAACCGATAAATTCTATTCGGCCACCGATTTTGAAAAAGTGGTCAAGGTCCTGCTTAGTCGGAGACTGCCTGGAAAGAATCCTGAAGATGTCCTTCTGGATGATGAAAGTAACTCTTGCAAAACGTACAAGACTCTGTACCTCAAGCTGTCTTTGCCGAATCCTTATTGATCATCTCATCTCAGTTTCCTCATGGCAGTGCGCCAAGAGAGTGGCAGCAACACCTCGCCTGTTTTCCTCCGCTCATACACCAGTGATTCCGATCCACCGCATCACGACCTTGCCAATATCAAGGTGTAGGAGGCTGCGCGCGCTACATCAGCCGCACCGGGATACTTTGAGCCCATGCAGATAGGTAGAATCAAGCTCGTGGATGGCGGGCTGCTGGCCAATAATCCAGTAGGATGGTATGTGATTTGCTCCATAGGCTTCTCGGATATTTTCGTATGCTGATGTCGGTTTTTTAACATCCCAGGCTCTGGACCGAGGTCTTATCTGAGTACGGCCAACAGCGAAACGCAGATTGCTTCTTGAGCATCGGCACTGCAATGGCGCCTAATGTTCCCGTGCCGCAGCCCGGATTGAACTTTTATCAAGCAATGATGAGCTTTGCTGCCATTGCTACAAACACTGAAAGCACACATCTGCTGTTCAGCGGGCTCATAAATGCCTTTGCCCCTTACCCAGGTATAGAGAAGTATTGGCGATTGAACGTTTCCAAGGAGGCGCCTGAAAAGAATGTATTCTGGAAAGTATGGGATCGCATCAGGGGACGTAAGGAGCCGACATTGAATGACTATGCTAATCCAGGAGAGCTGGATGATGTGACCGCCATCAATAATCTAAAAGAGTGGACGGACGAGTGGATTTTGGCACAGCAAAGCTTGATTGCCGGATGCAGTGGGGCCATTTCCAAAAGCTTAGACCCTAGAGATAGTCAGTGATGCCAGCCAAGACAGGAAGTCCAATTACGCTGCTTCAGACCATCCTAGCATGTGGGGCTGGTTTCCGAGCCCATGGTGAGCGCAAACTGACCACGCTGGGAGAGGATCTGAGAGGGCCGAGTGGTGGAGAGCAGAGAGAGATCCTATTATGGAGTGTCAATGTTTCAAATAGAAAATTCCTAAAGTATCAAGAGAAATCGAAGGGTTACCTGTGCAATCAATTGCGTGTCGAATCAGAAGTAGGCCAACTATACCAATAGATATAGAGCCAGACGGAGATAAACTACGAAGCCATCTTTTATATTTCCACCTCAATCAGAGGATACCCTCCTGAGCGGATGATATCTATCCCACCAAAACGGCAATCGATATAGAAAACGGGCATACTGGTAGTCAATGCACTCGGGATTTTGGGGCTTTCACTCGTCTTCGTGGATCAATAGTATCCTCAAGGATTATCGATACCTGGTATAATTGAGATTACAGGCATTTTGGCGTTGACCATAACTGTCAATAAAGGCAATGATAAACCGAGGCATCTCATTTTGGGGAGCCGAGATTGTCTTGGAGACTTCTGCTACTGGCATTGTCTGCAGTAACACAAATCGCCACCTCCTGATGGAAAATATCAGGTCTTCTGCTTGTTCTCATAAGGTGCAAAATGCGGATAAGTCAATCGATACCAGCAAGGTTGTTGCCTCCCCTGCAATTCTCCGCAAGACCCTTTATGTATCGGCTAAATGCCGCAGCATGAATTGGAGTTATTGTATCGAGCAGGCACAGCATAGCAGCAGCGGCCAAGACTCCATCCTGGAATTCTACTATTAGCAAATTTCTGGCGATTATACTCCAGGGTACACTTTGATCCCTGCAGTGGAAAATGGGATAATGTTGGGCACCAAGTGGCTGGCTGATAATTGCTTTTTTTTTTACATCACTTTCTGACGCCGGAGCTGCCACCTGCGTGGTAGAAACAGATAATGAATAATCGATGCGAGGACAGCTGTTATTGGTTGACTTCTTTTGGCTGCCTTGGGCATACGAGGCTGAGAGCTGATCCGATCCATTCCAGCGTCCCCCCTCCCCACCGGGTGAGCGACATCCATTGCTACTTCTTTCCAAGCCCTGAACTTTTAGGACTCAAAACATAACAAAGATAGAAAGGGACGAGCCAGAAATAGCTAGAAGCAGCAACAATGGTGGCACCATATAGTCCTGTCCAGACGGCATTCGAAGCAGCCATCACTGAATGCTCCAAGCAACCACCATGGTCGACTCTATTGATGTTCATGCCTCTGCTAAATATGACAATGCCGCATCCTTGAATCACAATTTGCAACCGGGAGATATTATCCTCCGCGAAGCTCCCTTATTCGTCGTTCAGCAGCCCTCTAATGGCCGAAATGGTTCTTTCCTGTGTTCCATATTCAACGCAAAAAACATTCCCGCGAGCACCGTTGAATATGAGATTCAAAAGCTAAGCCCGGAGCACAAAGCGGAGTTGCGAAAGATCGCCTGTGAGGAGGACACTGATATCTCCCGGTTTAGGAGTTGCAACTATGACATTCGACCAAAGCAAAATGAGGCACCGACTGCCCTTGGGATTTTCTCTAAGGGATCTTATGTTAATCATTCCTGTCAGCCGAATGCCTTGTATTTCTGGGATGAAGAGACGGAAAGCATGATATGGGTCGCATTGAAGCATATTGTGGCCGGGTAGGAGATCAACATCTCCTACCTACCGATATTTAACTGATAGGATGTTACCGAGAGGAAGGCTCTTCCCCCAAACCTATTTCCCTTTAAGTGTAATTATATGCTATGTGAGGAGAAGAGCCCAAATACTACAGTATCTGCTCACCAGCACAAGCTCCGTGATCTGCATATGTCTCTCGTCAATATAGCCTCGAGCCAAGATGGAAACACCCGTTCGTTTTGTATGAATCTACAGCATCTCATTAACGCCTACCTAGCTGCAATTACCCAGGAATTGCAGCTGGTTCAGACACTTGATCCAAGACTTTACAGGGGGTTAGTCAAATATCTGCCACTATATTACTGCACGCTGACTGTTAATAGGCACTGTCTGGCTGCTTCCATTTACTCTCAATCTGGAAATCTGGAAAAGGGTGTATTGCTGGGGTCTCAAGCCACTATTCTGGTTGACCAGCTTTATGGAAAATATTCCTCACAAGGGCAGCATGAATTGGAACTCTGCAAGCAGTTATATTCACTTTAGAGGTCTCTGATTCATGTATCTAAGTACTTAATATGAATGGCACTGTTACAGACCTTGGATGTTGGTGGAATGACAACTGGTGATGCCTATAAAAGAAGATACCTTTGCACTCATATTGTTATTGGTCACACTTTGATTGTCTCAATCTAAAAGAATGCCGTACGTGCAAGAAGAAATAGCTGAAGAGAGAAAGAAAAAAAGGAACAGGAACAGGGAATGGTCCAATTTTTATATGGTTCGTCTATACCTCACCCTTGCATTCCACGCAGGCCGTAGTGCCAAGTCATATTCTGAGGGTTCGTACGGGATCGTACGAAAACCCCATAACACATATTAGCTTATGTCTAGTAATCTAATTATTTTAACTAGACAAGCCGCCCTCTACATATTCGAAAGGCTATAGTTTAAAAGCCAAAGAGGCTCCTAAATCCGTGGTTACCTGTTTACGGACCTTATTGCATTAGTCTCATGTTGAAGCGGATTAGGCTCAGGGGATTGTCGGGGAATCAGGAAGTCGATAATCGGGACTGCACGAGGCTATTTAATAGGGGAGAATTAATTACTTAAGGGAGTGGTGTTGACTCTACAGATACACACAATGCTTAGCCGTCTAAGCATATGGCCACGGTGGTTTCCTATGAGCCCAACGGCCTCACATATCGGTGTCGGGGTTGTATGGTATATTCTTGACTATCGTACACACTCTATATCAAGGCAAAATAGGTATATGTGTATTCGGAGAGTCCCCGGGTCGTAGAATTCTGTAGGATAGCTATTATCTTCTCCTTTCAGGCAAAGGTCAGCAGTGGAAGTAAAGACAAAACAATTCGCATTTAGAGACACCCATGTCAATATGTACATATACCCCAGTGCTCAAAAAGCACAGTTTTAGACCTTCTCAACAGCTTTTCTCCAGCTCATCCATGACCCGTCTCGTATCCTGCGCCAGTCTCCTAGTCTCCTCGTTGATGTGAGCAGTTTGACTAATTTCAGCAAATCTTTCTTTCCACAACTCCCAGCGCTCCAAGGAGAAGCCCGGTTTCCCTTCCCACAATGGGTCACCATGACCCCCTGAAGAAGGCACATCCTTCCTACTCAAAGCTAGCAATATCTCACCACAATTTGCAACTCAGTCAGCCGCAATGCCGGCCAAGAATTCAAGCTCCAGTCCAGGTTTGAAAGACGCCTCGATTTAAGGCGCGCTTGTGTTGGCATGACGGTAGACTGCCAATCCTCAAGGATCTAAGGCTTTTTTACAGCCCAGGTATCTTGTCGCAAATGCATCCTAAGGCTGTTTCCAGAGGGTCATATAACGGTATCATTGACCCTCTCATCCTCTCATCAAACGACATCAAATGGTGAACTCGAGTTCGATTCAACCAAACCAACACTCTACTACTCTCACTATGGTCCTCTTCAAGAACAGCCTTGCTGTGCTGGCCCTTGCAGTCACATCTGCTCTAGCCTCCCCATTGGTTGAGCGTGAAAAGGTGTGCTACCGGTTGATGGTATGGTCGAGCCCAAGGACTATGAAATTACCTGTGGAAATAGTCGGAAGTTCAAAAAGATCTTCATTGGGCTGGCTAAAGATGAAGCTGAGAGGGAGTTGTACACAAAGCTCTGACCATATCAAGAGTTTCAAGAATAATCGTTTAAACGGGCTAGGCTGGACTATGTTAGGCAAGCCAAATATCATCATTCTCCTTCTCGTAGTGGTTCTTCTAGATCATGGAAAGTGAGTATAGTTGTTTCATTAGTGAGACAGTGTCGTATGTACAATCGTAACCGAATATTGATACAAAAGCCCGTTCAATCCACATTAACAAAATCTCAGCCAGCGATCGATCCCAGAAAATCCCAAGGATTATCCGCAATAAAAAACTGATCAAAGTCAAAGGTCTCAGAACTAGGCATATCTGCCACCATATCCCTGAGATACTCAGAATCTTCCATAGTACTCTGTCGCCTCTGCTCCGGAATCCCCTTATCAGACTCAACAGGATGAGCAAAATGCAAATCAAGAACGCTGCTGAGATGTCTCGCATCATGGTCCTTTCTCTTCTGCTGCAGAAGGACAAGTAGACCGGCATTCCGATAGGCTTCTCTCATCGTATCGGTGTCGTAGACGTCCGCCACGTGTTTGAGTGTCTGCATGGCATCGCCTAATAGCGATATAGAATCTGGGCTATCCACTGCCAATAGCGTACAGACAATCTGGAACGGGACGTTGGCCACATGGCTCCAGGGGCAGTTTGCATCTGCCATGTCTCGCGCGCCAGCAAGGGCTTTCGTGATCAGAGACAGGATACGACTCATAATATCCACCGACACGGTTGAATGCAATGCACGTAGGCGTCGGAAGATACAAAGAACAAGGTTGCATTGAGAAAGCACCGAGGGCTGCTCCGTGCGGTTGTTCTCCATTATATTGGAGAGCATGATGGTCAGCTGGTTGGAATCCACAGGTTTGTGTGGGTCTAGACTCTCTGACATGGGCAGGAGGTTGAGCATTTCAGCTGTATAGTCGCCCTCTCGACTCGCTGGTACGTTATATGATGCTCCGTGAAGGATGATTCTTGATCTCCCTAGATCGAAAGATGTCCAAGTGTTGATGTACTGTACAAAGCCAACTAGCCTCCTTCGAATATCGTCATTGATATCCTGTGGTGGCTTTATTAGGACAGGCCTGGACGACGGGTCCAGATGCAATCCGGATGCTTCGATTAGGTGTAATAGCGAACAGCTTGCCATCCAAGCAGCGTGGGGTGAGGCCGTCAGCCGCATGTAAGAGAGTCTGAGGGTCCATCCTGAGATTACCGTTGAAGAAGGTATCCCGTACAACGAGCACTGTTCGAGTGCTGATCGAGCTGACTCAATCAGATGTAGTTCCGCAGCTACTGCTTTTCTCTGAGAAAACAGATATCCCATTGCCGCTACACCACAGAGAACAACATCATATGGTTCAAAGGCCGACGATCGAAGCCACCTCGAGTTCAGATGTTCAAAGCAGGTATCCCGGTCGATGAAGCCGTAGTAAGGATTTACCTTACCAAAGTAAATCCGCGCTAATGCAACCATTTCGTCCTGCGAAAGGATATTCACAATAGGCAATGCGGAAAAGGTGCCGGGCAAGTGACGGAGACCAATGTTCCAAGCGAAGACTTGAGGTTCTGGAGCATTGATTGGATCAATTCTGAGACCTAGTTCTCTCACAAAAGCAGCCCCTGAGTTAGATTCAATAGACTGTGTAGCCGGCATACTTGCAGACGGCTCCTCTGCAGAATGCGTCGATGGTGTTGCGGCATTTGATATTGACAATACTTGCTGCTCCTGCGTCTGTGCTGCTGGTCTGATTGGTGCTGAGCCATCCAGAATGAAGTTTTTGTTTCTTTTCTTGCGTGAGGCCACATCATAATAGCACGTGTATTGAAAGTCACTGCATGTTTCGCATGGTTGACGTCCGTTACATTTTCGCTTACGCTCCCTGCACGGTTCACAGGCGACCCTGGAGCGTCGCTGTCGTTTCAATGGGTTAGAGTGCTCGATGTCTGAGTTAGCAGACATTTTTTTTTTTTTTTTTTTTTTTCCATAAATATCCCCAAATGTTCTTGTACTATCATCTTAGAAAGACAGCTCTCTGTAGGTCAACAGTACGCAATAGGATTTTCATTTTATGCCTTAATGCCTGATTGATAAGCAGTAGTTTTTGGTGTGTGGTGAATGGTTGATTGGTTTATGGCCTATCGGCTGAGCTAACTATATAAACTACCGGGCAGAAAGCGAGGGCGGTCAGACACGTGACCCGATGGGTACTGACTGATAAGGAATAATGTCGGACCGATTAGTTCCACCGGTCCGATGATATAGGCCAGCGTGAGCGCACATTTAGATAGACAAGCACTCAAGCACTCAATCAGCTGCGTACACGCACATACGTTCGTTAGGCAATATACCTCTTTCGTCCAGCTAGTCCTCTCCATATAGACCTCGTTAGTCCGGAATAATCGACTCCCGATTTCCCCTCTGAGCTACGATCCGAGAGACCCCGCTTCGCTAACAGTAGTTAGTTATCATGTGCCTTTTCCAGATGATCCGCTACTGCCGATGTAAGCCGTCCGTACTCCGGAGTAATCTACTGGTTCGGAGAATGTTGTATATTGTGGGTCAGGCTATGGCCGAAAAGGAACATGATAGTTGGTACTGTGCTGTATTCCTAGCTATCTCTCCTGATCATTGGTGATGGGAGAGAGGCCTCGCTCCATCACCGTGATCAGTGTGGGCTCGCTAGCGCGGCCAATCGGAGCGGGGCATCTCGGAGCCTGAGACTCTCCAACATATATTTCTTTGAAAAGGCTATATACGGTATTACTGACAAGAATATGTGCCTCAACGCTGCTCCGAAGCAATATCTGAGCAGATTTGGATGGGTATCGTTAAAGAGACTTTCGACGCAAATGGCACTTTATGACGGACGTTGAAAGAGACATCGACTTTTAACGAGTACGTTCTAGATATCAGGCAAGAGAAGAAGGTTGGAGTATACACCACGGTCTCGGGCAGTACGATTGGCAAGGAGATAGATGCTGTATAGACAGCACTTTTCTTCTCGCCGGAAGCAGTGACGTCTACTCCTGGACACCGCTTTTCCCAATGCACCGACGTGGTATCCAGGGATGGGAGTGAAATATTTCGACAAAATGAACGATGAAGAGGATACAAATCTCTCTGTTGGATCCGGTCAGGCAGATCTTCATACGGCTCAATGCCGAAATGAGTCACGGCATTCAGCTTGCTTTGGACTTTCTTTGGCCTTGGCGGGAACTGATTGTGATTTGCAGGAAGAAAGTCAAGATCGATAGTCAGCATTGTTGGCGTGGGTTGCATGGGCCGGGAGTGGATTTGGCCTAGCTGAATAGCTTTCGGCTGGCTTGCCGTCGCAGTGAGACGGCCCAGTTTCCCCCCGTTCAGCTCTTTAACAACAATCTCCTTCGATAGTTGATAGGCTGTGCTGTCTCCAGGGACGAGTATGGGCGGCATCTCAGGCAAGTTCGGGAGAACGTGGATTTTGTGTGTTCTGTCGGCGGAGGTAATTGGTAGGTTCGTCTTTGGGTTGACTTCGGTGGCTTTAAATCGAATGGCATAGGCAATTGATGCCGTATCAGGCTCTAGACTGGGCGAGAAGCAATTCTTTCCCTTGGGATTGGGATAGAATCCCAGACCAAGACTGGGTGGTAGATTTAGATGATGGCACTTTATTTCAGCGTGTTCGCACGGATGCTGACACGCTTGTGGCAGTAGCCCTGAAGGAACCACGAACAAGAACGGGAGTCGGTATGTTCTTCCTGGTTCCAACACCATCCCTTCGGACAACAACGGCTCGTCAACGGGCTGGTCAAGTCGCATGAATCTCTGCGTGGTGCAAGGGCAGCCTGTTCGTCTCTCGATATTCGGTTCCCAAATCGTTGCTTTTGCGATTCCTATACATATTCCCAACACATTAGCAACGATATATATAGCTTCGGTCAGCCTGAGGGGGGTCCTACCTTCGAAAGTGATGCATAGATTCTTTAATATTATATCTCGACATGGTTTGAAAAGTATCTCGCCTTTTATCTGGTCATCCGTCCGGTATACGCATGGAAGGTCATGCTGAGAGCTCGGTAGAGAGAACTCTACGTAAGACTTTGAGTGCTTGTAGGATGGCTTCAGATCGTGTAGTATTTTTCTCATTTGGATAGATTAGCGAGATGATTCAAACCCAGTTGTTTCAGAGATTGAGCGAAATTCTACAAAACTTCTCTAGAGTCCTAATGATTACAAAAATATCCAAATTGACTCACCCCGGTATGTCAGCGCTAAGATGGATATTGTGCATTGATCTGTCACGCCCTTCGCATACAGCGGATTTGAAGGATCGGATGTAGCGGATATGGTGGATATAATTCTCCTTGCCCTGGCAGGGACCCACATCTCTTGAATTCAAATTCCACGTTTTCCCTCTTTCCCTCGTGCTTTTTCAACTTCAATCTTATTCTATAAAATACATAATAATGGCATCGGATCACCAATATATCTATTTCCGGGTCTCCAAATCGGAGGACCTCACGACATCAGCCCAACAATATAAGGAACTGCGTCTCCGAGCCTTGCAACTCTCACCTTCCTCATTTGGCTCCACATACGAAATCGAATCTACATTCCCCGACGAATATTGGATGTCACGTATAACTGGAGATGGAAGAGAGACATTTATCTGCGCCGCAATCCCATCTCCAGAATCCAATGCTGCGGACCCAAGCAGCCTCGAATGGGTCGCCCAAGTAACATTGCTGGGCCCACGAAGCAGAGAGCAATTCACGCTCCCAGAAGTATCGAGACAGCCATTTCCTGGTCCAGACGAAGAAGAGGAACGATGGCAGATGCTGGGCCTGTATACGCTTACTTCGCATCGAGGCAAAGGAATCGCAACAAAACTTTGCCAAGAAGCTTTGAATTACATCCGTTCGTATCGATCCGAGCCGGAAAATGTCCGATTCCGCCTCATGGTCAAGGCAGGAGCTCATGCTCCGTTAGGGTTTTATGAGCAGCTTGGGTTTACGGAGGTTGCAAATTGCACTCTCACAGAAGCTATGATTGCGAATGGGGACGGGAGTTTTTTGCCAGAAGACCATCAAGAGCAAGAGAAGTACCTGGCTCGAACTAGTCATGTTATGATGCAGCTGTTTAAGAGATGATAAATGAGAGATTTGTCGTTTTGAGCGGTTGTTTGGGTTATGTAAATAGATCATTATAGACAAAAAGTTACCAATAACTATCTCTCGTTTTCTGTCTTTCTTCTCCGAAGCTATTTACTTCTAGTATACGGAGCTCTAGCGAAAGTAAACAATACTATAGGTATTTTCGGTGACCTATTCAGCGAGAAACTACCGAGCTTAGAGAGGGACCTCATTCCACAGCGGCATGATGCGCAAAATATCGATACTGTTCTCTAAATTCGCATGTCAATCCTACATTATATATCACACACTGCTGGAATTGGCATATTATTTAGAATGCGATGTCCCTGGTTACCAATCGGACTTTACCCAGTCCACTATCTTCAGTTTCTGTCCCGCTAAATCCGCCATATCCGCCCCCCCCCCCCCCCCCCAATGCCTAAATTCGTTATATTCACAATGATCAGACGTCGTCACGAACAGAATCTACTTCCATACTGTGCCTTCAATTGAAAAATTCACTTCCACTGCTTCTGAGAGAATAAATCGATCGATATTTGTGAAGGCTCTCAGCGGGCTTCTAGGCATATACATACCCTAACAGTTAGGGAGACTGCTCCAGCTAGCAGGCTTACACGCTGAGCAGGTCATTAGAATTATTATTCTCGACAAGAAACAGGAAATACCTGGGGCGCCTTTGGAAAGGTTTGCAGTCCCGAGAAAATCGAGAAACCGGAAACCATCATGTCTCCCAAAACGGAACTGGGAGGCAGTATGTTGGATGTTGAGAGAGGGCACCATTCGAACGATACTTTGGGCACCACAATAGAGCCTTCAAGCTGCTCTCAGAAAATGATTTCTTGGGTTCGCACAAGCAGTAAAGACTGCGGACCGCCACCCGACGGAGGCCTCGAAGCCTGGAGCCAGATAATCTGGTCACATTTCACAACCTGCAACACCTGGGGATATGTGACCACATTTGGCGTCTTCCAGACACACTACAATCAGATGTTGAGTGAGAGTCCGTCTGCAATTTCGTGGATTGGGAGCGTCCAAGTCTTCCTCCTTTTCTCCATTGCAACATTTTCCGGTCGAGCATCAGATGCGGGATTCTTCAAGCTTGTCTGGGGCCTTGGAGCTCTCCTCGTTTTGATTGGGATTTTCATGGCTTCATTATCTTCATCTTACTGGCAACTGTTCCTATCGCAAGGCCTTTGCCTCGGTATAGGGAGCGGGCTTATGTTCTGCCCCGTACTCTCTTTGATACCGACATATTTCTCAAAGCATCGGTCCTTAGCTATTGGTGTTACTGCTGCTGGTTCCAGTACCGGAGGCCTCGTGTTCCCCGCCGTCGTGGAGCAACTACTTCCACGGATCGGATTCCCATGGACCATGCGTGTTCTTGGTTTCTTGACCCTGTTGATGCTTCTTCCCTCTTTCATTTTCCTTAAACCGAGAATGCGTCCGCGGAAGGGTGGTCCAATTGTGGAATGGAGAGCTTTTAAAGATCCGTCGTACCTGCTCTTCAGTATCGGGATGTTTTTCGCTTTCTGGGGGCTGTACGTCGCTTTTTTCTATATCGGCAGCTTCGCCCGGGAGATTATTGGAGTCGACCAAGTTGTCTCCATTAGTCTTTTGTTAATCATGAACGGCGCCGGCATGCCAGCACGAATCCTGCCCAATATTGTCGCAGATCGGTACACTGGCCCACTCAATCTCCTTATCCCGGCTATCCTGATATCATCTATCATCCTCTTCTGCTGGATAAGCGTCGTCCAAACCAGCAACTTGTACGCATTTTCGGTATTTTATGGGATATTCTCTGCCTGTGTGCAGTCATTATTCCCAGCCTCACTGACTTCGATGACCGTGGACTTGAGTAAGATCGGGGTTCGAACCGGCATGGTGTTGACCGTTGTCAGTTTTGCAGCTTTGACGGGCTCGCCTATTGCAGGTGCGTTGGTGCAGCGTGGTGGTGGAAGTTATCTGTATGCACAGTGTTTTGCTGCTGCTAGTATGGCTGCTGGTGGTATCTTGGTTACCATGGCCCGGATTCGCAAAACTGGGTTTGTCGTGAATGCAAGGATGTGAAGGTGCCGAGACTTTCTGTCCTTTCATTCTCAAGGCACTGCAATGAGATGGATGGTAAGCTATACAAGGAGATTTGCCCTTGTTCAAAGTTATATGTACATAAATGCTAGCCTCACTGCCAATCTTATCAGATTACCCCGATTGGGTAGTCTCCTCCGACTCGGACATCCATCATCGAATTAGCCCTGTTAGCCTAATATGCCATCCAATTATCTCCGCGGAACTCGCGGATGAATCCTCTTCCTATGTGTCAATTGTTTGATATAACTATCAATCAGACAGCATGCTAGTTACCCCTCTTCATTCTCCGCGGCCATGTCTCCTGCATTACTTCCAAATTACTCCGATAAGGCTGTCCTTATAAAGCGGGGTCTTCTCCTCTGCACCTGTTTGCTAGAGAGAGTGCAAGCGTCCCGTTGAGCATATTCAGACCAACTGATTTCCAAACATGCCGGATAAGCAACCCGAGGGCATCGAGGCCCAGAGTGCCTTTGCCTCAACTCTCATCAACGACATTGAAAAGACAGCACCGGAAGGATCATGCCGGAAAATAGCCTTGCCAATCAAACCTCAACCAGGCACAAACGCTGTTTATGCCTCCAAATCAGCACTACTGAGCCAAGCTCTTCAGGATCTGGGTATGGGACGGTACCAGTGGTTTCTGGTTATTGTTACCAGTGTTGGCTGGTTTCTCAGTAGCGTATGTCGATATTCACTCTAACATTGCCTTTCTTCCGAGATTGTACTGACAATGGAGATGTACAGTTCTGGCTCATGTCCTTCAAGCTAATCGCGCCACCCGCCGCCAATGAGGCCAAGTTCTTCTTCTCTTCCTCTGGTGACCGCGAAGCCTTCCTATCCATCAGCCTTTTTGTCGGGCTCACCGCTGGCGCAGCCTCGTGGCCATGGATGTCTGACCAGCTTGGTCGCAAGTGGATCTTTACCAGTACCTTGGTGCTCATGGGGATGGGCGGTCTCGTCGGTGCGGGCATGCCGTCGTTTACGGGGTTATGTGTAGTCGGCTTCGTTATGGGATTCGCTGTTGCTGGTAACGTGTTAATTGATGCTATTATTCTCATTGAGTGGGTACCGGCGTCGCATCAGTTTGTGGTGTGCTTGCAGGGGTTGTTTTGGGGGTTAGGGGAATTAGTGGCTGCAGCAGTAGGATGGTTTGTCTCCCGTTCGATTATACTCAATTACAAGGTGTTAACTACCCTAGGCCATTTATCAGCGAACACACCTGTGGTACCGGTCCCGACGAACTAAGCACAGAGCAAGCCATTGCCCACCAATCTCGAGCGGTGCACTCTTCATCCTCTGGCAGCTGCCACTACGTAAGCAACAAAGGCTGGCGCTACATCTGGTGGACCTTCGGCTGTATCACCTTTTTCCTCTATCTCTGTCGCTTCTGCTTCCCTCTCCGCGAAACACCGAAGTATCTCCTCTCGCGGCGTCGTGATGCTGAGGCAACACAGCTAGTCAAGGATATGGCGTTGTATAATCGCCACACCACGTGGCTCTCCGAGGCATCATTTGCGCGAATTGACTCGACTGTTGATGCTCAACGATCTCCGCGATCTGGCATTCGTGCGCTCCTAATTTTAACAGGGGGGAGTCTGCGCGCCGGAATCCTTGCTCTCCTTTGGTGCGTCACCGGACTGACCTTCGTCCTCCACCCGAACTATCTCCGCTTGCACCTCTCCAGCAAGGGCGTTTCAGCCGTGACGGCCACAACCGTATCCACAAGCTTCCTGTATAGCCGGTATCTATATGTCTCGCTATGCACGATACCCGGCCCTATTCTCGCGGCAGTTCTGGTGAAAACAAAATACGGCGGCAGGAAACGGACCGGTGCCCTTATCGCCCTTATAACAGGCATATTGATGCTTGTTGCACCAGTATCGCGCTCTAGAGGTGCCGCGCTCGCGTTTAGCTGCCTTCTTTCGTGCACACAGCATGCTGGGCTAGCCGTTTTAATCACATACTCAGTTGAGGTCTTTGCCGCGCCGGTTCGAGGCTTTGGGCTGGGCGTTATGGGGTTTTCCGGGGCACTTTTTGGTCTACTTGGGATGATTATCACCACGTTCGACACTGCAGTAGCAAATGGAGCGGCTGTATGGTTTAGTGGGGCTGTATGGATTGTCATGGCGGGACTGTGGTTTGTTTTGCAGGAGAGAGAAGTGGCAGCGTGATAGTGTACGAAGTACATTGATCAGTCCGTGTCGTGCGATACAGTCCAGAAAAAGGCACCACGATCATAAGCCAGAGTATGTACTTGATTGCTTAAAGCTATCTAGAGAACGACAACAGTTGGATATTTACTGGGCCGGGCACTAGCCACATAGGGCCAAAGCACATGAAATACGTCCGAAACTTCTTCCCCTCCCTTTCCACGCACTATCCCATCCGGAATCCCCTAGGTTGAGGTTTGAACAGCCCCTTTGAGCCGCAGTACGTATATGGCAATTCGCTGCCTGGTTGCCTAATAGCCACGTGGACTGCAGGCGAGGTCAGTCTCTTTGTTTTGTGTGTAATATCCTTCTCTTCTCTATCCATCTCACTATCCTACTATCATATCTGTCATTATATCTCTGTGTTCAGTGTCATCATCTATACAACGCACGAAATAAGTCTCTGCCAGCCTGTCGACGCTACAATCCATCCATTATGACAACCATCTTGACATTTTTCACTGCCAACCTGCCAGCAAGTGTATATATGATAGTTCCATTTCCAGAATAGTTGATGACAGTGCAAAGTGCTAACCTCTCATGCCAGGTCTTTAACCAAATAATGCACGAGACCCTACAGGTCGAAAATGGCTCTCAATTCTAACCATCCTACGCACCCCGGATCAACAAGAGATTGATGAATGGGGAACCGAAGCACCAATCGAAGACTTCGAAACCGGATTTCTGGGAAAGAGAGAAGATGAGCTCCGTCGCTTTTATCGCCAATGGCTAGCCAAAACACCCGGATCTTTGCAGGGAGATGTTAACGAACACATGATGGCAGTGCTGGACGAACGATCGGCCATCGACTCGACTATGATACTATACTGGGGAATGAAGAAACACCACTGGGATGATTATTGCGAGTTTCAGCCTGGTAAGCCGATTACCGGGAATGGGAACTTGTGTGAGGATGGTTATATCTGGTGGAAGTGGAGGGTTCCTTTTAAGCATGCATTTGAACTCTTTCTCAAGGCTGAGCACTGCAATACCGAGGTCGTGGAGCTCTTCTGTCGGCCGGAATATCAAGGTCCTGATGGAGTTGTTGATTATGAGACCTGTAACAAGATCCTTAACTTGGAGATCCCCGATCCGCTGGGAATTGTTGGTATTGTAAAATGAGGACCTGTGAATTCCCGTATGCGGTTAATTTTTCCCGTTACGGTTTAGCTCCCCAATACACCGTCATGTAACCGTTGCCTTGGCCGCCCCAACATCAACAACTCACACTCGTCCTCTTTTTTCAGAGGTAAGCAGGTTTGTGCCTTTCTGTTTTTGTGCATTTCGTTTCCCTCTTCTGTTATTCCCTTTGTTTTTTGACCTTGGGCTTCTAGGGGGAAAATCAGTTGCTTTTCCACCCTCTCCTTCCTCTAGATAGATTCCGTTCTCCAGATTCGACATTCTCGTCGAGGGCTACAATAGTTTAGATAGGAACGTCGATTCATTATTATCTGCTATTCCGAGCCCGTGACATGCGGCTCGACAGGCAGACCCAGCAGTGATATCTGTTGAACTAACCCTAAAAAGCGCCATTAGAGGGAATGCCAAACCCAACCGTGTTCAAATAAGATCAAATGCGCTTGAGCAGTGTCCGCGGGAGCCGTGTTGGTTCGCAGCTGTCCAAACCAAGGACCATCAAATGGGAGGCCACTGCGGGATGGTAGTCTAACCCGGAAGCATCTATTATTTTGGGACCAAGGTACCAGGATAGACAGTCTCCAACTATGGATACGTACAAGCGTTTACCTAAAGAGGCAACGGACAACCAATGACATCATCTGCAGTGGATGATCTGGCGTAGCTGGAACAACACCCCACTTGGTGCCGTCTCAGCCACCAATAAACTACCCCACTACAGGGCTGGGCAGCAACGCCCATAATATAAATAGACCCTGTAATACCCCAGAATCACCCTCTACGATCTCTCTTCTTCCTTCACGCAAAGCAAGAAACACTACCAGAAAGCAAAAATGTCCTTCCACTCTACCTCCTCCGACGTCCACATCTCCCACGAGAATGGCAGCACTATGCTCCTCTGCCAAGTCCGTGATACCCACGGCAAGATGAACCCCCGCCGTATTCGTCTCGACGACCACATTGGAAACACCGACGGTACCTCCCCTTCTCTTTTATAGCACACCTCTTCCCCATAACCCCAGACTAACGGACATAGGATGGTTCCTCTGGGGCGGCGTCAACTTCACCCAGAGCGCCGAGAACATCGCCCTCGAGAACACTGACCGTGGTCCGAAGCTGACGGCCGAGCTGCACAAGAGAGATGGTGGTTACCGGGAGCGTCAGGGATTGTTCCTTTCGGATAAGATTGAGAACCGGGATGGTCATTTGCACTTTACGGTGAGTAGGAGTGGCCCGTCCTTGGTGGGGTTAAGGTTTGGTTGATCGGCGTGCTAATGGAGTGATGCTGCAGGGTGCTTAAGTGTGGATAAGGTCGGCTTATGATGGAGGTTATCTCGGTTGTCTATTGAAGTATATATGCATATTGAATTGGACATTGATGTCAAGAAATTACTGTTTCTCCGGGTCAGATGTAGCCAAGATCCCCACATAGTAGTAGCTTGGTTTAGCGTAGAGGTATTCATTCTCGAATATTCCGTCTGTTTATCGTGAACGCCATCTGGCATTCTCCATACAGTTCCATGAGTCACAACATGTACTCCGTAGCGCTACCCATGTAGTCAAGGCGCATACTGTATAACAGTATCACTAGCAGAGAATGAGCAATTCTGGACTGTTTACTTGTACAACATAGAGTAACCCATCACGTGCCAATTTAGCCACAACGGATCTATCCGAAGTGACCCTTTGGTTCGACCAGGATCCTTTGGAGTTAAAGAGCAGATGCAACGCTCGGAATACATAGTATCCGGGATGCTTATGTGAGATCAGGTACATATAACTAACTAGTTAACTATGCTACTTAAATGTGGTTTAAATATCCGGTTCACGCCATGCCAATCTTGAATCTAACGCTTTTTGGGTCTGGTTGACCATCGCCTCGGGATCAACACCAGGGAAATAATTTACCCGCTGGTCGGGGTTTAGATCGGACGGCATTTCCAGGAATGGATAAAGAAGGAGAGCCTCTTTGCGCGTTCAATTTTATATATTTAAGATCTTCCCCAGTCTCTTTTCACTGTTGACACATTTCAGTTTAAGAGGCTATCGACAACAGCATCAGTCCAAAAAGTGAATAGTTCTACAACTTCTGCGGCATACCATGGCCGACATGGGCTGAATCACGAAATCACGAATAATTGGAGCAGTTTTGAAGCTAGAGAACAACTTCACTAGCTTTTTCATTGATGCATTAATATTCGTCAATGGACTGGTGGCCTACCTGGGCAAACTCTTCTGAGCCCATCCCGGCATTTGCTAACTATGTTTAAATGGATTCGACCACGCTCTTGCTGCTATTTGCTGATAACTATGGGATACACTGCTTCGGCAAATTCATGGCGTTTTGTTCATTCATTTCACCTTTTCCGCCGCGTGTCTGTTCTTTACGACATCACATACTCGGAACAACGAATTGCTTTGGTTCTTGCGACAGTGGCACCTTGTGTGATTCCGTCTCTTTTCACTCGATCGATAGTGCACAATACGACCCGCTGTCTCGTCAATTAGATAGTCGACTCCAGTCATTCTGGCTGCCTGTTATGCTCTAGTGAACGCTTCAGGCCCAGGCCTATGACAGCCATGTTCACCGGGCTTGAAACGTCAGCTGTCTTGTCTATTTTCATAATACGGTGTACTAGCCCTGCCCCTGAAACAGGAACTGACGCAGCAAGACAAAGTCCACGAATTACAAACCTGCTAAGGAACGCTCTAGAATTCGCACTATATGACCTGTACTGGAAGACAACGTTGCAGATTCTTCGCCTCGTCCGCAGCCCCTATGAATACGCAATCCTCTCGCTTTCTGGGTCATCGTGGAGCCAATAAGGCACGAGTGGGTTGTCAAACTTGTCCAGCGTTGTGTGCTCGAACTCTACCTCATACATCCAGTGATGGTGACAGCGGACAGCTCGTCTCGGATGGTGATGGCTTCCGTCATTCTCGGTTGACAGCAGCAGGCCGAGGACGCTACTCTAGAAAAGAAGCTTCAAGGATGAGCAATCGGCAGCATTCAGGATGCCACCTACCGACCTCGCGCCAAGATGGGATCGGCCGTCGCTGCACGAAACGCCCCTCATATTCACCAATGAGATATCATACAAATACCCGCTAACATAAGGCGCCGCGTCGACATTGCTTGGCGCCAAGGAACCGAAGTTTTGGCGATATCGCGCCGGGAGATATTCCACGAGGCATTCAACTTTATTGTTATGGTTATTTGCTACCATGGCAGAGGAATCTGACTAAATAGGATCCAAGTGAGGATAGAGACATGGCATTCCGCTTTCACTACTGTGGGAGTACAAAGGGGAGTACAGAGGACAGTGTATTTGCTCCAGGATTCGACAGTGCAGACGTTCTATTTGGCTTCATACAAGTACACTTGTGGGACGCGGACTCGTCAGCCACGCCAATGCTAACTTAAACGTAACTAGTTGCTCCGGATTACGGAGTACTCCATATATAGAATATCTACTTTGTGCACAGTAATACATCCAATAGAGAACTTGATTCGATAAAAACAACGGCGACGGAAGCAAATAACAGACCTTGATCCGCTTAGTCATTTCTTGGCATTTGCACGTGCCCGCTCTTGAATCACCCGGCGTTGTTCCGGGCCTCAATGATGAATGGTGATGACGCCGCCGTGGCTATTGTCACAGCCTTTCTTTGGAGACTGCCCCTGCTAGGGCTTGGAGTAGTCAATCTAATTGATTCCACAGCCGGGCCCATTTCCCCAGACGCTGAACAATATGGCGCACGCTATTTGTCGGTTTCCAGACACTATCTGGAATCGATTCGTCAGCTATTCTCCTAGTGTTGTTGTAGGCTAATTTTGCATCCTAGTCGTACGGAGCACACCGGGGCGTCATGGGCGAGGGAAGGAGTATAAAGAGGGAGACAGATCTTCGTCGGTTGTCCAGGTCTTCTGATCAACAAGTTCATCATTCTCTATCCTTCGATCATCATCCCCAATCGCAACAATGGTTCGCGCTGCTACTCTTTTCGCCGGTCTGGCTGGTCTGGCCGGCATTGTCTCGGCCCACCCTGGCCACGATGTTAAGGCTGAGGCCGCTGAGCGTGCCGCCTTCTTGAAGAACTCCCCCGTCCAGGCTCGTGGTCTGAGCCAGTGTGACACCAAGCTCAAGGCTCGTGGCCTTGAGAACACCAACGTTGCTCGTCGCCAAAGGGCCGTCGAGCAATTGCGTCGCAAGAGAGGTCTTGCTTCTAGTATGTGGTATCCTTTTGCTTGCAATTCCAGTGGGATTATACTAACGATCTGGCTTTAGGCGCCCCTCTCATCAAGTCCCGCGACCTCGAGTCCTCGTTGAACACCACCCACCACTCCGATCTCAAGGGTGTTACCACCCACACCGACCCCGAAGTCCTCTTTGCTTACAACCCTACCTGTGTCCTTGGTCCTGATGTGACCCAGGGTCCTTACTGTGCGTATATTATCAAAACTTCCTTTCTCGGTATGCAATCTAACTTGATGCAGATGTCACCGGTGAATTGATCCGCTCGGACATTACGGAGGACCAGGAAGGTGTTCCTCTCTTCCTCGACATCCAACTCGTTGACTCCAACACCTGCGAGCCAGTTCCTGAGATCTACATGGACATCTGGCATTGCAACTCTACTGTATGTATACTCAAAGGCAAACAAGCATTCACAGTAACTAATGGATTCAATCTAGGGTGTCTACTCTGGTGTTTCCGCCAGCAGCAATGGCAACTCCGATGACGAGACCAACCTCGACGCAACCTTCCTCCGTGGTCTCCAGAAGACCGACAAGGAGGGTGTGACCCAGTTCGAGACCGTCTTCCCCGGTCACTACACCGGCCGCGCCACCCACATCCACGTCCTCTCCCACCCCGCCAACGAGACCAAGGTCCTCAAGAACAACACCATCAGCGGCCTCTACACCGCCCACTCCAACTGGGTCGGTCAGATCTTCTTCGACCAGGACCTCATCTCCACCGTCGAGGAGCTCGAGCCCTACAACACCAACACCCAGGAACTCACCACCAACGCCGAAGACAGCATCCTCGCCGAGGAAGCCGACACCATCGACCCCTTCGTTGAGTACGTTTTCCTCGGTGACAAGCCAGAGGACGGTATCTTTGCTTGGATCTCGGCCGCCGTCGATGTCACCGGTGACAGCGACGTTACTCCTGCCGCTTACCGTACTGAGAACGGTGGTGTTTCCAACCCCAACAGCGGTATGGGTATGGGCGGTGGTCCTCCCCCGGGTGATTCTTCCTCTAGCGCTGCTCCCAGCTCCAGCTCTAGCGCTTAAGCTTGTTTTGGGTGAAGATAGGTGATGGTTTTTTTTTTTTTTTTTTTTTACATTCTTGTATACTGTTTGAAAGTAAATAGCACGTTTACTTCTAGGTAGTTATTGGAGCTGGCATTAGGCTAGTTTCTTGTACTTTACAATTTATTTCAATTACTGGCAAACATTTTTACAACTAGAATGAACCCTTGGGTGCCGATGACGCCAAAAACGGCAGCTCATGAGGCCGTTTCTGGCGTCGTTGGCACCAAGAACTTCGCCTAAACGGGTAAGGCGCTCATGCCGCTTTAGACTGGCAACGGTGCGGCATCGGACACGTATCGGTATTACTGTTTTTTTACCCTCAGCCAGCGGGCTCTGCCCCACCTAGGATCCCTGCCTTGCTGAGCCCACATCCCCAGCACGACCTGCTGAGGATAGTAACTGGGGGGTGGAGTCCAAGTCATGAGGGAGGCAAGGGCCCCTGCCCTTGACATTACCAAGAGAGGTTTCTTTCCTTTACAGCGCAGAGAACGAGGCAAAGGAAAAAAGATAAATAGTGCCATGAACCGCTGCTTTACTTCTGCTACCATGACTGTATCCTATCCATCCCCTGTATCCCTTTAACGGCTCTCTTCACACGATGGCATACTTGGGACTCCCTTGGAGAAAGTATGCACGGCAGGAGAACAATGGAGTGTGAAAATCCTACCTCTACTACGCTGAATGTTGAAAACAACACCTTGAAAATGGACTAACATTGCTGCAATATGCATCCAACATGAACATATCAGCAGCTTCAGTGAGAGGGAAGTGGAATCAGTCAGTGTTTCCCCCATGATAGACTTGCTTTTCTGTTTAAGGTCACTGATTCTCACCATTGTCAGGTTCAGCTCCCAAGCTGGCCTGGATCCAGATATTCTGCTTGAGAACCTGACCGCGGCAGATGTTAAGTCCTGGTTTGATTGGATTGAGAAGAACTTCAAGGGTTCTATTTTATAAAGCTCACAGCGCACTTGCCAACTACTGGAGGACCTTGAAGAGACTTTACTTCATGCAAAACCGCCATGAAATGGAGACCAGATTGCAGGGAGATTGCCTCAACATGAGTAATTCATTCTTGGATGAGGCTGCTTCTACTCTTTGCTAATGTAGGAAGCAGTACATGAATGTTGTGAGCAAGTGGATGGGCTTGCGTAGGCATCCGCTTCCCAAGCCAACGGCAGCCTTGGATGATCTCTTGCATTTTCTCGTTACGCACATGGTCCACTACGATTCCGTGTTCGCCGATGAGAAGCAGCGACTCTATGTACTTTCAGGACTCAATTTGTCAAGTGTTTCCGCTTGTCGGGCAGTGTCATTATTTGATACAAGACATCCTGTTGACTTCCAAGCAGATGGTCGTCCGCTCCAGCACTCTGAAGTGGAGCGACGCAATGATAGTTAACTAACTAGTTAACTATCCTTGAGCCTCCTTTTTATTTTATTGATCTATATTAATCACTCCCTGGCGAGCATGGTCTCTTTGAATGTAACTCTCAAAGTAAGTTAGGATTATTTTCTTTTTCTGGCCATTATAATCGTCGTGCCAATGAGGACTGTCAAATCCAAACATCAGAGACTACATTCTGTGGACAGCCCGGTATGTCTGCTGACCAGAAAGAGACTGGATATTGCCAAATCTGGATGTACGCCATGCGATGGTATCTGGAGATGGCCAAAGATGAACAGAGCCACACTCTCAAGGCCAAACCCACCTGCGCCAAGGCGGATGAGAACGCTATCTATGATATGGCCGTACTTGCGCGGAGACTGGGTTTCCGCTCCAAGCAAATCAAGAACATCTTGAAGCAATCTCCTGATCGGCAAATTGCACAGACAGCCCTGCTGAAAGCCTGAAGACCTGACTGCTATCATTATGATGATGACATGTTTGAATCTCTTGTTGACTGCATTACAGAGATCTTTTCCCTTGCAATCCCCAGCGACAACCAGCCAGCCGCAGAGCTCATTGTAGGCAGAGCGGTGAAGCTGAAAGATCAGTGTGGGCCTCCTGTGGTACAAGCACAGCGGCTGGATCATCCGCATCTTTTTCTAGATCAATTACATACAGAAATTCCATCACAGCAGCATGTGTCGTCTTTCTATATCAGACAATGTGTCTACTATGCCTTCTTCAGTAAACCCTCCATGCCCTGACTGCACTTGACTACAACCGGAAGGCCCTCATCAGAACTCCCCTTGGATCGTTCCTCACCTTTATTTGTTCCAGATGACTCACTGCATGGTGACTTGGAATTGACAGCAGAGGAAGCACTAGCGCGCAGCGACTGGGAAGGACAGCCTACAAGCCACCATCAACTGCGGGAGATACATAGGGAGCGACGCCGCCAGAGGCGGGGAGAAAGGCAAAATCAACGGCAAGAACGTTGACAAGAGCATGCAGTGGAGCAGGTGCCAGCTGTTTCTTGAAGTTTCTCTCTCTGCGATTCTCCCGCAAGCACCATGAGTGATGTTTCTGGGACAATTATAGACAACCAGGAAAGTCCAAGGTCTTCTGGTGTATCAGAAGAAACTAAGTTATGGCCTGAATCCGGGGAAATCTAGCAATAAGCTGAAGAAGGGTCAATTCCTGAGCAGATTGAGCAAGAGCACCTGGAAACAGAAAGTATGGAGCAAGAAGAACAGGGGCAGCTTATGAGAGAGAATGAAGAAAGCGTCGATCAGGGGCGCCTAGCAAGAGAGGCTGAAGAAAGAGCTGAAAAGGAGCGCCTAGCATGAAAGGCAGAAGACAGAGCCGAGCAGGTGCGCCTGGCAAGAGAGGCCGAAGAGACTGCTGCGGCACAGAGAGCCGAACAAGAACAACTGGTAAGAGAGGCTGAAGAAAGACCCGAGCAGGAACGCCTAGCACAAAGAGCTGAAGAAACTGCTGCTGCAGAACGGCTAGCTGCGGAAACTGCTGAGCAAGAGCGACTGGCAAAAGAGGCAGAAGAAAGAGTGGCTGCAGAACAAATTGCTACAGAGAAAGCCAAGCAAGAACGGCTGTCAAGAAATCATGAAGAGAGGCCTGAACAAGAATGCCTGGCAGCAGAGGGAGAAGCCACTGCACAGTCAAACTTACAGCAGCCTGGTAACAAAGGGCAATTACAGCAGGGAACTAGCCACGATAAAGGGGTCACCACTGAAGATGTTGAGAAACTCCTCGACGGAATGCTCCAGGGCAATCCAGAACAGAAGACAATGGGTAGCCATGACATTCAAGGGTGTGATCTGCTAGTGGAAGGACCAAGTGAAGCTACTGGGAATGCGCACGCTGAAGAAGAATGAGTAGCTAAGGAGTGAGATAATACTCTAGCTCAGTTACAAGAGAAGGCTGAATATAATCCAACACCGTTGGAGAGTCGCGAGACACTTGCTGATCCTCCATGGCCTGTCACTCAACTGGACCTGTCCAGCTTGATTGCCAGATGGTGTGAAGGTGCGAGTCAGCTAGATGAAGATGACAGACGGCAGCCTCATAGCTGATGTTCAAGACATGGTTAACAATCACGGCACTTGAAACCTACCGGGCTCAGAAAATCTCAGATGAAGGGAAGATCTACATACCAAGATATCAATTGAGCAGGGACCCATGATGCTGCCATATATAAGCAACTGGGATGGGACCTTGAAGCCGCTCTCCCAGGTCCCATGCCGCCGATGCAGGCGCCACCACTGCCAGCCAGTGTACCAGTAGCACACTCAACCTGAGAAGGGATAATAAATGTCCATCCTGAGGACCAAACATTGCACCAACCAGTGCAGGAAGTACAAGAGCTGGTGTTATCTGCACTGATATCCAAGGAGCATAATGACAGGACGGCAGCGGATGTCAATCCTGTAGGTGGCCCTTTAAACCAGGGTGCCATCCACGCCAATATTCTTGAGAAACCCCCAGAGAGGACCGTCGCACCCCATACCATGTCTTCCGGTATAGATGGAGCTGGAAACCATCCGTCTTCTACGGCAATGCCTTACGAGGGCCATGCCGCTTTGGAACCAGCCAAGCGCCAAGAGCTTGCCAGGCAGGGTCATCAAGGAGTTGTGACTAACGTGATGGAGACTGCTGAGGGAACATTGGGACTCGCGCAACAAGAGGAGCAAGAGAGACTAACAGTGGATCAAGTGGATCCAGAGCAAGCCTGGAAGGAGGTAGATAAGAGAGTGGTGGCAGAGATAGCACTCTTCAAGGAAGATGCTGACCTGCAACAACAAGAGTCCCAAGGAGCCACAATGAGTTCAGATCAGCAAGGATGCATCATCCCATCTGAAGTCCTGACTGGCATTAATGCAGAAGACCAGTCACCTTTTCCTGCGGAAATTACATCGAGTCCTCAGGCTGGAGCAGCAACCTTCCAGGATCCAACAACTCACAGAGGCACACCAGCTGCTCCAAGCCAGACTACTGTGCGCCATGGAAGACTATCCCGGCCACTGGGAACAAAAAAGGCCCGGAATACAGCTAAGCAGCGACGGTCCAAGGAGAACCTTCCTTCCGGCATTGAGCAGACACAGGTCAACAAGCATACTCGCCGTGGATGAGCCGCACAGAAAAAGAGGGCCTCAAAGGTTGTCATGCAGATCGATTTCCGTGCATGGATAGAAAGAAATCAGACCGTGGCAAATCCACAACCCGAACTACCTCGTGCAAAACGGCCCCGACCAGTGGACGAGGAAAGCGGGGAGACTGGCCACAGCTCTGCAACCTCTGGCACAGGCTTGACTTCACCAGAGCAGAGGAAAAGGTTATGGCCTAACAGGCCCCGAAAAGGAGAGGAACACGCGCCATCGAATGATGTAAATGAGGTGAAACCTCTACCCTTACCTCCCATGCCAGTTACTGGAGGGGCCTCCTCAAGCTCTCATTCGGATGATATCCAACCTGGCCGGAATGTCACAATTACTTTCCGAGCTTACGACCGTGGGGAATGAAGAAAGTTAGACGCTGTATCTGTGGATGCCTTTGATCCACGCGAAGCACAAAAACTCGCCGATCACTACGCGCGAGCAGAGGGAATGGGAGCAAGACAGAACGTTACCGGCGGACTTTATAGCGGCGCGGCGCCGGGCGGTGAGGGGCGGCAGTGCCGGGTTTGGCGAGGCCGTTTCCGGATGCGGCGGCCCCTAGTTAAAGGCAAATAACTGAGTACGTATCAGCAGTAGACCATAGAACCATGACCGACAAACACTGGATAGGGGTAGAAAATCGACAATCACTTGATTCTGCGTTCGAGGACAATATTACTATTCCGACTAAACAGCAATTCATCCACTCCAGTGACTGTATTGCTCGTGTCAAATTCTTAGACTCCCAGCGAAAGTCTTCCGATGTAATGCTTGTATTATCTCTATGGTTTCTATAAAAAATCCTATATTCAACAATAGACACTATGGCCGAGTGGTCTAAGGCGGTAGATTAGAAATCTACTCTCTTCGGAGGCGTCGGTTCGAGTCCGACTGGTGTCGTTTTTTTACCTTTCCGGCATACAGGCGTACTTTGTACAGCTTTGAGAATTGCGTCTGCAAAGTTTTTTTTTTTGCTTTTTTGAATTTGTTCGTTTTTTGTTCGGGGTGAACAATTCAGCTCGCTGTGCAGAAAATGAATAACCAATGGGATTAGGGATTACCATAGTCTGATCCCTACTTGTGCATCCCGTTACCGGCATCATGGGGAGCGGGACCGGGATGACCCCTGGAGTATATAGTTGATTTTTTGTAACGAAAGACGTTGTACTTGTAAGGCTTAGACTCGTGCAGACTGCCTTGATCAACTCGAGCTACTTTGTTGCAAGCACTCCACACCCGCGACCATGCTAAACACAGCTCTCCTCGTACTAGACATCCAAAATGGCATACTCGACCGTCTAGGAACCACCATCACAGACGACTATCTCCAACGTCTCTCAACTACGCTCACCAAAGCCCGCGCCGCCGGCGTCAAAATCATCTACATAACAACATCCTTCCGCCCCGCCTACCAAGACCTCCACCTCAACAACTCCTCCACAGCAACAATCAAGTCCTCGAACAAATTCATCCAAGGCGATCCATCAACGCAGATCCACCCCGCCGTCTCCCCAGATACAAGCAGGGGCGATACAGTCGTGAACAAGTGCCGCGTATCCGCGTTTGCGGGGACGGATTTGGAGCTTGTCTTGCGTTGTCTTGATGTACGCGATGATTTGGTGGTTTGTGGGTTGAGTACTAGTGGTGCGGTGTTGTCGACGGTAAGACAGGCGGCGGATTTGGATTATCGACTTACTGTGTTGAGAGATTTGTGTTTGGATCGGGATGATGAGGTGCATGGGGTGCTGATGGATAGGGTGTTGGTGAGACAGGCGCGGATTGTGGATTCGGATGAGTGGTTGGATTTTTATGATTGACTTTGTTATGCATGTTGAATAGCTAAGTTGTGAATATATATTTGTTGTGGTTGGCCATTTCGCAGGGCTGTCCGCCATACTCGTCGGAGTTGCCACTATACATGTATCTGAAATTCACAACTCGAAAACCGACTTAATTGAGCCCATATATGTATTTAAACGCGTAAAAAGCATGCGCTGGACCCGACAAAGCTTTGTTTTGGTTGAATTCCTCAGTAACTAACGCATCGGCACTAGTCGCTGCTGAGTCAGCGTCCTGCGCAGCACCGCGAACTTCAGGCCAAACCTTTCGAGAAACCGAACAACAACCCACAGGCTTCTTGAGTTGCGTCTTAAAGACCCGGTGTGGCGGCCAATTGATGATCACGTGTGTTTGCTATAAGTAACGCCAGCCATAGAGAGATTCTCCTTCTTTTTAGTGTCATGTCCTCCATGGCGGCAGACCGACCCAAGCGGGCGAGAGCTGGAGCATGTAAGAATTGCCGGTGAGTTTTTTTCTTTTTTTTTTTTTTTTTTTTCCGTGTCGCATTTCTGCCAAATAATGAAAAAGATCACGTTTACTGAGAATTCCTCGCGATACGTGAAAAAAGAGTACGCAAGAGACGATGCGTTCCTAGTGATACCGGGGATGAATGTGTACTCTGCCAATCGCTGTCTATTCCGTGTAGTTTGAGCCAAAACTACACGGAGCCCGAAGGTCCAGTCTTGAAAAGGGACTTTCAGGGCACACCGAGACAGCTAACGGAACGCGACAAGCCATTGAATGGTGCTTCGCTGTCCTCTTTTCCTGCTGCTGCTGCTGCTACCGCGGCTCCTTCGTCATTTGTCTTTCCGTCGAATCATGCATTGCGACCTCCTGTTAAGCCTCAGAGGTCGCCTTTGGTGATAACTCCGGCAGTGCTGCTGGAGCTTGTATCTCTTTATTTTCGTTTCGTTCATAATGTTGCGCATACTTTGTTTCATGAGGCTAGCTTTATCCGTCGCTTTAATGAAGGGAGGGCATCCTTGCTACACGTACACGCGATGTGTGCGCTTTCTGCCAGGTATTTCTTTTTTCCTCTCATTTTTTTCTTGGCGGAGGGAATATCCGGTTAACTTTGTGTACAGGTACTCCCAAAATCTAGTCTTCAATGGCACTCCGCCTGGTTCGCGTGGGCAGGTCTATGCTGCGGAAGCCACGCGACTACTCCAGGGGTATCTGGCATCCCCTAGCTTAGAGAGCACCCAGGCATGTGTTCTGATTGGCCACTTTATGGGAGGTGAAGGCGACGTTAAAGCGAAGCACACCTACTTCGGACTCGCCAAACTCCATGCAGAAAATTTGTCGCTGTGGGCGATGCCACACAACTTGACCGTCGTCCATCGCGAGGAACGCCGCCGGACATGGCTCTCTGTTCGGATAGCTGATCACTGGACCGCAGTCGACACATCCGTTGAGCCTGCGCCTTTTCTCCTCAACGGACGGGACGTCCTTCCCGCTGTTGACGACATTGCATTCCATACGTTTGACCCGGAGCTCCTTCGAGAGGATCGTGCATCGTGCAACATGTGGGCGCATATGGCAGGCACCCTTGACATCTTTGCGCGCATTAGCATTCTACTCGCGCGTCTCAGTCGGAGCGTGATCTCTTTCGATACATATTGCCGCGAGGTACCGCTTCTAACGCAGCGCTTGGAGAAATGGGCCGATGGATTACCGGAGGAGCTGAAGTACAACATTTCCAACCTCACATCATTCGCCAACAAGGGCCTCGGACGGACGTTTCTCTCTATGCATATTGGATATTACCATTTCCAGCAAATTCTCTACTTTCCCTTTCTGGATGCTCGCGCGAACAGGAGCACCTCAATTCCTATGGACGGTGCTGCGCAGTGCAAGAGTAGCGCTGCCATGGTCTCTGAGATTGTGCAGTATGCCATGAGGTTTCAGAACTGTGAGCTTGATTACTTTATTTACGGTTACATCGCAGTGGTCAGCTCATGCGTGCACTTGCATACTTTGTTGCTGAGTGAGGATCCGTCGGAGCTGTGGACGGCGCGGCAACGGCTGGTATCTAATTTCGAATATCTGATGAGTTTGAAGATTCTTTGGCCTATGGTGAACCTTTCGGTGAGTGCTAGCGTGACTATAAGTCTCTTCCTTGGGGTATAGAGAGCTAGTTGTTAACAATGTCAATAGGTGGCGCGCCTCAGGATTTTCGAAGACTTCTGTCGCAACTCCATGTCAGACCCCTTTGCGCTCGACAACTGGATGGCCCGCTTCATAACTGAGCACGCTTCTATTTCTCCAGTGCGGAAACAGAGCACGCTCCCCAGTCTGGAGCCGGTATTGGTGGACTCCGCTGCGCAAGGTGTACCGGGTCTCAATAGCCACGCCTTAACCGGCACTGACGAAGCAGGTTCTACTGGAACGGAATGGGGCATCTTGTCCACTCTTCTCAGCGATCGGAGTATGACAAGCGAGGCTGTCGTGAATAATGCTTTGGATTGGTTGTTGGAATGAGGATTTGGAACATGCCGCTCTACATGTTAACACGAACCAAGCCGATACTACACCCAGCACCAGGGACGACGCGGATGCCGTGCGAACGGGTCAACACGACCTCTTCTCGTGATGCTCGTCCCTCTCGATCAAGATCGCTTTTCAACATATGCAGCTTAGCAGGCACACTTCCAAACAGATCCATGACACGACCGCGACCTCAAGCGTGCGCCGCCGCCGCCTCTTATATATACCGCCTGAACAACACTGACTGCGCCGAAGTAGACGATCTCATGAAGGCTACTCCCACCCCTCCGCCTTGACCGATATCAACACCGAACAGTCTATTATACGAGATCACTCGAAGCAAGCAGTCAGCGTCCATGTACACTAAGTTCCTTTCCGGTTGATTCTGGGCTCGAATAGAGACATTACTAGAGGGCTACGCGGGACCTACTCCTGATTTATTTGGGACAAGAGTTGGATTATGTTGGATGTACGCGTACCCATTGTTATTAGTGTACTCTGTATTTGGGCTTGTCTGTCTGTTACTTGGCGTATTTTTATTAGCAAGATATGTACGATAAATATTATTGATAGATAGTGGATATACAATACGTGGTCTTGGTGCCTAGTTGCATGATAAAGTCATAGTTATCACTTATTTGGACCGATGTACTAGATAAATCTACTTCACGCTGATGTCTTTGGACCGCGAATCCTGGTCGTTTCTCTCCACGAAAACGTCAGTAGTGGTCTCGTCTCACTAGGAGATGTGAAGAACTTACAGAAGCTTCTCAATCTTCTGTTCCAATCCTTTCGAGATCAGACAATCGTCTGGTTCAGCTTTCTCTTTCCGTGTCTCAGGGGCTGCTGCCTCTTGGGCGGCTTGCTACGGCGCGCCGTCTATGCAGTCTTAGTGAAAAATCAGCCCGACATTGGGAGCAATTTACTGATGAATTTACCAGGATCTGCCTTGAGATCTTGGGCCAGTGTGCCTTGGTGTCATCCGCCGCCATAGGGCAAGATAGACGAAGCACTCAATCAGTGGTGCATCTGTGGCGGGACGATCATGCGTCACACTCAGAGGCGCAGAATACCTGGTCGGAAACCCGCTTGAGGAACCACGTTTGGTTGTACGTGGAGAAGAAGCCATACGTGCACTGGTGATCACTCATATAATGGACGACTTGTCTTGTAGACTTCAGCTATAGTAGCCCGAAATATCACGTCGGCAAAGGCTCCAGTAACTGGTATATTCGCGCTCTATGATGGTTTAGGGAGGAAGCATTCCTTTGATTGATTTTTTTTTTTTTTGGTCCACTTGGCTAAGTCGGTTTTCGAAGTCCGCAGGATTGGGTCCTGGATCAGGGCAGTATGTCGCTGCCAGCTGGGACATGCCTGGTGGATAGATATTTCCATGTCTCGTTTAATTCACGACCAGTGTACCTGTAGACCTTGGTCAAAGGAAATTTCTTCTAATCCAAGGATAGAGAATCGATGCTCTTGCAGTCCCTCTGTACTCTGCGAGATATTGGAGGCTTTACCCGCTCTTTGTTGGGTATTGGAAGGTGCAATGACCCTCTTGATCGACGGGCACGATGTGATTTCGAAGCTACTGGTCCTGGATATAGTGGATGATAAAATCATCCGTGTGGGTGGAATTCAACGAGATGAGGTTCCAATCTCGCTTCGGAATGATGAGTTTATCCGACCATTCACTACCAGCAAGCAACTCGATCGAGCGAAACAGGGTTTTGACAAACCTGATGATGATAATGGCGATGATGAGCGCCTATATCGACCGGCAGATGGCTTTGCAGCAGTCACCTTACCTGCCCCTACACCCACGAAGCAGTCATCTTTGACCGCCGCTATGAAGCGAGCTGATAAAGGTAGGTGGCTACGGGCGATGGAGCGCGAATTTGCCAAGCTCAAGGAGAAAGAAGTTTGGGAGCTAGTACGCAACGATGATGTTCTGCCTGGTGCTAGAATCTACCCCAGATGATGGGTATATAATACCAAAGAGGGCATAGATCCGTCTGATGAGCGCTTTTGCAAGGCTCGTTGGGTGATAAAGGGCAATCTAATCAACAAGAATCAGCTGGAATACGATTCACACATATGCTCCGGTAGTCAGCCCACATACTACCCACTTGCTCTTTGCCGCCGCCGCACGGAAATAATGGACGATTAGACGCGTTGACGTGTCAGTTGCTTTCCTGAATGGGAAACTGAAAGACACACTATATATATGCGTCAGCCAACAAAGTTTGAAGAAGGAAATAAGCTTGTTTGCAAGCTCAAGCACTCCCTTTAAGGGCTTACCCCTGCAGCGAGAATATGGTATGATACTCTCTCAGCCTACCTAAAGCATGTAAGCTTTGATCGCTCTGGGTACAACCACGGAATTTTTATTCATCGCAAAAAGAAAAACGTGTATTTGACATCTCATGTTGATGACTATTAGTTGATTCCTTTCGATTAACTAGCGCTCATCCGAAAGCCACCCCTTTGGACTCCAGTCTCGTGGTCGACGATGAGCCGGACCCCTCCATTGATATACATGAGTATCAGTGTGGAGTTGGCAGTTTGCAATGGCTTACCACCAAGACTCGCCTGGATATTGCTTTCGCAGCAACGTTATTGGTAGCGCCAAGCCGATGAGAAAGTGCTGGAATGCTCTTATGCACGTTCTCCGATATCTGGCCGGCACACCCTATCGAGGCCTCTTTTACCGAAAACGGCTGGATTGTACAGAAAGGTTCTTCCTCCTCTATGGCTTCTCTGGTTCTGATTAGGCGAGCTTCAATATGGCTAGGAAATCTATTGGAGCATCAGTCTTTCTATCAGTGAATGGACCAATCATGTGGTTTGTACGCAAACAGAATATATCCATATGAATAATCAAGGCGCTATGGCGTTAACGAGCAATGAGGTGACCAAGCGCTCTGAGCATATCGATACTCGATTCCATCACATCCACGATAGGAGCGATGGGCTTGGTTGCAGTTAAAGGCGTACCGTCGTCTGATAGTTATGGCTGCTGATGGTTTGACTAAGCTATTGAGCAAGGATAGGTTCAAGCAGTTCTTGATGCTCACCCAGATGGATGATAGATCGAGGGGGGACCGATAGATCATAGGAAGATAGAGGAGGTTGTAGGAGAGAAGGAGTAGACCTGATGGTCTATTGATATTGACGCCTTTATATACTACTCCTTTCGATCCTACTTTTCGCCGTGTTTGCTTTCTTTTCCGACCGATCAGCTATGTCTATTATGTCTGGTTAATTGCTTGTTTGAGTCTATATACCGGCGGAACTTGCCTAATCGGTCCGATGATATAGGTCAGTGTGAGCGCACATTTAGATAGACAAGCACTCAAGCACTTGTGTACACGCATATAGACGAGAATATATCAATCTCTTCGTTAAAACTGGGTCTCTCCGTATACGACCTCGCTAGTCGCGGATAATCGACTCCTCCGGACCTCCGGCCCCCGATCCCCATTTCAGGCTTGCTCCGAGTGTCGATCTAGGCGTAGCCTATCACAAATTACCCTATATAACAACCATACTATCTGGACCCTAGTCATTAGCTTGCCTATACTCCATATCCTAAGCCATAATCATGCACACTTATCACCTGCACATTGTATTCAGGCGTTCCTGTATGCTCTGTGCGTCGCTCAGATACCGCGTGTTTTCCCACCAAGGTGATATAATCGCCGGCACCATATCTGCCACGGTGTTCGTACATAGAGAAAACAAGCACTCAGGCACTCATATACGCGTTAATGAGATTCAGTTCTACCTATTAGGGTAATCTAGCTAGGCCTCGTACAGTTCGGGTAATCGACTCCCTCGAATAATCCCCTTGAGCGACCTCCGAATCCCGCTTCACATTCAATGGCAAGCTGCTGAGTCATGTACCCGCTGCCTGCCCATTCTGTGGCGATAAGACACAATTCTCCCCTCAAAAGGCTCTTTGCTCATCCTTCCTTCCTCCTCTTCCATCCCATTTGCAGACTCTCCCCTCCATCTCAAGCAGACTTCCCGTCTCCCGATCACCCATCAGTTAAATTAAAGAGATCTTAATCTCCTCTTCAGCCTTCCTTTTCTATTTTATCCGCTTTTAAGGGCCGTTCACCGGAAAAGGCCGAGTTTATGTCCATCGAAAACTTCAAGACTGTCAGTAAGTCATTTTGCCACCATCTCTCCTTTTCCAGATCCAGGGTATTTCCCACATCCCCACGTGTGAGGACAATGTGACCACATTCCATGGTGTTACAATGTTCGACCATCATGATTAGCATTTCAGGTGGCTTTTGTTCCACCTGGATCTGCGCGACATTTTCTTTTCATTTAGCGGGGTAGATGTGCTGACACATGCCCTCTTTCTCCAGACCTTCGGCGATGCTGACGAAGATACCGGCGAAACTAAACAGTCTCAAAATTATATCCATATACGGATCCAGCGTACGTCTTATATTCCCCTTTCATCTATTGGGCTGGCTTTGTGTTGTCACAATTGCATCCCTCTGAGAACACATCACTGACCGCTTCTTTGAACAGAGTGCAATGGTCGTAAGACCCTAACTACAGTCCAGGGTCTTCACAGTGCATTCGATCAGAAGAAGATATTGAAGGTGTTCAAGAAGGATTTCGGTATGTTTTCAACATTGGCACCCTAGCACACACACACCCTAGCACACCATGCCATATACAAAAGCTAACGCCACGCCAGCTTGCAATGGCACCATCGTCGAAGACACTACAATGGGCTCTGTGATTCAGTTGCAGGGAGACCAGCGGAAAGCTGTTCAGGAGTTCTTGATTGACAAGGAAGAAGGTCTTGAGCTAGATGCTGAGACTATTAAGGTCCATGGGTTCTAGACGAATCGTCGCGCCCCGTTCCGGTCCCTTCTCCCGGATCTACGCTCAGATGAGTGTGAGATAAAGAGTACAATATTTGCTCTGTCCACTGTCTGGATCTTGCGTTGCCCAAGGGCTTCTACATCATTCAGTGTCACGAGCCCAAACTAGTGTGACGGCTTTGTTAGGGGTTGAACTCAAGTTGTCTTAACCTAAAGCTACCCTTTATTATACATAGTAAAGTAGAATCAGTGTAATGAGACATCTATATAGGTATCGCAATCCTCATGCAGACTTTCCCATGCAGTATGTGTATATACCCAATATATCTACAGAATTGCATGCAAAACAGGTAGCAGCTGTAAACAATCACAATTCAAGTAATAATGCTCAAAAAGTACATCCTTCATAGTTGCACGATGGATATACATATGTAAATGTTTTCTGCGGAAATCTTGAGACTTGCCCTTTCCGAGACTTGCCCTTTCCGTTTCTGGTCCGACTTCTCGCCGCTTTTGGCTCCCGGAGCCTGCCCGGAGCAAGGTGATGCATGCCCGGAGCGCTCAGGGAACCGCGCCGGAGTGATCCCGGAGCAATACGGGAGCATACCTGATCGCTCAGGCCATACAATGGATAACACCAAGTCACCAACTTTTCCTTACATCAAACACTTACTCCATCCCATGCCTACAAGCATCTCCTCGCTCCTCAAAACTTCCCACGAACTAGACCTCTGGAGAGCTCGCCCACAGGTCGGGCCCGCCAGGAGTAGTAGTAGTAGTAGTAGTAGTAGTAGTAGTAGTAGTAGTAGTAGTAGTAGTAGTAGTAGTTGCTAGTTAACGTCGGTGAGAGATCCCGGTAACGGAATATACGACGGGCAGAGCGGAAATCAGACTGATACTTAAGGAACGTGTCGTGATTTTGGTGGTCAAGTCCTTGGCTACGTGTGGCCTTGGACGCCTTGGCTGGACAAAATAATCAGCAGGGCTATAAAACTGGGGAGATAGGGAGGTTATATGGTCAATTTTATTTGCTACTCCCGCTCTGATTCTGTGAACTTGAAGACAGTCTTTAAACCCATCCTGTTCAGCCAGAGTTGTTAAATTATGATGCAGTGAAGAGAATGTCAGTCCTTTTATTTCATCAGGTCCCTGCGTCATTACCTTGTGGAAAAAAGGAAGTGACTGTGTGTGATATGTCCACTCAAGCATGAAGGATTCTCTCCCTGGTGGAGATCATGTTGACAACAGTTCATCAACAGAGGAAATTCCTTTAAATGCACCATCTGCAATTCCATGGACAATCACCCAGAAGACAAAATTCATCCCTAGTACAGGATGCTCCTGGAACCAATTCTTTGGTCTAAAAGTCATTCAGTCAGCCGCATAACCATAATATCTTGCACCTTGTAAAACCTACAACTTGACATTGTCTTGATAACGCCATCCTTTCAGAAATTCAGGATCTATTATTACCCATTGTTTGATTGAGCCATTATTGCTCCATTTCATGTTGAAAGTAAGGTGCTGGGTAGTAGGACAGCACTGTTAGTGTATGCATCACTAAGAGGTAACAGACTGAACCCTACCCTATAATAAAGACACTCATTTGTCTTGCAATATGAGCTTGATTCAATAACTGCACCTGCCTGCACCCCTGAGCCAGTGAACAGAGAGAGTGCAGAGCTAGTCTGAACTCTTGCTTGTTTATGTTTATAATCATGGTCATCATCCCTGAACAGATGGTGAAGAAGGTAATCAATATCTTTAGCTGTCATGGGGGCTGTGACGGCTCAACGACCAGGCAAACAGTGCCAAAATGCCAAAAGATGCCATACAAGCAATATGGACAAACAAGGGCTCAAGCCGCATCGCACAAAGGCTTATATAGAGACTGTACTCGCCAGATAGATTTCCTCTCCTTTTTCCTTCCCAGATTTGATATTCTCGTTGATGGCTACAATAGTCAAGATAGGAATTCAGTTCGTTATTATCTTCTATTCCGAGCCCGTGACACCTTGTGGAGTTAAGAAAGATGTTCTGAATGTATAATTACATAATGCCACCAACCTCTTATAAAGATGGAGTCTGCTGACACAACTTCAGTGGATACAGACTGAACTTACATGAAAATATGGACTGCCTACCAAACCAAGAGAGAGGGCCCCTGTCACGGGCTCAGAATAGCTCCCACTAGGCCTTGAAATGGTGCGGTTCCGGTTCCAAGGTCTGGAACCGTGAACTGCCAAGAGAACCACTAAAAGATCCGCCAAGAGGTATAAGGTGTATTGTTATTATTATTATTTAATCAAGTTTATTGTTCATACCGAGCCCTAGAGCTATGACAGACCACGATTCATGGACTCGAGGCCAGCAGCTATTCTAGTCTCTTGTCCCTATGAGTTCCTGAGGCAACACCCCCGTTCTATAATCTTTCTGATCCTTTTCCTCGCCCCAGACCGCCTGTATGCGCAGGGCTTTCGAGCAGAGTGCTCTCCTTGTGTTTCAGAGCAGGGTGAGTGTGGCCTGAGCTGCGATTCAGCTTAGGCTACCCTCCCCGCTATCCTTCTCCTCGCCTACTTGCCTCCTCCAATGCTTCCGGCCCCCACTCCTCGTCTTTCTGGGCCCTTTCCACTGCCCGTTGTAGATATCTCTGAGGTAGGGCTACGCTGGTGTTGGCCAAGAATTGTAGCAATGCCCTAGTCGCTTTGGGCTCCCCTAGAAGTCGTCCTTGTGGATATTCTTCGGCAGTAGTGGGTCTCATAACTACGTCTGTCTCCAGGTCCTTGTAGAGCCTGTTTCGTTGGTGTCGGCATTGCCGGCATTCGAAGAGAAGATGGTGTATTGTCTCCCTTGACAAGCCGCATCCTTGACAGGTTGCATGCTCCCGGGTCTGGATCCGATGTAGGTGTGCCCCAATGGCCGCATGCCCTGACTTCATTTGGAAATAGCGGCTTGCCAGGTGCTTGGGAGCCACTGCAGCTGCAGGGTCAAGCCGCCAGTTCTTCTGTGGCCTGTATATTCGTTGACCTGTTGGGATCGCTGGCCGAGCTCCTTAGCGAGCTATCTCTGCTTCTGTGTTGTAATGGCCTCCGTCCGGGTTCTCTGGACGAAAGCCAGAAAGATCTCTTTTGGACCCCTTCCTGGAGGCTTACCAGCTGCCTGCTTTGCTGCCTGGTCAGCTCTCTCGTTTCCTTCTACCCCTGCGTGTCCTGGAACCCACTGGATGATGGGTTGGTGACCTTGGGTGTGTAGTCTCTTGGCTATAACATGTGCTTGGATTGCCAGTGCTTGACCTGGCCCGGTATAAGGTGTATAAGTAAGGGTTTATAAGCACAATATTGTTAGGGTTGTTTATGATTGTTTATACCTGGAAAATCTATTGGCGGCTCCATTTCAAGGTCTATGTCCGACTCGCATCGCCCGTCAAGGCTCTCAGCATGGAAACAGCCTAACCACTTTATGAAACAAATAAGTTCATCACAGGCTTTGACGAGGCTCCAAATTCGTCGTGATGCAATAGGTCACTGTAATTAGATAGAGAAGGCTTCCAGCGAGCACTCTGGATGAGAGCGCGCCTCCAGCTCTCAGGACGACGAATTCTCACCTTCTCGTGGTGTCCAGTGTCAGTACTCATCGTTCGATGAGGAAACCAAGAAGAATTCCCATGTGGTGGTGGTTGTGTGGACGTGTTGTGAAGTGGTCCCCCAACGCGCCCGCGCGACCGCACAGAATGGTTGATGATAACAAGGAATAGCTAAGGTTTCTGCTCGCCTTATCTCGCTATGATTGTTGAATCTGAATTACAGCCTGTTGGTCGTATCCCAGACTAGGCGCGTCGATGGCGCGTCTACCACGCCTTGACATACGCCTGCAAGAGGAGGAAGATGGCGATAATTCCCCTGGCCTTATCTCGCTACCCGATGACCTTGCCTGCGATATATTCGACAACTTAACTCGTACCGATTTGCCCTCCGAGATATATGCTGGCATCATACTGCCTACCTGCCGACAACCAGCCGCGCCGCTATGCCTGCGACTACAGACAACTACAGACAATAAGTCGTGCCGATATGCCTGCGATTGATATCGTTTGCTGCTTCGCTCGTCCGCTGCTTCTAGCAGCACGATGCCCAAAGCCTTGATCCGCACCGGCACCGTCCGGTCGCCATACGCACTCGAACACAAGGAGGTCAGCGCTGCTGACCAAAGGCCTAGGCCTGGTGGGCTGTTAGGCGAGGAAAAAGGGAGAGCACAGATCAGCGTTGAGCTGATTATTGTGAGCCTGAACGTCAAGGGATGGGGATATGTTCCAGAATATGATGATGCGGCTAGGGTGAGCTAGCCTAACACAAGGAGGGTATGGAAAATTACAGGCCTCTATAGCCACAGTTATCGTAGCGCTATAGGAATATTTCTGACTCTGTCCATTCCCTGTCCACTTGTTGGAGAGACTCCAATCTCGTCTTGCAGGGATACAATCACGTCTCGCGCTCGCATTTCTAATCACCCCACGCCAGTCGGCTTCAGAGGCTCCTGGAAGAAAGAAAAAAAAAAAAAAAAAAAAAAAAAAAAAAAAAAAAAAAGCCATTTCCATTGCACAAGGACATAGATCAGGCCAGACAGATTGCTATGATGACACCATCTTAACGCCGCATAGCGTTACCGCAATACTCCAACAGGATCAATACTAGCATCAGTTGATAAAACGGGCGTCGTTCCAGGTTCTGACTCTCACGCTTGCAGACCATTACCACGCGTACCGAGACCGAACAACATGACGCACCCGCAGATTCGCCGAGTCGCAGTCATTGGCGCTGGGATTAGTGGTGTCGTGTCAGCAGCGCATTTGCTGCAGGCTGGGTTGGAGGTGACTGTGTTTGAGAGGAGTCATGCAACCGGGGGTGTTTGGTATGTCATCCTTACTCAGGATAGATCTTCATCAGTATTGACCTTATAGGCTGTATGATGAGCGCTCCGCACCAGAGCCATCGTATACCTCGTTGAAACCGCTCGAGTCGGAAGTGCATTTCGATACGGACAAGAAGCGCAATGTGGCTCTTAATCATGCGCCGCCGGGGTATGGACTTCGTTGAGCCGTATAAGAACTTGAGCTGACACTGTTAGACCGTGCTACGTTGGGCTCAAGAATAATGTGCCTACCCCCTTGATGCGCGTCAAGCTCAATGCCTGGCCAGAGGGAACACCCGACTTCGTCAGCCACTCCGTAATGAAAGAGTATATACAGGATACATCGAATAAGGCGGGAGTTCACGATATTACCATCTATGGCGCACGAGTCAAGAAAATTGCGAAGCAGGGCAGGAATTGGGAAGTTGCCTGGTCTAGATTGGAGAAGGAGACTCAAGGCGTCAAGGAAGTAGAGCAAATATGGGTGAGTGTGACCGCACATCGAGTTTGATAAATCCTAACGAGCGTTAGGATTTCGACGCTGTGGTAGTTGCCTCTGGCCATTACCACACACCTCGCGTCCCAGATACTCCAGGCCTCGCTGAAGCAAAGGCTCGTTGGCCGGAGCGCATTTTTCATTCAAAAAGATACAGAAAACCAGAGGGATACGAGAAAAAAGTAAACATCTGCAGCAAACCACTGGACAAATTAAGTTAATAATCATTAGAATGTCCTCTTAATCGGCGGCGCCGTCTCTGCTATCGACATCGCGAAAGAAATCAGCACCCAAGCAGAAACGGTCTACCAGAGCACGCGAAACGGCAAATTCGATATTTCAGCCAGCATCCTCCCCGAAAACGGCGTCCGGATTAGCGAGATAGCACGTTACGAAATTCTAGACAATAGTGATGTCCCCAACGACAAACCGCTTCCGTTGAAAGTGCACCTGAAATCCGACCAGGAGCTCTGCGGATTTGACCAGGTTATCATCTGCACTGGGTACCAGTTCACCCTCCCCTTTCTACCAAGTTACCACGATGACAGGCTCACGTCGGGAGAAGTGAATGAGACAATTCTAGTAACAGACGGGACGCAGGCGCACAACCTGCACAAGGACATCTTCTACATCCCAGATCCAACCCTTGCGTTTATAGGCGTGCCCTTCTACACCGCCACATTTACGCTCTTCGAGTTCCAGGCTATAACCGCAGCAAACGTCCTCTCTGGCATCGCTAGCCTCCCCTCAGAGAGCGCCATGAGACAAGAATACAACGAGCGAGTAAACAGAAAAGGACATGGGAAGCAATTCCACTCGCTCAAGGACGTGGAGGAGGACTACGTCAACGACCTCCTAAACTGGATAAATGGGCCTAGAGCAGAAAAGGGTCTCGGTCCTATTGAGGGACATACTGAAACATGGCACGAGGCGAAGCAAGCACAGCGAGAACGTCTGAAGACGTTTTTCAAGGACAGCCGGCGAGACAGTGGCGTCGGAGGACTTCCTGAGCTACAGACGTGCAGCACATAATTCAAGAATAATCAGGATAGAGTAATAGATGATCAATTCACGCGGTTCGGGAATCAGCGTTAGAAGTTTAGGTATTCGGGGATAGAGCTTTCTTGAGGGTAGCCTCCAGGCGCACTCACCAGCAATGTACCGGGTACCATATGTGGTCCAATAGACAATAACAATTCCAAAGACAATGCAGAACTCCTTGAGCACAAGTAGGGCACCTTTAATACTTGGGTGGACTAATCTCTGAAATATATAAGGGAGCGACCATGAATAGCATAACTACTAATTCTAATAACGTAATCTATTATAACCTTCTTTATTGCAATTGCTGTACCGTGCTGGTCGCTGTGATCTTGATGATGATGGCTCTTCTTGCCTCTCAGGCTCTCCCGTTCTCTCAGTCTTTGCAACCCTTTATTACCAGTCAAACTCCCTCCATCTTGAATAAAGGCTCGTGTCATCTTCTTCTTATCGCCTTGGAATCTGCTAGTCGTGGACATACCTTTTGGATCCTGCTTCACCCGTGATGATTGCAGCCGCCATAATAGTTTCGCTGACACTGTCTGTTAAAGGCCTCAGAATGATAACAGCAGCCATCCAGGACAGTCAAAACAGCCGGGCGATTTGCCATCCAACGCGAAGAAAGAAAATGACAAAGAAGAGCAAGTACCGGCCAGCAATCACATCAAGGACCAAAATCCCACTGTCATTGGGGCAGAGTCTGTGAAAGCCCAAGACACCAAGCAACAACATCGGGTATCCCTACAGTCAGAAACTCATCTGACAACAAAAGAGCAATTGGAAAACGAGGTTCGCGGTATCTATGCTAGCTTGGCCATGGTGGAGGAGAGATGTATTGGCTACCAGCAATCAGAGTTACCGAGCATGTTATCAAAAGATCAATGGCAGGCACTGACTTCCTTGCACTGTCTTCTGCTCCATAAGCATAATGACTTCTTTCTTGCCTCGCAACACCCATCTGCAAGTGTTGCTTTGAAAAGGTTGTCTGAGAAGTACGCCATGCCAGCCCGGATGTGGCGCCACGGCATCCATTCCTTTCTTGAATTGTTGCGGCATCATCTTTCAGATTCATCAGAACATATTCTCACGATTCCTTCATCTGGCCTACACAATGATGACTCTGCTCCTGGAAAGCGTCCCTGCCTTTGAGAATATATGGATTGAATGCCTTGGTGATCTGGCCCGCTAAAGTATGGCTGCTCATGGATATCTCTTCACACAACGCCCTATTTCCGATCTCAAGGCGCCTGTGCAAGAATATCTACCCCATCTGAAAGAATAAATCAACCAACTCAGTGTGGAGTTCAAAACTTATGGAACCTATATGGCACTGTGCAATTTTGCCGCCATCTTCCAATATGGGTCTATACATGCGGTGTTACCTTCCAAATTTGAAGAGGACTTTCCGCAGCGGCAGCAGCAAGGAGAGGGAGAACGTGAAGGAGAGCCTTCAAAACTGATCTACAATGGCTCTTGTCTTGCCTTTGAAACTTTCTCTGTCATCCTGGATCAGATTGGCAACGAGCACGTCTATCCAGCCGTGCATGTCTATCTGGCATTTATCTGGTGCATAGCACTGAATGACACCATGGAGTATGTCGATCTAGTCGTTCCATGGAGCAAGATCGCCACTTTTCTCAACAGAATGATCTGCAGCGACACTGATTTCAGTGTTATTGAATGCGACGAATTTCCTGTTGCGGATGACAGGAAGAATATGCCAGAGGATTTTCTCATCCGTGGCCAGGTCTGGAGCCAGCGTTATTTCCCAGTCGACTTCTTCAAAGATGCCATGACAGAGGATGATGGACGCTCGATTGAGGTGCCTTCCTTCAGAGCTTCCAGGATGTATCGGTGTAGTAGCACTCTTGCAAGTATTAAAATTTACTGAGGTTTGCTTGAGCTACATGGGCTACAAGCTATTTTAGCGGTTGATATTTCCATGTGCAATGCTAACTGTGATTTCTAACATATAGTTATGCACCATGAGGAGTAGTCACAAAATTCAGTTTTGGGCATCACTAGATGTCTTCTCCTTTGCTCTGGTCCAGGAGACTGCTCATCATTATCAGTTTGAGGCGGAAAAGCATGTTTGCTCCTTTCAGTGTCGAATGCTGAAGGCGAGCTGGAGTTGAAGCATTGTAGCTATCATTCCAAAGAATCTAGATCCTACAAAGTTACTTGCCAATTGTCTTGGCACGGTACATCACCTCGTTCGTCCATAACCGTGCCAAGCGTACTAACACCACTAGTACCTTGGTTGGTGTGCCCTAGTAAGCAAAAAACTTAGAAGTTAGGTATCCTAGTATGACTTCCGTACAAAAGATACATTAGATCCAAATTCCAGTATTCGGTCTCCGCTCAGAGGGGGCGGTGTCCGCCCTCGAAATGCCGTGTCCGAGTCGGGAGCCCGCCAAGCCACCATAATGAAAGAAGTACTCTGTACGTGTAAAAAGCTAAAAAGCACAGAGTGCTCCGTATGTGATATAGCAACACTTCACGGTCTAAATCCTGCAAACAACCTTGAAAGGCCTACTAGATAAGGTTGTCAGCGCACAACACAATCTCCACATTTTATTATATCATGCGTGAACGGCGATCAATAATTCAAAACCATAACCAACTGATTGGAAGAAATGAAAGACTACATACATACATAGTCGGTCTAGTCCCGGCATGAAGAATTCGCGTACGTCGCTTAATTCCTCCGCACCCGACTCCACATTTATTACCCCAACGTTTTGCGGAGGTACTAATGCATATATTCCCCAGGGCTGCATTTAGTCTCTTTTCACTTGGTTAGATAATTCAACATTTACCAGGGTTATCTAAATATAGCCGACATGGCAAGTGGCGACAAACGACGAAAGAATGCTCTCAGTTGCAATGGCTGCAGACAACGGAAGGTGAAGGTACAGACCGGAAGACTCCCTCCGTTTACCTACATGCTGAGCTAAAATAGTGCGAAAAACCATCTTTCGGTCCTTGTCAGCGATGTAGCAGGCTGGGCAAGCAATGCCAACTAGAAGGCTCTATCTCGCGACCTTACTATCACACTTCAAAGGAACGATACGAGCTTCTGGTGTCTGTCGTTCGCCATTTCGTTCCTTCGGCTTCTTTCGAAACCGAAGACCTGCGGCAACTATTAGACACCCTGAAAGCTCCAGCGGAAGGCTCTCCTGCTCGTTCACCACCTTCTGTTGTGGACACCCCAAGTGGTGGACCGGGCCCGTGGCTGTCGGAGACTATCACACAAATAAACACTCCTCCAGCCTCCTCAACTTCTACCTATCCTGCCAGTCCAGAATGTGCGATCGAAGATTTGGAGAGCACATTGATGGTGGATGCTATGAATATTCCTCGTGAGTGCATCATCTATTCCCCCCCTGTCCCTGACGTGTGATAATTTACAGACACAGACCCAAACTAACTTGTGTGTGGACTTACAGGATTCAGTGGCTCATCCAGCTGCACCACCCTCAACGCCAAGATAGTCTCACATATGTCCAAAGATACTGGCGGTCTGTCACCATTTGCAGAGAATGAGTCTCCGCCGTTGTTTGATGGACAAGTGATCTCTTATCGAAATGCAGACTATCTCCCCGATAGAAAGGCGCTTGATCAAGCAGCCGTGAGATTTTTTTGCAGAGATCAACAGTGTCATATATATCCTTGATCAGGATAGATTCTACCATTGGTTTGATGACGTATATGGTGGGAAGGGGGTGCGTGCATCCGTGCTGGTCATATTGTATCTGGTCATGGCCCTCTGTGGCGATGAAGAGCCCAGTTTTCAAATTTCTCGATCCTGCATGGATGATGTGATAGATGAATCGAGCTTGGAGAGTGTGCGGGCAATTATGTTGATGGTACGATTGATGCCATTCCATGTCGATATCCTGTTCCCCCTTACCAATGCTGACCTGTTATTATCAGAGCTTGTACCGCCAAAGAGAGAATGAGCGGAGTGTTGCCTGGGCTATGCTGGGTCTGGCAATCCGAATCTCAATGTCGCTTGGTCTTCACCAAAATATAGGCTATGTGCACGACACTTCCATATATGGATCACAAGTTAAGCGGCGCCTGTGGTGGTCCCTCTGCGAATTTGACAACTGGAGTTCTTGCATGCTGGGACAAACTTCTGGCCTTGGTTGCTCGGATAATGCCGTTTCTCTTCCTTCGCAGGTCAGAAATCTCTATCTTCTATAAATTCTCATGACGACTAACTGTAGCAGGAATTCAATACTACACCCTACATCCCGCCTGGATACGCCACTAGCTCAGCATCTCTCGGTATTCTGATTGGCCAAATATCCCAACAGGTGTATATCCAAAACGGAAATTTGAGAAGCAAAGAACAGTTGACTAGTGAGCTTATCCAGAAGGTCGAAACGTGGAACAAAGAACTGTCCGATCACCTTCGTCCAAATTCGGCATTCCCCTCCTGCTTTGCACGCGCCACGTTATATTTAAACCTCAAATACAATTACGCCCGCATGCTTATCGGTAGGCCTTATATGGCCCATTCGATACTTTGCAGCAACAGCCATGATGCTGTGTTCAAATCCCGAGCGGAGACGTGTAAAGCTGCAAACCGTGACTCGATTGAGATTTTGATGGAATTCTATCGCCGAGGTCTCTTGTCGACGTCTCTTTGGTTCGATACATACTTCATCTTGGCAACAGCAATAGTTCTATTTCTCCGTGCTGTCGAAACACCGAGTGTGCAGAACGAGTTAAAATCATTTCTGCCTGTTTTAAAAATGTGCGATCGAAGCCAGATTGGAAAATACGCTACTGGAAGTTTCGAAAGGTTTCTCTATAATTTGGAGAACGGTATAAAGGAAAGGCGTACTATCAATGTCGCAGATCCGTTTTCTCAGTCATCCAACCTTGGTCATGAGAGTTATAGTTGTCATGGAATAAATTTCAATGACCTGGGAGATCTCAACGCCCTTGGGTCTGAGTGCTTCGGCTTTGGAGAGGAATTTGATATGGACTTATGTGGAGCTTGGAACACCTTGGAGTTAGGGTTGTAATTGTATAATAGCTTTTGTGTTTTAAATGCAATGCATGTTACAAATATTGTATTCAGCTTTGATCCTCTAGATAGCGTTGCAGCATGCTTTAGGTACGTGCCGATATCAGAGATAATGCAGTAGCCGCAAAGGTTCTCCAATGTAGCCATCCCCAAGCACACCTCAGGCTTCATAGTCGATCACAAGCTTCCCGGCAACCTGCCCCCTGCGAAATCGATCCACCGCTTCAGGGAATTTTTCAAAAGGCAACACCTCACAGACCTCTCGCACCAAACCCCTTTGAACAAGTTGCAACACAGCCTCTGTATCCTCCATTGTACCCACCAATGTTCCTTTGATTGACAGATTCTTCAAGATCATCATAGTGGGGTTCACATTCATGATGTGACCAGACGATGCTGCAGGTAGTCCAATGCACATAACAACTCCCCCAATTCTAGCACCGATATAATCGATAGCCGTTGGATATGCAGGAGATGCTGTAACAAATACCCCGTGGGATCCAATGCCTCCAGTGAGACGAACAACCTCTGCAACGGTATCCGGGAACTCCTTGAAATCAACAAAGGCCTCTGCGCCCATTTTCAATGATAAATCACGCTTTTCACTTCCTGTGTCAACAACAATGGGCCGTAGCCCAAAGGCTTTCGCTATCTGAACTGCCTGAATCCCAACTCCACCACCTCCACCGATGATCGTGGCCCACGAGCCAACGGCGAGTTCAGATTCTCTGATGGAACAATATGCCGTAGCCGCGCTGCACATAGCGGGGGCGGCAACGTGATCCGGAACTCCCTTTGGAATCACCGTAGTGTATCGTGCCGGGGAAACAATATAGTGTTGGAAGGTTCCTAGGATGCGCAATGAGAAAGCGAAAAAAACCTCAGAATCTTTCAAAAGCTGTCTTACCGGTGGCACCCACCCCAGTGAGCACCTTCTTTTGGCAATGAACTTCCTTGCCTCCCCAACAAAGACTGCAAGATCCGCATGTGTACCAAATTGGCTTGACGCCGGCACGATCCCCAACTTGGAATGTCTTCACGTTTTCACCTAGCTTAACAACCACACCCGACCCTTCGTGGCCAGCAGAGCATATGCCCGATGCCGACATCTTTTTACCGCCGGTGTCATTTAACATGTAGTGGATGTCTGAATAGCATATACCGGTGGCATTGAGTTTGATCAGAACTTCATCGGGACCTGAAAGTTGTGAGATTATACCATCTCAAGGCCAGGTTATTATTGGATTGTATTACCTGGGACCGGAACCTTCACCATTTGAGTCTTTATGGTAAAGTTCGGACCTTCGTTGACAACAATGGCAGCCCGACACTCCTCCGGTATTACATAGCTATTAGTCATTCTGATGATCTGGATAGTAAATAGTGTGGCGGAGCGAGATGGTAATTAGTGTAATTAAGACAACGACAAGGATACTATAACAACGGGTATATGACCCCCTTATATAACTCCCACGGAGTAACTAGCCCAAGGCGTATAAAGTGATAACGCGGTGTCCGGACCGATCTCCGTCATGTATCTACTTCGGAATCCGCTCGAATATGGGCTGATCCGGGCAATAAAAACATGGCGGCTAGATTGGCCCTGTTATGACTTTTGATAGACAGTCACCTATGGATGCTCATATTGAACACCATGGACTCTTTCTTCTGCTAGTGTTTGTTGCCATCAAATTTCAATCGAAAAGAAAATTCACTTTCTCCCAATGAGAGGGGTTGGAAGTGTGGAGCTTGAGTGATATGTTCATTCGAACATGGCATCTCCGACCAATCTTTGCAGGAGTCAAGAATATTATACCCAAGACCTGCCTGTTTGTACCTTGTGCCGATACGGCAAACCTTTGGGGTGTCTGAGCCATTTTAAATAAAGCGTTTTTATGCCTTAGTATTTACTAGCTTTCTGCATGTCGTTTACCTTTGACACTTGTTTTGTGGTTGGAGCTAAATGTTGACATATATTGGTTGGAACTAACGATGGATTATTGGTAGAATGGGAGGCTGCTCGGAGCCATTGATCTAGCCAAGGACGGTACATGGGAGGACTTAGATTATCAAAAACAAGCATGGTGGAGCTCAATAACGTAACATTCATAGAACATAGGATACTGTATTTCAAAAAGCAATACTCAAACTATAATCACACAATTGATAGACAAGGACAAGAGGTAGTCTGCTGCAAGATTCCATGGACTCAACATTCGTAAGCATCCTTCCGTAGTTCATGCCCCTCGAGATACTGTTCTTCCTTAGAGTACTGGGAAGGTGACTTCCTTGGTGCCGAATTCCTGGCGAATCTTCTCGGTGACACCAGACATGTCACAGAGGTCAATTGCGTTATCCAGCTCGGTCGCCGACACCCAGCTTCCATGAATTCCATTTCGAAGACGGAATGGAAGCTCGATCACTGCAACGGGACCATCGGTAATCTTCTGTGCGTCCAAAATCAAGATGCAAGAAAGGCCGGTATCCCGTCTGCTCGCGAGAGTGATGAGGTATCCATCAGCCTCGGGCGCTATAGTGCCATTAGTTAGCAGTGTACCTTGTGAGTATTAAATAGGGTAGAAACACATACATTCCGGCTTGCGCGGGATAAATGCCACCTCGTGAATAGCGGTATGGTCTCCAGCAGACCAATGGATCAGTTCCCCAGTACCCACATTGCATTTCGCAATGGCATTGTAGATACCACCGACGGGACCATTGCCCTTGGTAGGATCATGCATGGCATAGAAGACGGTGTTGTAAGGCTTGCCGACATAACGGTCATCAACCTTTGGCATCTCACCGTCGGCATCAACCAATACAACAGGCTCGACATGGAAGTCGGTGGCCTTTGGGTCGAATTTCCATCGCACGTACTGACTAACATTTCCGCTAGCAGGAGGTTTGCCACTCGCTGCCTTCATTGGGTCTTGACCGCGTGGGGGGGAAGAACCAGAACTAAAGCAAAGTCAGTCAGTCGTTGAGATGAAGTAGTTTAAGACAATAGACTTGATCGAACCTTGTTGAAGTTGGTAAGTGGCGCGTCCAAATAAACACAACCATCCTCGCCATCGAATGCATTTCCGGTGTGTCCGTAGAATGCGTTCTTGTAAGTGAACCATCTGATGTCTTCCGGCTTGGGATTGCGACGGGGCAAAATTCCAAAGGTCAATGGCTTCTCCTCGGCCCAAGCAAAGTGCTTGGATCCTTTCTTGATCTCATCGAGGGGCTGGGTCTTAAGAGGGGGGACAATGAATATCACCCAATTGTCGGTGGCTGCCATATCATGCATCATCCCAACATAGAGAGCGTTGAACCAGCATTCTTCCAACTTCTTGCCCTCTTTGCTGAAAAGATAGTAAGCAACGTCGGTTGTGCCATCTCCCTTAGCCTCATATCCCATAGTCAACATCTCCCCGTTGGTAGGGTCAATCTTTGGGTGGGCAGTAAAGGTCGGCGCTGTGTATTGCCCGTTGAAGGTATACGGTCCTGCTATCACTTAGTCAAGAGGCAAAAAATGTTGGCCTAAACTTTTTAGGCCTACCTTTAGTCTCCAAAGTGTGCGGGTCCATCGCATAGGGGGGAGAGTCTTCCTTCAAAGCCAGGAGTTGCTTCTCAAAGTAGATGATGTGCGTGTTCGCGGTCGAGTGAATCTCGTGCTTAACGCGAGGGTCATCGGTGTAGCGGTTGCGGTACTTTCCGAAGACTGCTTGGCGGGCAGCTCGTTCGATCACAAACTTGGAGGTCCGGACAAACTTCTGCTTGAAGTCGGCATGTCCATCCTTGATGCGGATTGCATCGATGGCACCATCACCGTTGATGAAGACGTCGTCATGATATTTCGGTGCCCAAAGAGCGTCCGGCATGCAACGATAGTAAGTACCCTGGACTTCCGTCGGGATTGTTCCGCGGACGATGCAGTTGTACACCTCGCCTTCGAATCGGCAGGGCGCCTCTGATCCCTCATAGTACGGAGTCTTGGGATAAGCAGCTTCCGGCTGGGGCGCAAGCTTCTCGGTAATTGCGGCGATATCAGTCATCTTGGTTGAAAGCCACTTGGCACAGATAAAAGATGTTGTGTGTGGTCAAGAGTAATTATGAAGAATCGGATGAGTCGTGGGGAAAGAGGACTTCACGTGTCTATATAAACAATACGTGCGAACCCGGGGCCCGCGCAAGTGAGGTCAATTGCCACATCGTACCACCACGTCCATTCTGTTCATGACATCCCATAGGTTGCGGAAACCATCAATCAGTTTCAAACAAATCAAGGGAAGTATATCGACAGCGATGACCGAGGTGGGGTGGGGATGAGTTCGATCGTTGGACGCGGACACCGCATCAATCTCTTTCCGCAAGTCGGACACCGAGCTTCATCTTCCATCTTTTGAATTGGCACATATTACATATTCGTGTTAATCCCAGAAGTATATTCGCTTCAAAATATTTGCTGTTGACTTTACCGGTATTCTCACCATTTTACATATCTTGTTCTTCAATCATGGATTCACGAGACTATGCATTCAAAGCATTCGGCGATGGAGACCACATCTACGCTACAGCCCATTGGTCCAAGTCAAAAGCCGATGCGCCACTCGGTATAGCTCTTGCCTTTCATGGTGGTGGTTTCGTCGTCGGTTCTAGGAAAATGCTACCTATGGTGCAAATAGAATACCTGGCCAACGCTGGATTCGTTGTTGTTTCGGCTGACTATCGACTATGCCCCAGGTCTCCTTGTACGACGGGCCCATCCAAGATGCGAAGGATGTCTACGCATGGTGCAAAGATTGTCTTCCAGGGCTGCTCAAAAATGACGCGAGCCTTGACGTGGATCCTTCCCGCACCGTCGTATTCGGCCATTCAGCCGGCGGTTGCTTGGCTTTACATACGGTATAGTTTATTGGTCTTGTTGGCATGAATTACGATAAGTTTACTAACTAGTCATCATTTACGTTTAGGGTGCTCTCCAAGATCCCCCACGTGCGATTCTCGATTTCTATGGTGTCAAGTGCACAACAGATCCTTTCTGGTTTTTGCCTTTACCGGCTCTTGTGATGATCCCGGCACTTAACGAGGCATTCATCAACCAGGTTTACAAGGAACCAGTGTCCTCCAACACAATGCTCTCCCTGGAAAGTGCGACTAAGACCAGTGATCAGCCAAAAACGAAAGGCTTACCTCGTCCTGACCTTTCGGTACCGAGAAACGCATGGCTTTTCGTTACTTTGAAGGAAGGCACACAGCTTCCGGCCATCGTCCAGGATGGAGATTACAAGCGTATTGATCCCGTCAACTCCTTCTCGGACAAGTTCCCGCCGACGTTTTTCATTCACGGCGATGCAGATGGTATGATCATCCCTAAGTTCAGTATCGACGCCAAGAAGAAGCTTCAAAGCCTCGGCGTTGAGACTGGGATTTTGCTACCTGAGGGAAAGTCTCACGGCTTTGATGTTGGCGTCGAGGTCGATGAACTGGACTTTGTCAGTATTCGTGCCGGTCTTGATTTCTTGATCAAACACGCAAAGCGCTAGTCGTTCAGCTTTTTAAATATTCCACAATAGTTACCAAGCTTAGATTGACTTTTCCAGCAACAATAATAAGATCACACGTGGTAAGTAGACTTTCATTTGATAGCAAAATCTAGCATTAAATCTCAATTGGCAGCTTGAACAGACGAATCGCATTCTCCCGGCCCACCAGCTCCTTGTGATTGTCTTTCAATCCCACCGTCCGCCACCATTCCTGACCTTCCTTGACCTGATCATATGGTGTATCTATATTCTGGTTAGGATGTTTTCAGGGAGAACCTCTTGAGTAAGTTACGCACCTATCGAGTACAAACATCTCTCGACTCCAAGATCCTCGATACAGAATTTCAATCCAGGAGTCGAAAAGTTTCCCGATGTAGTGATAAAGATATTCTTGTGGAAGTAGTAGTTGTAGTCATGCAGTGAAGGCCGAGTGGCCTTTTTGCTGGGCTTGTTGTACCAGTGCGAGGCTCGCCAGAGGTTGAATGGAATGTTTTCGCCGAGGTGCCCGGCAACAACCTTCAAGCGAGGGAAGCGGTCAAACACACCGGACGCACAGAGGGCATAGATGTGGAAAGATAGATCCAAGTGGAATTGGACGCCTGCCCCAAGCAAGTGTAGACGAGATCCATACTTGGTGTTGGGCTGGAGATCGGAAAGTTCCGGATAGCGAGGATGCAAGTAAATTGGCACGTCGAGCTCCTCCGCCATTCTCCAGAAAGGGTCGTAGGCTGGCATATCATAGTAGAGTTGTTTCCCCCCGGTCTTCGTGCTTTGGAAATCGTTTATCAGTCCTCCAAAGAATCCCAATTGCTGAACCGCTCTTTTCAATTCACCGGCTGCCTGGACAGGATCATGCATTGAGACAGCTGCCATCCCGCCAAAGCGAGAGGGTTTCTTGGCAACCTCCCCAGCAAGCCAGTCGTTGAATCCGGTGGCAGTTTGTTCTGACAGCTTCTGGTCCGCGATTCCCTGGCATCCAGGCGCGGTCATTGAGAGCAGCATATACTCTACACCTTCAGCGTCCATAGAGGCCAGTCTTCCATATATGTCCAGCAAGCGCTGCTTGTGGGATTCCACTGCTGCCTTCCCTGCATCTTCTGGAGTCAAGATATGCTGAGACTCACTTAGAATCCAAGTTGTTGCTGGGTCGATCACAGCCTCTTCCACAGCGACGGTACCTTTGAAAGTCATGACGTAAATAGAGCAAGGGCAGTAGTCTTTTAGTCTGGAGAGATAATGCTGAAACGTCGAACAATATATACCAAATCGTCGGCTTTAATGCTCCGAAATACCGAACACCCAGAAGGTTACCCCTGGGTTAGTCACGGTATGGCTAACTGTTGCAGGAACCCACAAAGGTGGACTGCGGATGCGGTCCCCGAAATCAGATGCCGATTATCCATCCTTGAAGCCTTTCCTAACGCGAAGCTATCGAGATTTCCCTCATCCCCGCACTGGCTACGGGCGAGGCGGACACCGAGACGATTGAAAATACCTATTGCTCCCATCACTTTACTCAACGATTGGACACAGGCTCTCGCGCCACCGCCGCTGGGTTTCGGTTTTCTTGCTGGGTAGCTCTCACGCGTCTTCTAATTCCGGGTCAGTATAGCAGTGAAAAGCATGGAAAATAACAACACCATTGGTATGAATCTAGGAAAAGGCCAACTAGATAATCTCACCTTGATTGGGTGGATGAGAGCGGGGTGTTGGTGAGACGGGTGGTTGGTGCCGGTGAAGTTCGTAGAGTGCCTGAGTGCGGAATCCGCGTAGTGTGGGAACTGGGTTATTAGCGAAGGACGGAAGCCGCTTGGAGGTGAGAGAAACTTATTTGCCAAAAGCGATGACCGGGTGCCATGTAAGGTTAAGAAGCGTAGGGTTCAGATGAGGGACGTGAGAGGGTATATATCGAAATAGTAGTGATGTACGAAGCGCAGTCGACTAATGGCGTGAATTGAGATAGACGGGGGGCGAGAGGCCCCGGTAGGCGTCGAGATTATAGTTGTGAAAATTCTGCATGGTGTGACAGTGACGGTGGTGGAAAGGAACACCAGTGAGGTGCTGAAAGAAGTTCCCTGCTCGTTGATATTGAGGAAGTTGACCGAGCTACAAAAGGCCCATGACGTGTGGGAGAGAGGTCTAAAGGAGAGGGGCCAAGATGCATAGTAAAATGCCCATGAGAATTAAGAACGCAAACTATGGAAAATCTCAACACCATTATGGCCAGGTGTTTGCTACAGTAGAATAACATGCAAGGCTTTGGGCAAATAGCAAAACAGTTTCGTGATTCCAACAAACTATTCTATCTTGATCAGGACTGACTTCTGTTCTAAAAAGGCGCTAATGCTGTCAAGTAGGCCCTCCCTTCCTACTCCACTGGACTTCCATCCTCCAAAGGATAAGTCATGGCCAGTAACCGGCGACGTACAATTGACACCGACAGTTCCCGCTTGCAGTCCCTTTGCAAACCGCATCGCCCGGTTGATATTCTTCGTAAAGACTGCGGCATAGAGGCCATATTCGGTATCATTGGCTTTTGCAAGTGCCTCTGCCTCGGTATGGAAGATGCTGATGTTCACCACCGGGCCAAAGATCTCTTCCCTCATGATTTTTGCATTCTGTGGCACGCTGGTAAACACTGTAGGCTCCACGAACCCATCCTTTGAAGAACCACCCAAAGTGAGCGTGCCAGAATCTTTACCCGATTCAATGTATCTCCGAACTGCATCAAACTGAACATCATCTGCCATTGGACCATGGTTTGTGGTTGGGTTGAGTGGGTTTCCTTGTTGAATGGAGCCAAAGGCTACATTGAAAAGCCGGAGGAATTTCTCCGCGACAGTATCTTGGACATATATTCGTGAATTTGCCATACAAACCTGACCACTATTCCATTGAATACTGTTTGCAGTCTTGGCCGCTGCTGACTCTAAATCGGCATCGTCGAAGATAACAGCTGGAGACTTTCCGCCTAACTCCAAAATCACACTCTTCATGTTAGACTTCGCTGCAGCAGTCTGAATCTGACTTCCAGCTCGGGTAGAACCAGTAAAGGATATTGCGCGGACATCCATGTGTGAAGATAGGGTTGCACCGCTGATTTGGCCATGCCCGGAAAGTATATTCAGTACCCCGGGAGGAAGGCCCGCTTGGATCGAAAGCTGAGCAAGTTTGAGAGACTATGATGTGTTAATCATGAATATTGGGGTAAGTTCATTATCCGTTCTGGTGTTGAATTTAGTATCTTTTATTGCACCTGTAATTAGATCTGCATGTGCTTTATTTCTGTATAGAAAATAGCTGACGTGGATAATAGTACATATCCTCCTTGGTGCCCACTCTCCCGTTGTTGATTTGTACGATCCACAACTACAATGACGGTCTAAGCGTGGCGAATTCGGCTGCGGATCAATCTCAACTGCCAGGGCTGCTCTTGCAGGACCAGGAGTTATATACCGGCAAATAAAATATTTTCGGAGCCGTGGTGAGGTTATTTGGAACCAGCGAGGCTCCCGCAAGGCCAAGTGAGCGGTGTCCGAGGGAGTGCGGTGTCCGAGTGGGCGGCATAGTTACTCCTAGACTTGGCAGTACGGCAGGCAGTCAATAGCCGCCAGTACGCCAGTACGCCAGTACGCCAGTAGAGATTTTGCCAGCAGTACGGAGTACTACGACTAGTATTAGGCATTTGCGTATCTCATACAATTCAATATACTAATATCGTACCAATTCTCTATTTAACTAAGCCGACATGCTTAGTACTGTGCTCACTTATATAGGTAATTCAGTGCTGTCACATAACCCCCCGCTAATACCTAGGGGTCGCTCCCATTGGGGACCTAGAGTATCCGGCCCGGGCCGCGCCGCCCCACTGAGTCTGCTACCAATAAGCTAGCCCCCATAGTACACGGCAGCAGTGACCAAACTATGTTGCGTAACACAGCTAAGAGGTCATACACTTGCAAGTGTTGGGATGGAGACGAGGCAGTATCCAGCAAGCCTAGGAGTCTTTCACGGCCCTGGGAATAGTGGCATAAAGAGATGTACGGGACAATCAGCACGTGAGAAGGCATATTTATTATATGGCATATAACTAGATGGGCGTTGTACTTGTCACAGGCTGCGCCTGTCGCATAAGCGATATGTTTAGTCAGGACGGAGAGGTTAACTATCGGAGGAGCTATTTACCCGCACTGCGCGCGCATGTATATAGAGCCGCCCGATCGGGCATTTGTTCCTCTTTTCCCCAACGAAATCTTTTGTGCCAAAGCTAGTCATTAGCATCCCGGGCCTGGCCCCTAACAGTACTTAATGATTACCACTACGGCGGCTTACCCGGCCGCCCTACTGGACCTGCCGCCACTCGGCCAAACAGGGTTGACAGACGCGAGTATGAATAATAATAATAATAATGGTTTGCTGAAGGCATGGCTTTCTTCTTGCATAGTATGCAGAGGTTGAGGATAACAACCACTGAGAATCATTTCTTAGTGTTCATCGAGATAGCGATGCTGCTATAGGCTCTGGCCTAATCACCATAAACAATACTTAGTAGTTTGGCTTATATGGATCTGCATAGAAAATCAATCTCGTACCTGGAGAGGAACAAATGCAAGCATTCAACAGCATGCTGAGGAGAGGCGGCCTGTTGTATATTTTGTCTCAGATGCTGAACGTCATCATAAGTTCCATGCCGCAATACAGTTATTAATCGTATCAATGATTCCTGGGTGTCTTTCCAGGCTATCTTGTGGCGTTTGTCTTTGCAAGGATCAAGGATACACTGAAACTCTGATGCAGCGCACTCTTGACAAGGCGATGAACCAACACACTGTGGTCTGTAGGTACAATACAATATTGAGACCTAGGACCTTACCTTCACTCGTTTTTGCTGGCATGGTACACAAGCCACTTTTCGGCGCTTCTGCACCTTTTCGGCCCTGTAGAGTTCTTGATATAGATCCATAGAGCTTGCGGGGAGCAACGGGCGCAGTGGGACTCCAGTATTTCTGGACATACTCAAAAGATGCTAAGCAATTCCTTAAGAGGCAAGCCTTCGTGAAAGTAAGACAGTCTATATCAAATCCGGGGCGGCCTGATCCTTTATAATTAGATTATATCTTACAGTCTTTTTCTTCTGTTTACTAGTGTCAGGATCAATGCCTGACAAAGTACCGAGGAAACTATTTCATATAAGCTAGGCATGCAACTAATGATGCTTGTTTGCCCCTCTTACAATATATGATTGGTAGGTCGTTTTACTTTGCTGGCGTCTCTCGGATCGTAGCTCAGAGGGGAAATCGGGAGTCGATTATTCCGGACTAACGAGGTCTATATGAAGAGGACTAGCTGGACGAAAGAGGTATATTGCCTAACGAACGTATGTGCGTGTACGCAGCTGATTGAGTGCTTGACTATCTATCCGTGCGCACACGTTGGCCTATATGGCCTCGGTGATCGGCCCGACGTACATCCGACCTATTCTCATCAATATGCAAAGGCGAAGACTTCATGACAACTGGCTCTTACCCTGCCTCCTCTCCCAAATACACCGAGATTGCCACCGCCGTCAAGAACTACGGCCGATGGATTCATCGCTGTTGTTCAGAAGTACACTCCTGCTGATGGCTCTTTGTCTGAGGAGTTTGATCTTACGGTCTTACCTGGTCTTATGCTTCGTTCCTCACTTCTACATCGAGGAGAGATGAGGTGTTCCTCCTACATGGGGAGCGAGCTCTGTCAAGGGACTTCCCAGCCAGTGCAGTGGATAGAGTGTGACTGGCACTTATGCTGGTCCTCCTACTCCTTCGTGGTCTTAGATTTTGTTTGTTGAGCTGTTGACCTGGTCATATAAGGGGTGAATAAAGATAGATTATAAATAAGTAGACACAATATCCTATTCAACATTTATATGAACATGGGCGAATTGGAGATGCCAGATACAAGTACACAACTGGCTGTGTTCTACAGTGTACCTGACAAAAAGACTCACACCGGCCGTGCCCGTCTCACTGCGATGAAGAGTTGCTGTTAGAGATGCTGATCAAAGCAGGAAGTGAATGATCAGCAGGGGCGTCAGTTGACCTGAGCCTCTACTCCATTCCGACTTGATGTTTTCCTTCCAAGGTCAAGGAGGGCTTTGCAAACTTACACCCAAAGAATCTGTGAGGTAAGCCCCTTGATGTGATCCATGCGGCCGGCTGCCAACTCCCAAATTCGCTGGAAATCTTGGTAGTTGATCTTTGTTTTTGGCGATCGCTCAAGAAGCTGTTGAAGAAGAGCCTTTCAATTATCCGGGAGTAAAAGAGCGTTGATCTGCTCAATTTCGGTTCTTGTTGAACTCATCTTGATCAAAGTAGGCGTATCAAAGGGAGAGAGAGAAGACCGGGACGTACTTAAGGGTGTCTAGACAGGAGATATCCAGGGACGAAACCACAGCTCTAAATACCCAGCCCTCCTCTTCATTGACACGTAATGGGTTATACCAATCTGGTGACGGGCAGATATTCATCACAGGATAACCAGAGATAGCCCAGCTGAATTGGACGGGACAGTCGAACAATCTCCATTTACCAATACTGTCACTGAGAGATTGGTTTAGAATGGTGCGGAGTAGATGTGACAGGACGATCAGGATCCATTCAGAACACAACCTCGAATACAAAGTGTGGGCTCTGGCACAACGTTTCCAGCACCGACGGCTGCGATACCATCACATCCGAGTTTGATATTTCCAAGACGGATCTCAGATTCCTTAATCCACAGCTTGACGCTGATTGCAGGCACCTCTGGGTTAACAACAGCTATGTATGTCCACAGATGCCTATTTATCTTCAACCGATACTGATCATCCCAGTGCGTTCAACCCGTCGGAAACATCAAGACCTACTCTGACTACTCTGCCTTTGTGTTAAACGCCACCAGTTCGACGTCGCGCCGGGGTATTTGGAGGCCGAAGAGGAAGGGGATGGATTTGCTGGCGAGTATGATATTGGTCAGATTGAGTTTGAACCATGATCAGTCTGGTGTTTTTATGTAGTTTTTCTTGCAATGAAATTGAAGGATGAATTAGTTTCCTTATTCAGTTAGACTAAATCTTGAGCCGAAATTGCATAGCCCAAGTTATGCACACAATAGCGGGAGAAAGATTTGCCATAAAGATTAGATCTTCTCGAGTTTATCAATATGCAAGAGCCAGGTGATAAACAAGGCGCTTAATATGGCAACATAGAAAATATATTATCGCCAGCCTGAGCTAGGCTAGGTCTAAACTATTATACGGCATCGACCTGGACAGGACAGATCATATTAACAATATGTAAGTCATCAAGGTATATATATACTCATACTAGGTATGCCGGAAAGCATCGTTTAGATGTCGAAAGACGCATTCAGTACCGCATGCAGACCAATCGGACTTGAAATCATCCATAAAAGGTCTTGGGTAGGAGTCGAACGGACTACGGAATCATGGAATCATGAAACGAATTATTAGGCAAGCAAGATGGGGGCCATTTGAGCCGATTATGGCCTGTTTCACCACATGTGCTGCAGGTTGGTGGCCTACGCAGCCTGGAAACTGGCCGGCGTGCTTCCTCCACTATAGCCTCCTGTTCTTGCGCTTTTTGCAATCCTTGAGCACCTGTCAGGCTCCCTCCAGCCTGTATAAAGGCCCTAGGAGCTGCTAGTCTCTGCCTTTGATGCTTATTTTCCATGCGAAGCTGGTGGACTTCATGTTGCAGTAGGATGGCATTTTGCATGGTCATCTCTGCCTATCTGTTTTATCAACAGTGTTGATTCCCTTCTGCACCTTATTGGTGATTCTTTGACCATATAAGCGCTTCAATGGCGAAAAGCAACCAACATCCAATGGTTGAAGGAGATGAGATGAATGTGGAGGCATATATAAAGGAATAATATTCCTTTCTGTACAGAATCTGTCGAATTCTGCAGTGGCATGGCTGCTATGGCCATCCAAAATCAGCATGCGATATCTCCCTAACGTACGGGAGGCTGTATGTGGCTCAAAGACAGTTTGAAGCCACTCCAGGCCTAATCCATCATTTGGAATAGCATGATACCATTGAGATTGGTGGTTGTCTGCAGCCAGGATAATTTGGGGAGGCAAAGCCCATCCAGTTGTATTTACTGCAATAATAGCAGTTACCCATTCACGATTCCCAGGCTGCAAGGCTTTGGCATTGCTTGCCCGAGTCTCTGAGCCACATATAACTTTGGCTGTGGATGTCATGCTCATCTGAAATCCAGTTTCATCCATATTGTAGATATCTTGCTCAAGAATTCCATATGTTTCAATAGCATCATGGAAGCGCTTATACCACCCCATAATAAGCTCTGGATCTTCACATTTGGCACGCTGGTGGTCATATTTTCGGCTGTATTTAGAGGAGAGTTCATCATGGCGTCAAATATACCGAGTCACCCAACACTCGCCCACATAGGCAGTCTGGGAGGATAGCCGTGCAGACAGTAATAACTGCCAAATAGCGTACAGTAGAGATTTGTAGAGGTAGGCCACGCTGGCCCATATCAATAATCCATGATGAGAGTGTCTTTTCTTCAGTAGGTGTCAATTTTCGGTGATTGGCAACTGATTCCTTGCGGCATGTGGTTCCTTTGACTCGGGACTTAAAAGGTAGAGAGAGGCACATTATATGCCTTTGCTGCAGCATTTCTTGATGAAAAAAGGCCTTTTCTAAAGGCTTCTAGAGCTAGTTTCATGCGATCTTTTGAATTACCAGCCATGGTTGTGTTTGTGGATAAATTGCAAATATGAATAGTAGGTGGTCGCGGATGTGGCCAGCTGGCCAGCTCGGTGATAGATTACCTTATACCATCTGATCACATAACCTTTAAGAATATTAACTAACTAGCGCTAAATAGCATCGTCTGACAAGACACAAATCCCCGCAAAATGGATATAATCACCTTTACATCTCAAATCCATAATATTATTGTTCGACATCTTCTCCATGCCTCTCCTCTACTGACCTCGAGGTAATCCTTTTGAGATCCTCGGTCTAATGGTTATCCCCAATGACACTATCTGTGCCGCCCTCGACTACGGCGGGGGCGTTTGCTTCGGTCCCCAGACCTTCGTCATCTATTCCTGCGCCCCCCTGCCGGAGAGTTTCCAACTGCTCAAAAAGAATATCGCTCTCTATGTCCAATTGACAACATCCGCGTCGCTGATTTGTGAGACGCTGCCCGTCCACGTGGATTTGAAACCCCCCGCGGTGGCCCAGCTGGCCGCCTTGCCGGTGCCCCCCGCCCGAATGGTCAACACGATTTACCACGTCCCCTGGTTCTTATTCCCCGCGGCAACATTAGAGAAACATTGTGTGATTGGGAACGGATCGGCCGTGAAGTCCTTGCTTGTTATCTTGCAACGACCCTGGTGTGTACTAGAGGTCTGCTGCTGTGATATTGAGACTGTCGCGGCAATGCGGGAATTCGCCCAATTGGCAGCGCAAGTAGACCCAAACAACTACGACACAGCAGTCCGACTTTTGTCTCATGAACACCGGATGAGAACATCGCCGCTGACGGCTGACATCTCCCGCTCTGGTGACCCCTATGCGTCGTCACGGTGCTCGGTCAAGGCACTCCGCGATATCTACGCAGCCACCACCCTCACCTACTCGTACAATCGGTTTTGGCTGACGCTGATCTGCAGTTGCGCAGTGCATCTGGATGTTCCCTTCTCAGAGGTCGTCCGACGGATCTGCGACGGACTGCGCGACAGACCTGAGGCAACGGACAGTAGACTGTACTGGATTTGCCTATATAAAGTGTTGCTCAGAAAGATAGGCGATTGGGTGACTTGACTTGCTTGCAGGGCGAAGAGGAGTACCCGCGTATCAAACAATTCGAACCACTACAGTTCTACCAAAAATGCCTCTTAGGATGCTATCAGCAATCTCTGCTTTGGAGATCCCAGATTTCAACTGTACAGCAAGCAGCACGCCATTGTTCAGGTTCCCGAAACAATCTCTTCATGGTATGACTTGTACAGTCTGAAAAGCACGCCCGTGGGCATAGATTGACTGGAAATGAGAGGAACCACTCACACAATTATCTACAAAGTGAAGAGCATTTGCATTCCTTTCTTTCTTTCCTTCATAATTGATATATTTTTTTTGTTTTTTAAATAGTTACCTAGCTAGATAGAATCTAAACCAAATATCTCGCTACATTGAAAGACTCACATTTTCTTCCTCTTGACCATCGCATGTAGATACTAGTCAACTTTCCAGTCAGTGCTTGTCCGTGATACCTCCTACATACCAATGACCCGTGTTGGGATATATCCGAAACGGTACGCTCATTCTGATTAAGGGCTTGATTCAAAGTCCCATCAAAATACTGCATCATTGCTTCACGAGTGCATTGGGTGTCACCTTTCCCGTGACATGCTGAATCCATATCTCCACAGCATTACGCATCTCTTCCTGCAGACGCTCAGCCAACCTATCCGTCTCCCAACGTGCAGCCTTGTCATTTTCGTCTTTCTGGGCTTCTTCCCCTAGCTTCCCGACCTCATCCCACACTTTCTGCCGATATTCACCGTAGCATATCTCCATTTTCGCCCGCAGCGCGTCCTCCTCAATTGTCATATTAGGTTCTTCAACCTCCCGTTGAATCTCGTTGATCTCAGCTAGCGTGGCTTGCATATGACTGAACACTGGCATGTTGGGGAGCAGCCCCATCTGCATCCAATCAAGCCCTTCGAGCCGGCATAGCGATTGAATGGCGATTGTCGCGGAAATGATCCCCTGCGTTCGTTTGTCGTTTTTCGTCAGCAGAGCGCATGGTACCGGTCCCTTAGCCTTGATCTGTAGCACGCGTGAGATCTTGGTCGCGACAATCTCTGCTACGGTCGCGAACACCAGCACAGCTAGAAAGGCTAGTTGCAGATAGCCGTGCATGTTGACCATGCAGGCGACAGAGGAAAACGCAGCTAGTGAGCCAGTTATCATCCAGGACCAGTGCAGCGTCGTCTGGACCCATGTGGGCTCGTACTTCCAGGTTGTCCGGGCCCATGCTTCCATGTTATCCTTGCGTCCTTTGAAAATGACGGTGCCGCCCTCGGGCCGCTCGTAGACCGCGTAAAGGGGTGATTTCTCTTCAAAGATCGGGGGCGTAAAAACCTGGACCATGGGCAGAAAGGTGATGAGCGCCGAAGAGATCCAGTAACTGCCGTAGAAGAAGAAGAGGGTGAAGGCCCAGACGTCGGCGGCGAGGATGCCGATGAGCATTGACGCCAGGATCATGGCTCCGTTCACGAGATCCAGGAAGTACAGACTCAATCGGCCGACCACCAACCACCCGGTCCCCAGATCCTCCCCCAATCTCCTTTGATTGTCTTTCGTCCTCTCGGCGGGTTTACCATCCAACTTCAGGATGCCGTCGATGTAGATCACCATGAAATCATTCCCCGGATTACGCTCGCCTGATTTGAACGCAATTAAATGGTTCAACCAAACGTTGCCGAAATCCAGCGGCAGCTCTCGAAACACAGAGTTAGATCGCACAGGGATCATCGTGGTGGCCTTGGCGCACATCTTGATGGGCGGCGAGAGGGACTTGGAGGGTAAGCCGGAAGTGAAGTACTCGACGAGCATCTGCATGGCGGGCAATGTGCCCCCGATCATGCTGGTATGAGGCCAGTGGAAGGTATCTTTATCATATTGTACATAGAGTTTGGCAGCACTCGCGTCGGCCCGCGGATTGCTCAGCACGGCCGCAACGCCGAGGGGGTCGAAAGAGACGGAGGTGTCATCGGCGAGCTTTGCTTTCGGGCCCGAGGAGAATGGGTATTTGGCTTCGGCCAGTGTCGCGCACAGCGAAAAGGAGATGGTACGGAGCCACGACTCTACGACGGAGGACGGCATCGTACCGTGAATTTCTCCTAGCGGAGCTGACAGATTGGAAAACTATGGTGGAGAACGAGGGGGATGAGTTTATCTAGTCGTCTCGCGAGGTGGCTGATTAGTCTGTTTACTTGTGTGCGCAGCGAAGTGGAGCAACTCGTAACCAAACACCGCCCGATTGTCGACGACTGCGATGGACGATCTCTCCTGACCCTGTTGTCCATAATGTCAAGTCGAAATCGTTCAAGCACATTATATTATACCTTCTATTCCTCCAGCCCAACCAAGCATAAATAGTACAGAGGTCTCTTCCTGAACGGCATGTAAAGTATCATATGTGATCCAGAGGATCCCATTCTTGGTCTCCCCAACACCCCTTTTGCTTCCGAAGCAGTACCCCCTTTGCACCTGTATACTCCAGTCGCGCTGCATCCCACATCATGTGGCCCCAGAAGCGAATGCCATGCTCTTTTTCAGATGGATACAGATCAGTGGTCACTAGTAATTTCGCCATACTAGTTAGTGTCCAAGGCAGTGATGAATGCCCTATACTATCACACCTAAAAGGTGGAGGACTCTGCCACTCTTGCCCCAAATCCCGTAGCTCCTGGAGCCGCAGCTCTTCTGTGACACTGTCCAGAGCATTATCTTGGAAATTGGCTGTCGGCTTTTTCAATGCTCTCTTGCATTGTTGAAACTAGGTGTGCATGGTCCTTGATCTCAAAGAGGACATGTTTTAGCAGCTTGAGGCCACATGAAATTGTCCCATCTAAGAGAATTTCCCTGGTCCCTATCGAATTAAGTGGTTATTGTTTCTATTTAAAATGACAGGTGTTTCTGTCGAAGCTTCTCTATGAAGGAAAAGGGGAAGGGTAAAACTGACAGCTACTATCAAAATCGAATGCCCCTTCCGGGGTGGGCGGCCGGAATTGTTCTTCAAACTTCGGATTCTCCTGGTGTACATCCCAGCGGATGTCATCAAAAACTCGGTCAAACTTCTTCATTGCAAAGGTGTAGATGCATGTAATTTCCTCAATCTCCCAAGTCTTGAATATGCGTGGGAATATTCGAAAGATATCTCTGTTCTCATCATCGTCCCACCTATTACGCTCCCAGGAATCATGGCCGACGCCGAACAGGTTACAGTATAACTGAAAGCGATATAGGGCTCGCACCACCCACATATGCTTTGTCTCGCTCAGAGGTTCATCATAAGTTTGTAGGTCCTTCTTGGTCTACTTAGCAAGATTGACCAGTGCCCAATCAGTATAGCGCTGCGTGAGAGGCACAATGACCGAGGCGTGGAAGGACAATATGGACATAAGCTCATTTGCGGCAAACATCTCTTTCAGTGATGGATGTTGGGACAAAGAGCGGCGGTCTTTGTAGGACTGAAGAAATTGAGTAACGTTGTTAGGGTGCGTGTTTTTGAAAAGGGGATCAAGCCAGACGGTAAACAGCACAAGCATCCATAATGATATTAGTATTACCCAATGTTCTCTCCAGCATTCGCTGAGTAGATGCTCACGATCTAGGAGATACTGCTGGAGTTAGATAGGAGATGCAAAGATTAGAGCTTTTAGCCCTTCAAAGTCTAAGATAGAAAGGAGGTGGTGCCGAATTTCAGCTGGGACGCTTTCTAGTGGTGCATCATCGTGGACTAGCTTTGGCTGGTAAAATTCGGGTCCTAATGGGACTGACATGGACTTCTCAGGCTGGGCGATATGAGGAGTTGCCGTGGATTTGCGATCTGATCTACGCAACGTGAAAAGTCGCCTGAACTTATGCCCGATTTTGCGAAAGAAATTCATATCGAGTATCTTGCCGCTAGTTTGAAGCAAAGGAGCTGAATCGAAAAGTAGGATGAAAATTAGCAGCTAATACACCAGAAATGATAAAAAGAATCGCTGACAGCAAAAGGCGCGCAGTGATCACGTGACTCTACATGGATTAGCACCACGGTGTACCACCGATCAATAAAGGTCTATATCTTCCAATAAAAGACGCCTACTGTGATTGTTTGCTTTATCGCGTATCCGGAGGCGTCGGATGATAGATGGGTGTTTGGAGGCATTTTCTGGTGTTTTTCATAGCCCTAATGTCCTGTTGCTCCGTAATGATTACATTATCCAGCAGTATGAAGCCTCAGGCGTCAATATGACAATAGATCATTCTTGAGTAGGGTGGCTAATGTCTCAAACTGTCACGGAGGACTTGACTCCAAGGCGTACGTAAATGTCGTTTCCTCCTGTTTTGTTACCCCGCTTGACTGCACTAATCAAAGGAAATAGCCTTTCCGCTGACTTCAGAACACCCATGGCTGCCGTATCCTATGTGTTATACTACACCTCGAAAACAGAACTCAAGCTGCAAGAGGAATACACCTCATTCCACCGACGTAGTGATGAAGTATTAAAGCGTCAGCGCGAACGTATTAGCGAGAAAGCAAGAAACAAAAGCAGGGAAACTGGCTAATGGAAGAGACTGTAAGATCCAGCAAACCTATACCCTAAAGTAAAAAGTCAAATAAAAGTTAGCATACAATCGAAGACAGTATGGCCTTATATAAACTTAACTGGCAATTCCTGACACTCTACATCGTTGCTTCAATCATAACACGAAGCTAAAAGGACATCCGGTTATGGGAAAGAACGTCAATTGGAGCAAAAGGTAACAAAACGGGCGACATTCACTCGCAATAGTGCCACGCATAAATGTTGCATAGTCAGTTGTCATTCAACCAGTGCTGCTACTGCTAGAAGAACTAGCTAACATGTCGTTGGTAGTCGTGAGAATGACTACTTTTTCTGCGATACCGCAATTGAACCCCAGAGTAAATGCGTTTATCTGGGATGACCTGGGATGGACTGGTCTTTAATGGTGTGATCCAAGCCAAGGAACTTTGGATAGATGTCCTGAGATCGCTAATTGCACCACAATAACAGGGAAGCCTACTCATTCGGACTAGAGGAATAATAACAAGCATAGGATCACGAAACCTACAGCCTCGGACGTTTTAACAGTTCTCCGATAACCCTTTACCAGCAGTCAACGCTATCATAGAGCCCGGGGCAGTGATCCAAGACTCGCCAGGGAGGAAGATGAGAGCCACAACTGGAGAGGGTATATAGACGACTGGGCGATCATTAAACCCAGTTCTTTTCGATATCCCCAACCGCATGTCCGTTGGCCAATATCCTACCGAGTACTGGGCGAAAGAACCCTGGATTGCTAAGCACGTTCTGGATGCCATCCTCGATGTGCAAAGGTGAAGACATATTCTCGGTAACCTAACTTGAATCACTTGTTAACTTGGATATATTAATTTGGACTACCAGGCCAAATCGCAAGCTACATGAAAGCAGATGACAAAGTTCATCGTGTTACAATAAAGCACAAAATTGCCGAGATGTGACCTCTTGCTTCCAAGGCAATATACCCTTGGTGGTTTTAGCAACATTTACATGAAACAGCACTCAACATCTATGCGCCATAACAAACTACCATGTGAATGCCCGCAACAGAGAAGTCTTTGGAGAAGATACCGAAGCCCTCTCTGGGAGGCAGATGGGACAGACATGGAGATATTCCATAACACCCCAAGAGATTGTGACGTGGAAATGACGGCTCTCAAAATCAGAGCAAACCACGCAGTTCTGGACGTATTCCAGGACAGTGCCAATGTTCCCGAAACCAATCCCAAACCAACTTTTTACATAAAAACATTCGGGATAACTAATGAGTTTAGACCTGAAGTAATCAGGTGGTACTCAAAAACAGCTAATCCATGATGTACGCATTGACAACCAAGCTCGTATTGAACTCAGTCACAGTACTTGAGGCAAACAAAATGCCACGTACGACCCCAACTACATACACCGCAGACGTTTGCCAGTGGCTAAAGGGGCCATAATGGACAAGTTCAGAAGACCGTAATGCTCATCCACTCATACGGGAGTCTCCAACAGCATCACGGCCACATGCAACTGGGATGGGGATGAGTAAAACAGGTACGATGAGAAGGGGCCTGGATTATCCTCACTGAAGGATCTTTGACGGACTGGTCAAGCAATTCAGGATGGGTTTGGGATGCACTAGCCGATGTTTCGTTCGATAAACGGGTTGGATATACCGCTACTTTTTCTGTGACACCGCAAACGATTTGGAACATGCAAGAGTCCCAGAGATGTTTACCTGAGATGACCTGGATAGACATGGTCTGCTCACAATGTCGTATTTTGCCCCAAGCTTTGCAGTGTCCTCAAATCCTCCTGGAAGACAGAGGGGGCAACACCCAAAATGATTGTGAAACGGTCTGGGAAGCTTGCAATGGTGCAATCCAAGTCATCCAAAGTTCTTGGGAAAGATTCTTTGAAGCACGAGACGCCAAACCAGAAATCAACGCAAGGCCGGACTACCTTAAGCCAAATTCCCGTGGTAAAGAGTTCAATCTCGAAGCAATCAGCTCTATGCCACAGATTTTTGCGTCGAGTTATGTGGTCGAGTGAAGCAGCAATTTGGAGATGTGTCCACGATTGGATTTTAAGAGCCGTTTTTATATTTCCAGGCCAAGCACGCCACGTATGATTTCAACTACATACGGCTACGAGCGGATGTCCATTCCTAAAGACACTGTACTGGACAAATTTGGAGAGCTTAAGTATCACGAGTGGTATTTCAGGGTAACTAGGCCGATCGTCAGCAAACGCAGGAGTCTCTAACCACAACAACATGCAACCGAGACAGCGATGAACCCAGCAGGCACAATGAGCAAGGAACCTGGTCCGTATTGAAAACGGAACCACAAGGGAATGGATAATATTCAATCAAAAGACTTCAGTTGACCGGAAATTCAGAGTGAGCCTAAACAAGGACAGAGATGGCTTCTACCACGGAAACGTCACAGCTTGTGTAGACTATGACCTTTGCCATACGAATCTCTTCGGCCATCAGTAGCATCAACCAAAGACGAGTCGTCTTGACGAGAAGGGATCTCTACTGGACTAGACTACCCTTCGGGCTGTGTGGAAAATGGCATATTGTATCGTTGGCAAGTCACTGCTACATGGTCACGATATAGGATATGGCAGCCAGAGAGAATTATCCAGTGGGCTATGCGCCAGTCACAATCGATGCTTCCTTTTCTTTTCTTTTGAATACGTTAGAAAAACTGGATGTCGAGTTTGGAAGTTATTCGTTCACTAGGGCCGGGGCTCGGAAGTCCACATGAAACCACAACACATTTTATGCATAGACATTAAGGACCGATAAATGGATGACGACGATGGTCTAAGGAAAACCCTTTTAACCAACAAACACCTAAAACCTCATATTTATACAGTGTGTACAAAAAAAAAAAAAAAAAAAAAAAAAGAGAACCTATCTTCTTCAATTTTTCTCCCATATCTGCAATATCACCATCTCACTCAGCACCCCAATTATCGTCCATCTCAGCAACATCATAATCAACATCATGGCCGCCATCCTTTCGTTGCTCAGGCTCGTTCGTCATCGTAGTATCCATAGCCATCGCGTTCGTATCATCATCATCACCGCCAACCTTCGTCGCGTCGATCTCTTGACCAGGTGTCGCGGGTGTAGAAGATGGCGCTGTGATGGGGAGGTTGGGGAGCCAGGAGAGTTGGACTTCGCCGACGGAGGGGATGGTCCAGGGACTGAACATGAGTTTTTCGGCTTGGTAGCGTTCTTTGAAGGTTACGATTAGAGAGTGGGGTTGGTCGGGGTTGGGTTCGACGGATTCGTATTCGCCAAGGCCCTGCATTTTGTTAGTAACTTGCTACGCTTGAGAGTGTGAGGAGAACTTACAATAAGGTACTGCCGGAAAGCTTCATCCTTCTCAGAATTATCAATCCCCGAAACAGCAACCCGTCTAGGCCGGTTATCGAGACGAAGAACACCACCACCACGTCCACGGAATGCTCCTCTGCCACGGAGTCCACCCCGGAACGATGGATCGTATCCACGACCACGCGGCGGGAAGCCTCCCCGGCCGCGGAATCCCGGGAATCCCCGTCCACGACCGCGATATCCAAATGACTGTCCGCCTTCCTGGCTGGGGTCGATTCCGAGAGTCTGTGCTTCGGCTTCGAGGAATGCCAATTGCGCGCGGAGCTGCTTTGTTTGTTCACTGACATTTTCGTCGGCCATAGGCTCGTCTTTGCTTTCTTCATCGCCAACGCCGTTACTGACGGTCTTTTCCTTGAGCCTTTGGAGAAGTCGGTCCTTTTCTTCTTGTTGTTTCTTTAGCAGTTCGTCGCGCTGTTGCTCGAGTGCTTGCTTGGCTTCCTCTGTCTCTTTGCGCTTCTGCATCTTCTCATCATGTGCCTTTTGCGCTTCTTCCTGTTGTCTCTGGAACTCCTCTGGGTCGAATGTTGGGCCCTCAGGCGCTTCACCTGGACGCTGCTCATTGCTCCGCTCAGGCTTGGGTCTATACCAATAGACCTTGACGAATCTGTTGTCGAAGATGACCTTGGGACTTGACCATGCTCGCTTGGCAGAGGCATGACCGTCGTATGTGACCAACGCAAGCTTTCTGTGAGTTTGTAATGAAATCTCTACGATCTCACCAAACTGTGAAAAGAATTCCCGCACCGACTCTTCGTTAAGTTTATCATCGGGGATCTGCTCGACAACGATGGTTGCCACCGTGGTGTCCTCGTTAGGACCAGCTGAAGAGAACTCGGAGCGACGGCCTCTGCCACCGAAGCCGCCACGGTCACCGCGACCGCGACCACGACCTCTGTCGCTACCGCGCATAGGACCATTCGGTCCCTGGCGCTGGGCATCTACCATGATATTAGACGACTTCGGGTCATATTCTGCTTATCGCGTTAGTAACTGCTTAGGAAAACCAATGAACTAAGGATCCGAAACTCACCATCTTCCTGCGGAGTATCATGCTGGTACGGACAGGTATTCCCCAAGTAGCAAATACCTTGCGTCTCATAAAACGGGCACCGTTCTGCGCTCTTGGGAACCTGCGGCTGCTGCTGACCAGGCGCCCCAGGAGCCCCAGGAGCCCCAGGAGCCATAGGCATCGGAGGCATCCCAGGCATCTGAGGGAATCCCATACTCTGAAGAGCCATCATCGCCGCCATAGGATCATTCTGATCAAACCCAGGGAACGCCGGAGGCATAACCGGAAATCCGCCCGCTGGTGCAGGAGGAAACTGACCAGGAGGCTGACGAGTATCTCTCCCCATCCAGTCTCCTCGACCACCTCCGCGCCCGCGACGCGGGGCCTTGAAGGCCCGGTTGTAGGGCACATCCTCCTGCTGCTCTTGGTCCTGGAAACCCTCATTATAGCTGCGTTTGCGACTGTAGTTCGCGCCGTCCTGCTGGTACGCGCCCATAGACGAGCTAAACGGCGCATTCGCAGGACCAGCCGGCGCATCGAATGGAAGAGGTTGCTGTGCAGGAATACCCTGCGGGAGCTGCTGCTCCTGCGAAACGACCGGCGGGGCCTGCTCTTTCGGTCCAAAAGTAGAAAAGAGTTCGTCGACGAACGAGTTTGTATCTATAATAATCCCCAAAGAATCAGTCAAAAGTCCCCGAGATATACCTGTGAAACTCTGCGGCCCACTAACGCTCTCTCAAGAAATCCTCCAGATTTTCCACAGAAGCCTTCCGGATTTCATCATCCGGCGCATCGGAACGAATTAACGCGAGCACATAATCCGCAAGCACATCCGAATCAGCATCCGATCTGTCGTCCCAAAAAGAGAACAAAATTAGTACTCTGAATTATCTTTTCCACGCGTGGTGCGTAGCAAAACGAGCCTGCTTTTGGGCGCGCAAAGGGCTCTTACATATCCTCCAACTTCTTCACCACCCACTTCTTCACATCCGATGCTTCTTCTTCGGAGAACTGCATGGTGGTGTACGCAGGGGAGCTAAGCGTGACGTCTGCCGTTTTCCGGGGACCGCAAGGTTGATCCGATTTTGTAAAAGCTGTTGTTCAGAGCTTGGACTGGACGCCGGTAGCGAAATCGCAAGTTGTAAAGTGCAAAGGCACAATCGGGAGATATCTGTAGCAATATAAGACAAGAATCGACCCTCAATCCATGACGTTGGGGGAATGGACGGAATGAAAACTGAGAAGAGCTTTCTTTTGCGGTCTCAACGCCGGAGCTGGACGCGAGCGCGGATGATGTTCGGTCACGTGATCGACTATCCAGCACAAAGCAGATTCACTACACACTATTCACTAACAATACGAAGAGCAAGATGTTTGAATATTTAAGTGGACTGTATTCAATATTTTGTCCAGAACTATTTAAGGAAAATTGAAAACAAAAAGCAAACCAAAGCAACTATGTAAACGAAACCCTCAAGTCATAAACATAAACAATAAAACCATAGCAAATGCAGATACACCTGGTTTCTATTTGGAAAAGAAATCCACATACGACAAGTCGTACTGCTGTTTTGGTCGAGAAATGAAAAGGAATTTTTTGCTTTTAACAATGTATCGCGGTCGTCATTCTCATAAACATAGGCATCCAATCGATAATGGATGGCCTATCCAGCGTGCATTGAACAATTTTACAGCTTGTCGTAGTACTGTAGAGAAAAGAGTTAGCATCAATAAATGATAGAAAGAGAGTAAAAGAATAAAACTTACGTTCTCGTAACCAGGGACAATCTCCTTGACACCCTTGCGCTTACGCATCTCAGTAACGACCTGACCAGGCTTGGTGGTGGGGTCAAGAGGAGATCCACCAGGGAGAACCTCCCAGTGGTCGAAGACGGACTGGGGGAAGGCCTGACCACCGGTGGCGGCACGGAGGTCTGAGGGGAAACCGAAGGACTCGTTGACGGGCAGGTAGGCCTTGACGTTGAACAGAGGAGTACCGGGACGCTGCTCCTCGGTGTAGACGTGACCACGACGGCGGGTAAGGACACCGTAGATACCACCCATGGCCTGCTCGGGAACCTGGATCTCGACGTTGAAGATGGGCTCGAGGATAGCAGGGTCGGCAAGCATGGTCGCGGCGTACAAGGCACGACGAGCAGTGGGGATGATCTGACCACCACCACGGTGGATAGCATCAGCGTGCAGGGTCACATCAAGGATGTTGAAGCGAACAGCACGCATGGGCTCCTCAGCAACGGGACCCTCACGGGTAGCCCATTGGAAACCAGAGACGACAGAGTCCTTGATCTCGTTGAGGTACTGGACGGCCTTGGTCTGGTCGATGAGCAGGTTGGCACCGTTGGTGTCGGGACCGAAACACCAGATCTTACGGGCGTCGGTGACATCCCACTCGTACTCGTCGGCCATGAGACGGGCACGGGCCTTGAAGTCGTCACGGGGAGTGATCTTGCCGTTCTCAATGGCGAGCGAGAGGTCCTCACCAAGGGGCTGAGCAGTGAGGTACAGACGGTTGTGCTTGTTGGGCGACTTGGAGAGGGCAGTCATGCTGGACTCGGCGGTAACAGTCTCACGGTAGGGGACGACAGGGTCGGAGATACGGAGGGGAATACCAGCGTGGTCCTCCTCAAGATCCTTCAAGCAAATCTCAAGGTGCAGCTCACCAGCACCAGCAACAACGTGCTGACCAGACTCGGAGATGAAGGTCAGGACACAAGGGTCGGACTTGGACAGACGCTTGAGACCTTCGACCAGCTTGGGCAGATCCTGGGCGTTCTTGACCTCGACGGAGCGCTGGACGACGGGGGAGACGGAGAACTTCATGACCTTGAGGTTGTGGGCAGTCTCGGAGGTGGAGAGGGTACCAGACTTGAGCAAGAACTGGTCAACACCAACCAGACCGACGATGTTACCAGAAGGAACATCCTCAATGGGCTCGACGAAACGACCCATCATCAGGATGGTACGCTGGATGCTCTTGACGAAGAGGTCCTCCTTCCTGCCAGGGGTGTAGTTAGGACCTTGGATGCGGACCTTCAGACCAGAGCGGACAGTACCCGAGTAGACACGACCGAAAGCGTAGAAACGACCCTTGTCAGAGGTGGGAACCATCTTGGAGACGTAAAGCATGAGAGGAGCCTTGGGGTCACAGTCACGGATACCAAGGGCGCACTCGTCGTCCTGGGGACCCTCGTACAGAGTCTCCATACGGTACTTCTGGGCGGTGACGGGCGAAGGAAGGTGGATACAGATCATCTCCAACATAGCATCGGCGGCAGGCAGGAACTTGCGCATGATGACCTTGAGGAGAGCCTTACCCTCGAGGTCCTTCTCGTCGTTGGCAAGCTTAACCTCGAGCTTCTCGACGAGGGTGTTGATCTCCTCACGCTTGTTGTTGTTGACGGCGCTGAAGATCTTGAAGATGGGGTCCAAGATGAACTGGTTGAAGGAACGCTCACCACCTTGAGAGGTGTTGGACCACTTCTTGGTCTTGGGGTTGAAGTAGTTGTCACCCCACAAACGCTCAAGCATCTTCTTGCGGTCGACACCGAACTTCTTGGCGTACTTGACGGCGAACTGGCGGACAGTGAAAGCCCAGCCGTGGAGACCGGAACCGAAAGCAACGGTACCCTTTTCAGGGTAGACCTGGACATCACCAAGGGTCTTGTCGAAGTAGGTGGAGATGATGACGTTAACGGACTCGATGGTACGAGAGAAGGACTGGTAGAGGTCCTCCTTGGACTGCTGAAGCTCGAGAAGAGCACGGTCGACCTTGTTGATGACAAGGACGGGCTTGATACGCTCAGTCAGGGCCTGACGCAGGACAGTCTCGGTCTGCACACAGACACCAGAGACACAGTCGACAACGACAAGGGCACCGTCAGTGACACGGAGGGCAGCAGTGACCTCAGACGAGAAGTCAACGTGACCGGGAGAGTCGATCAAGTTGATCAAGAACTCAGAGCCATCGACCTTCTGGGGGATTTCCTTAAGGTCCTCCTCGTCGGGGAACTGGGCGTAAAGGGAGATGGCGGTAGACTTGATGGTGATACACCGATCCTGCTCGTCAGGACGGGTATCCATGAAACGAGCCTCACCAGCCTTAGCAGCCGAGATAATACCGGCACGCTGGACCAGCGAGTCAGAGAGGGTGGACTTTCCGTGGTCGACTATTATTCAGCAACAAACGCATTAGCATTCTACCTCTCAAGCACCTCGTTGTCGTCGGTATGATTATATAGGACATACCGTGAGCAATGACGGACATGTTACGGATGTTGGCCGGCCGGTCCATGAGACCCCGGATCTCTTCGATAGTGAAGCTAGAGAGAACATTGTTAGCAAAGCTATTCTCCTCTCCCCGAAGCTTTCAAAGTGAGCTGCAACTTACTTAACCATCTTGGCTGATTTTTTTCCTCAAAGAGCCCTAGAGGCGGGGTTGCGTAAGAATAAAAAAAGGAAAAACTGCACACAAGGGTCAGGATCGAGGACTAGCTCGACCTATATAGAGGCCTATGTGCACACAAAGGGCTTGATGGCTTCACGGGGGAAGGTGAGGAAGGGAAGGGAGAGGGAAGAGGAGGAAGGGAAAAGAAGAGGAGAAGGTGATGGTGGTGGTGGTGGTGGGAGACCAGGCCGAAAGCGAGAAGTGGGGCGTAGGTGAAATAATACGCCATATATGTAAGCGCGGTATTGTGCGTTTTTTTTTTTTTGCGCCCCTCGTCATTTCCCGTATTGCCGCCTACCCCTCGGTTTCCTATTCGGGTATCCGCCTATACTCTGGAGTAGGTCGATGATGCCAGGTCGAGCTGCCTGACTATATTGTGACTCAGGCTATAAGAATGTCGGTATCACATTGCTATACTCTATAGCTCATTATTCTCTACCTCTTCTACTCATAGTAATCTATCCGTGGTATCCGCGTGGTACCATTACACAACTACTGCGGATAATGAAGGCGTCTGGTAACAAGAATGATACGCATAGCCCTGCCCTCTTCGTTCTAATTGGTTAGGATCTATCTAAAACTTGGAAAAATTCAACCAGAAAAAATTTTCGGCCGTCATTCATGGCGGAGAAGAGCCAATCAGAGAGCTCTGTGTAGCATCCTCCGCTTCACCGCCCAGTCAATTGGACTGCGGAATTAGGATTTAGTTAGTTAACTAAGACGGCTGCTGATTAATCATTATATCAACAAACATCATCTGACACCTTGGACACCCTTAACGGTAGAGGTCTTGTAGAAGAATATATTACACTGTGATTAAACTGTATACAGCAGAATAGTATAGAAACAATCAAAGCAAACAAAGTCCCAGACGCCATCTATAATGCGAAATAACAGAGCCGCAGCTTATCCGGGATATCAACGAAACTAAGCAACCTTGTGCCAGCTCCCGGTTCAATAATAATACAGGGAAGCACTTTAGGAGGACCCCAAGATTTTCGCATATGCATCCTCCACTTCCTTGGCAATCTCCAGTAAAGTCACAATAATGATTTGATGTGTGATGTTGGGCAGCTTGTCCCGCTGAAGCCCAATCCACTCCAACGGTGGAGTAGCCTCACCCATGTCACGCAGCTGGGGCGTATCAATCACGGGCACCTTCAGGGGTACATATGTATACTTCGACTGGGGCATATTGACGACTGCCGTGATCTTCTCCTGTTCATGCTTGTCTCCGGCCCCTTCGGAGCCCGGCCCACCTTCAATACGCACCGCGGATGGCGGCAGTGGCTTGCCGAGTCGAGATGCCAGCGCGCGGGAGTGCGATTCCCACATGTCTCGGATAAAGCTAATGCGGGAATAGTTCCACCCAACGTCTACTTTGCCTTCGAATGTGCTGCGGAAGACATAGTCGATCTGGGGGAGTCCGGGGACTTGCCAGGTCTCCATGCTGGCGACCAGCTGCGGAACTTTGAGAATTGTTCCTCCGCGGGCGTCGTTGGCGCGGCGATCGATGTCGTTGACGGACAACTCTTCGATGTCGATGTAGGCGGGCCGGCTAATGCCCGAGAGCGCCACGTCAAGCTGTCCCAAGGTAAGCCCTAACGTACTGTGGATTCTGCCCTCTTCCAGCGATACATCGAAATGTGCCTGCGCACGGTGCGCTTCCAGCTTCAGGATCTGATTGTCAAAGAAGGAGCTCGGGAAGGCGCCAATATAGACAGAATTGATAGTAATGACAACCCCCGTCTGCAACGAAATAGGTGCTTTCTCGGTGTCCTCTTCGGATTTCTTGGTAGGCTCCCTAGCCTCGAGATCCACCCTTTCAGCAACCGCTGAAGACCTCCTTCGGAGATACCGTTCAACTTCCCTCAGAGAAGCCTCGTACGCCGCTTGCTTGTCTTGAACCAACCTCTGCCAGGCCTGGAATAGTGCCAGAGACTGCGACACAGTCAGCGTCGTGCAATAAACCTGCAATTGATCTCCTTCCAGGATACTGAAGAGTCGTTCTTTCGATGAGCCAGACGCTCCTCGGACGTTGTACATCAAGAAGCTGAACATGGCGATCTTAGCCGCGAGGAAAGGCTGATAATCAAACGAAGCTTTGGCCTGTAACTGTCTGAAAGAGATGGAAGCCTGGATGAGTGGTGTTTTGTTCGAGTCCGGTGCTGCTTCATCCGGCCACTGGATCGAGGTGCGAACTTTGAGTGTGCGAAGCTCCACCAGTCCGCTCATCCTGCCTTTGCTGTCTATTCTTATGGTATCAAAATTGACACACAACGTCTGCTCTCGTTCAGAATTCTTCTTCGATGATAGCCACATGTCGTCGATAGCAAACTGTACTTTTCCTAGCGTAGATCCCAGGTCAAGCTGAATCTCCAACTTTTCCACCGCGATAGCAGTGTTCCACGGGAATGCAGAAGTCGAAGCGACCTGTTGATACCTCTGGACAATATAAGTCTGGGTTTCCGTTTCCTGTGACTGGAATGTGGGTTGAGAATCAAACTCATCACTTGACGGAACCCAAATCTCACGGAAAAGCAAGAGATCTTGAACCTGCTTCGCACTGAGCGCCACCTTGACCGGGCTGAGCTTGAGCATGGCGGAAATACCCTTCGTGTTGCTGACATGTTTGCTATTCATAAGCGACACGATAATGGACTTCACCTGGAAGCTCGCGGTTGAGTCGTTCGAATACACGTGCTTGACAGAGGCTTCCAAGGAGTTGAACGCCACCAAAAGCGCAAGGAACCGTCCTTGCTCATCGGATTGGACGGTATTAATCGTCACGTAAACGCTGTTGAATCTTGCCGTAGCCGCAACTCGAGCAATAGGTTGGCAACTTAAGCTGAATTCCTGCTTGCAGATCAGGAGGCCCACGTTGACTCTGCACCGCCCAAGAATCGTGTCGGGATCTCTGCTGTTCAGAGTCGTTTCTTGCATGAGTTTCTGCGGTTGCAGCCTCGCAGTAGTAGATGGCCTTCTAGGTCGTTCGTGCTCTCCCACGAGCTCCTTGACAGTAGCGGTCATTTGTTTTATCAGCGGCACCAACGTCGGGTACAGAACGTTAGTGGATGCGTCAACCTTCAGCTCTGCATTTAAGGTCGGATCATCCAAGCCGTTGTCGTCGAATTGAACCTTCAATGCCACTCCGGGAGCTCGCAACGTGGCAGTGGCTGCCGGATCCCCTTGAACATACTGGCCGTACTTGCCCTCCGAGAACCGGCTTCCCTTGATCGTGGCCGTCAGCATTGTCTGCTGATCATCCAGGTGCCTGCCTTGTAGAGAGACAATAGCTCCGGCAAAGTCAACATCGACCAACACGGACCGCAGTCGTCTGTTTCCGAAAAGCTTCCGTTGCGTGGTATTCTCCGTATTGTCTGGGCTTTCTGGGCTGGCTGGACTTTCTGGGCTGTCTGCAGACGACTTGACCAAAACGGAATTGGCGTCGCGTAATGTCTGAGCGACAGACGCAATGGTGTCTCTTATCATGCTAGCCGGGATAATGAAATCAGACGTGGCTCGCAGGTCCAATGATTTTCCAGCTGCCTGGAACGCAAGGCGAACTTCTTTGCCTCTCGAAGAGTATGCCACGTTGAACACCAGCTCAGGCAGTAGTGCTGAGGTGAGTGATCGCTTTCGCCTGTCCATTCCAGCTGGCACCATCTGAAGCTGCATGTCTTCAATTCGAAGCTTGGCTGCGTTCTTTTTCTTATTCGACAGCTCGACACGTTTGATAGAAAAGACCAGGTCATCGGGCCGACGACCTGATTTGGTTGACAATACGCTGGTCATGTTCCATCCAATTTGAATATTGTAAAAATCAAGCGTGTAGATCGCATTAAAGAAGACTTGGGCGTCAGACTCGGGTTCGTCGTTCACTTGGATCCCGGGAATTTCTGGAGGTTTGGTCTTGCTCTCCGTCTGGCCACGCCGCCGCAACTTTTTGAAGCGCTCAACTTCATGAGACAAGTCTAGGGTCTTGATGCGTTCTTGAAGATGAGCAGCGATGTCAACCACGAGCGCGGCTGTCTGGGGATAGAGTTCAACATCGAAATTCTTGCTGTCCAAATGATAAGCCCGCATGATCTCTCCATTCTCGTGTTGAACCGAAGTCCCCACAAGCTTAGTACCAACGGCAAAGCTACCATAAGAGCGGCTTCCTGATTCTTCCTGCTTCCGCAAGTCGAAGCTTATCTGAGACGCATCGACACGGAATTCCGGATATTCGATCGGGTAACCATTTTCGAAGCCATTGTCCAGGCGCATGCGCATCATGCCAAGACTGAAGTCCATATCTGCAGAATAGCCCTTTCCATTGAGTCCCGGTGCAGTGGCATGTATCTTTGTTCCAGCCATTGTCAAACGAGCCTTATAAAGAAGTTCGGGGGCAGTAGATGGCTCTTTGTGTTGCACAGGTGGTTTATCGAGGGAAAGAATATCGTGTAGGTGTCCCTGTAGTATTTCCACGTTTTGCTTGACATCGGACACCAGATGAGACATTTCGGGCCCAGACAAAGCACCCAAGAGACTCCGCACCGCACTCGCTTCCAAATAGATGAGTTCAATCGTAACGTCGGCTTCCACTTCGGTGCGCTCCGATGACATGTTTGCCACAATCCTGCCATTGATCGGGGGTATTTCCAGGACCGATAATGTATCATCCCCGTCGCTTGACGAAAATATATGGGAGTTCTTCTTCAAATCGAAATCCACCTCCATCTTCGAATTATCTGAAGGCATGACAGACATCCGCGCTACTTCCCCAGATATTGTGTAAACCAACGACGGCAAGAGACGAAAACTGAGTTGATAGTCATCCAGAAACAGTGCAATTTGCAGCTTATTGGGTCCTGATTTCTTGGGCATCGCTTCTTTCTTCGAATCACTTGACGGGAGATTGACCTCTCTCGCAATCCGATGAATATGGCGGACCTCGTCCTCAATAATTCTGTCGGCCGCATGAGCAAGATTCACCGGATCCTCCCGCATATCATATCGCAGCCTCTTGCATGACGCGGCGATCTTCAAATCGTTACTGACTTCGGCTTCAGCTTCTTCAGACATGTGTGAGCAATATACGTATGGGTTGGCGATCGTCCATAGCATGAGGGAACTGGACCGGCTCGAGATTTCGGTTGACCCAGCCTCCGCACTAAGGAGCAGACATAAATCACTTTTCTTGTCCGGGCTTTGCGATTGAGCCACTGAAGCTCTCAGCGACTTTCCGATCAACGCTAGCTCGACGTTTATACCATCAAGTATCACGGAGCCAGCATCAGTACCAAGAACAATGTGAAGCTCGGTCTCTTCCTCCGCTTTGTCACTTGGAGGTTCGACAGATGGGGCCGACTCAAATGTAACAGACGAAATGGCTTTCAACACTCCCTCGATAAGATCGACAATCTCCCATCGTAGATGGAGAGAGGAAGAAGAACAGTAGGATTCCACATTAACGACGTTCGTCGACTTCACGACTCCCGAGGAGTCGTCATTTCGAGAACCAACGGATATTGCAGTCGTCATATTCTCGACTATAAAATCACTCTCTTTCGGCCCTGGGTCAATAGAGAATCGGAACATGCCCACGGCCAGCGACAAAAAGGTCGATTCTTGAGGGGCTCCTGGAGTATACTCGAAGTCATTCCAGATCTTTCGCATGATGTAGCTTTTCTCAACATGAGCCAAGTCCCATGCACGCCATTGATCGAAAGTCGAATACATAAGTGATTTCGCATTCTCAGGCAGCGAAATGTCGTCGTCTAGACATTGGGAGATGAGCGCCTGTTGCTTGTCTGACGGAAGATGATTGTACACATTCCGGACACGGGAGATGATCTTCCAGGAATCATGCTGCCGGAAGTGCGTGGGTACAACTCGCAAGACGTACGAAATGCGCGTGAGGAATGCCGGATCCGCAATACCAGCTGCTTCCTGAGAGATGGAATAAATAAGGAATCGCAAGCGCTTTTCCTCTAATGACGAGCTATGCTGAAATGCTGACGTTGCTGAATCAAGCATGGTCGTTGTCCGATGAACGAGAGAAGCAAGGTGCTCCACTGATTTCGTCGATGTTACTGTATCGAAACCTCGCATCTGTAAATGTGAACGCACAGACGGAGCCGTGACAAGCCAGAAATCCATGTCGCGTAGCAAGCAGCTCAGTTCAGCTCTTTCCTGATACGCATCAGTTCGGTCGCCGTTGATAGAGACCGAAAGGGTTTGCGCTGCCGCATGAACAGTGATGCTTTGCGTGACCCCGGAAAGAAGATCGCCTTTCTGCCGTTCGACTTTCGTTCGGAATTCCGTTCTCAGGTTAGATATCTCGACATTGTACTCATCTAAGAAGCTGGGCCGAGGATCCTTGGACGTTTCGGAAGCATTGGCAAGCTTGAAAAGTATTATCGGGACCCTAACCGCAAGACTGGTCGACTTCTTCGGCCTATTCAATTCCTTAAGGTACCCAACAATATCGGACACGACTTCTCTCTGAAGTGAGTCAATGATCTCAGCGGGGTGCTTGGGTTGCAGCTCCTTTGTCAACGCCGATAGCATAAGAAGAAATTCCGGTGTGCAGAATCCTTTCACGCCAGTAGGAAATTCACAAGCAAGGCTTGTATCGGTTGTCTTGTCACCTCCAAACGGCGAGAAGAAAGGGTCCAGATTTGTTCCAGGCACATATTCTTTCCCATCTTCTTCACTGGTAACTTGACGTGTAGGAAGCTGCGATGTATCAAAAGCAACTTTGTAGAGTGAAAAAGCTGGCATAGCCCACGAGCTAGGAGGTTTTGTCGAGGTGGCTGGAGTTGCTCCTCTTATGAAGACGCCAGTTGCAGGGTTCCTATCGCTTCCAGCTGTTCTTGGTGGGTATCTCAAGTCTTGATCCTCTCCGTGAGCAGAGGATTCGTTCCTCTGAGTCATACCATCTCTGGAGGCTAAGCTTGGCGTGTCCCGGTTCCTTCTCTTCCTGGCACTCCTCAAACTAGAGTTATCGAAGTCGACAAGAAAGCTTTTAGAGCTCGCATTGCTTCTGGTCCCTGGGCGATACGACATGGATAGTGAGCCAAGTCGGCACCCTTTCGCGATGGGTTCTGGCATTGAAGGTATAGCGATGGCAGGAGGTTCCATTGAATCATTGCTTGTAAACGACGAATTCGGACCCAGGCTTTCCCATTCGAGCAGAAGCCATGGGGTCCTCTGTGTTCTTTTATCATGGACCTTAATATGCTCTTGTTGCAATCTTCGACCCTCGCTAATGTCGCTATTTCGCTGAGCCATCCTCAGCTTTATGGTCGCTTGAAAGAGTGCCAAGGGTGCAACTGTGATCGACGGTAGTTTCGGGGCATGAGCAACAGACTTGCGGTCAACTGCAGCTATTGAAAGATCTGGGAGGAGAAGCTTCATACGTTTCGAAAACAGCATGTCAGCCCAATCATTGAAAGATACTGTTAGAGGTCCCGAGCTGAGAATGAACGCCGTTTGCTCTAGAAGTACGGACACATGGATCTGGTCAACTTTGGCCCGTAAGAAAGTCACATCGTAGAGGGCGAGTGGTGCCAGTGGAGGAAGGGCGTTTTCTTCGTTATCAAAGGTCATGTCAAAGCCCTGCAAGCCAGCAAACAGGCAACTCAAGAATTCTGGAGAGCATTCGCCGACTATTTGCCCTATGCCAAAATCCCAGTTGCAAACGTATGTTGGCTCTGCAGGCGGCAGACCGAATAGCCGATGGCCATGGACCGTGAAACCTTCAATAAAAAGTTGAGGCTCAGATATGACAGGAGGACCTTCCGCTTGACACGATTGCAGAGAAGCCTTTAAAGGCGCAAGCGTGAAGTGCAGATCCATGTAGTAGTTCGTGAATCTCAGGTCCGCTTCTAGGGATGCAGCTGTGAGCCTCGCACATTTCGAGTGATCGTAAATGCCCTCGGGAAGGAGAGCACAAGGGCTATCGACAGAGACGTGGACAATCACATCGAGGTCGTTTGATTTTCGATTTGGGTTGACCCCGTGCTGCGAATTTGGCGGCTTTTCGACATATGCTAGCTCTTGAAATTCTTCGAGAGTTTTGAAATGCATGTCTTCCCCGAAGTAATTTTCCTTGACTGTCATGAAATATCGAATCAAAAACCCAAACAAGTACATTTTGGGCGAGAATCCATCAATGTTCAGTAACAGTGTGTCTGTCAATTCGGACGAAGTGGCGAGATAGTAGTTGTAACTCCCATCAATAGATAGGTTCTCGAGAGTAGCTGTCGATTGATCCTGCAAAAAGGAGTGGAATGTGTCCCACAGCGGTGTCAGAAAGTCGATAGAACCATCTCTGAGATTGACATTGAAGCTGATTGCTTTCTGCTCTGGTTTGAACTTGTTGAACGGGATCGTGACATCCGACCTCAACTCGTGACCATTGATCAGCAGAAAACGGTTGTCTTCCAGGTCAGAGGGGTTACTGATTATGTTCATGTCATTGACATTGACAAATAACTTGACATTCGAAAACGAAAGACCCATCTTGTAAATGAACGGCACATAGGTATGATAGTCCTGTGGTGGTCCAGAGCCCCAATCAGAAACAAGGTCTGTGAGAAGAAATATGTGGTCTCGCAGCAGGAAAAGCTCCATATCTTGACTCTCAACGTCGAACTTCCATGTCCGAATGTCGTTCCAGGTCAGTGGCGTGGAAAGATCACAGGTAACGAGCTGCCGGGGGCATTGCCATAACAACCCGTGGTTGACACTGGATGACATGCGTGACTCCCGGAGGTCCAAGTCGAGTTGGTTATTAAACTCTGCACCTGTACCAGCCATGTCCATAGTATAACTGATCGTAGAATCGCCGGCCACCCGTAGGGAAAGCCACCCGAAGGGACGGATATCTGGGCCGATGTGACCTTTGTCGCCTTCTTTGTTCCTCGATTGTCTCCTTTGCTGTTCCCTCACTTTCGAAGCTCCCTTGATTGTATTGCCTCGGCCTTTCCATTGCCAGTCCTTAGACTGCTCCCTTGTAGGGATGCGAAGAGTTGTCTCGTCACTAAGTTCTATGCGAAATTTGAAAATAGAGTTCCGTCTCAGATCGCCCACAGTCAACGGTTGAGATGGGTTGGAGCTTCGATAGAAATTCGGAAAGAACACGTTTTGTAAACCAACGCGTTCCCGGTCAGCCCAAGGCCCGTAGTTGATAGAGCCACCTTCGATTTTGACATCAATACCCCATTCGGGAGGCGGAGCCCCATTGATATCCGGGGAAGGCCTTCGTACTGAGGAAGCTGGACTGGCATGTGATGGAGGAACACAGCCAGGAATATCCCAGAAATAGCTCACTACCATACTGGGGGTGTCCAAAATGGTGGAGAATCTACCATATTCGACAGCATTCCACTCTTCATGATTATCCTGGCTGCTTTCGTCCAAGTAGCGAGAAAGACCGGCCCATCGAAAGTCGCTAGGAGCCTCATGTTGACCTTTTGGCAGTGTATCGGCATTCTTGTCTTGCACATGGAAAGATTCCACAGACCTTTGAAAATACGGGATAAGGTCGCGAACACTATGCCAGACCTTGCGCTTTTGACGTTGGTAGTTGAAGATGGTGTCTCTTTTGCGCTTCGCCCTACCCAGGTCATCTTCAGCCGAGCTTAATATTTTCGCAGCCACAAGCTGGTTCTGCTTGTAATCAGGGTTAGGTCGCATCTGGATGATCGGGTGGCTAAACTGGAAAGAGAATATCTGTCGGTAAAGGTCCAAAGGTCCAGCATCGCAAGCTTCGACAGAACCTGTAGCGCCATCAAAAGTTATGGTCAGAACAGATGTTGTATGTTGGTTTCCCATAACAATTGCGCCTTTGTCGCAAACCAGTTTCAAGGGGAGAAGATGGAGCAATTTGGATAAAGAGTCTCCTATCTCTTGACTCGAAGCGGCTTCACCCTCAGTATCACTTCTTTCGTTGTCATCTAAGCCATGTCCGCGAGTATTTCCAGGAGCATCATTACAGTCCCGCTTAGACCTGGATAGTGACGAGATGCTGGGCGCGTTGGATTTCTCCTTAGAACCGGCTGGGCCCTTTTCCGCATGCTGCTCGTTCTGTGGCACGACTGATAAGAGCGAAGGGGGCGAAGAAACGTTATCAGTTGGAACGTTGAAGCCGGCAAGGATGCTGTCATACGCCGGGGTCCTGTTATAGATGAACCATTCCAAACCATAGAACTTCGCGGTGATCCGACAGGGAAGCGTATCTGTTTTCTTCATTCCCCCTTGCTCTCCCAGTCCAGTGTTATGGCCGTCACTGCCCCCATCATTCTGCGCAGAGCTTCCCCGTCCATTTTCCGATTGCGCCTCGGTGCCCTTGAAGTTCGATAATTCTGTTCGCTTTACGGTGTGCTTCCAATAGTGCCACGTTATGAATCCGCCGTGTATGAAGATAGTTTCGTTCGACCCGTGGTATCGAAGACCTTTGAAAAAGATTCTCCCTCCAAGCAAAGAGACCTGAAGCGCATGGATGTCGACATAGGCGCGGTAATAATGCCAGGTGTAAGCGCGAATGCCGTACGATAGGAGCGTCGCGAAGAGACGGTTGAAGTAAAGTAGGAAAAACAAGACTCTGTACAAGCGATATTATCGTTAGCGATCTGTTTCTTCCGGCGCGTTGGTTTTCTTGAATAGTGTTAGATCGAAGACCGCGGACTCACAAGAGGCAGGATACGATAAGTTCGAGAAGGAAGAACCTGTGACCACCAGTCAGCTTCATTACCTCCCTTATAACCAAATGTCATCTCACCAGTTGAAGCTCGGATCCGGAGTCAAGGACAACGTTGTCAAGCTCGTGCTATCGCTTGCCATTTCTTAACTATCCTCGGGGCAGCCTGTCGACGGCCGCATCGCGACCCAACGGGGACCAGTCACTCTCCGTTGCTCAAAGATAATATCATATCACGATGCGCGTGATTTTCGTCTTTCTCTTTCGCAATATCTCGCAGGAAAAGGCTGTATGGAGAGCTCTTCTTTTTCGCGGGGGAGAAGGGGAGTCAGTCAATCTATGCCTTCCCGGGCGGTCACGGGGATCTCGAAGCTCAGCTCCCCGTTTCGTAATCGATACCTCTCCTCTTCTCTCAACCAGGACTTTTGTCTTTGGGCAGCTTATCCCCTCTGATTAATTATGCCCCGCGCTTTTCTCTCTTCTTTTTCCTCCTAAAGTTTTGTTAGGCTGCGGAATGGTTTGTGGGTGGAATCAGCGAACATGGAGCACGCGGTCGGGAACCGCAACGACATTTGGTCAACGACGACAACGATAACTGCCAACGCCCCCGGTGGCACGGGCTCGAGCCTGGCTAAAGCGGTGGTGATAGTGTCTGGTGTCTCGTCTTTGGTGGCCTCATTGCTTTCTTTGGTGTGAGGAATGCCCATCCGATTACTCCTCTAGAGGTCTAGTGCTGATAACGCTTCCCCAATAGGTCCATATGGCTTCAAACGTATACAAGAGCTCCCTACTCGAATCGCATTGCTCCCGAACGACACTAATGGGTTTGCTTTAGGAAAAACTATCGAAAACCGTTACTCCAGCGATACGTCGTTCGCATATTATTGATGTTGGTGGTTTTGATGATTATATGTGGCGCCAGCTCGCAGAGGCTAATGTCATATGGCTAGGGTCCCGATATATGCGGCATCTTCTTGGACCAGTATCGTATCCCTAACGGCTTCTCAATTCCTGGATCCCGTTCGCGATGTCTACGAGGTATATCTTGTTCTAGGTTACCTATACATACGGCTAGTCCCGAAGTTAACATGTGGTTTTGTATAGGCATTCACGATCTATACCTTCTTCCAACTACTTATCAACTTCCTCGGTGGTGAAAGAGCCCTAATCATAATGACACACGGCCGTCCTCCTGTTCAGCATGCCTGGCCCCTAAACCACGTTTTCCCTAAAGTCGATATTTCGGACCCGCACACCTTCTTGGCTGTAAAGCGAGGTATCCTCCAGTATACATGGCTGAAGCCGATTCTGGCCCTCGTTTCCATCATCATGAAGGCGACAGGTACCTATCAGGAAGGCTATTTAGGTCTAGCGTCAGGTTACCTGTGGACGGGATTAGTGTATAATGTCAGCGTTACTCTAAGTCTGTATTCTTTGGCGATGTTCTGGGTTTGCCTACACGACGACCTAAAGCCGTTTCGACCCGTTCCCAAATTTCTTTGCGTTAAGCTCATTATTTTTGCTTCTTACTGGCAAGGATTCTTCTTATCGATTCTCCAATGGCTTGGGGCCTTGTCCAATGGGGTTGCAGGATATACGCCGGACAACCTCGCTGCCGCCATCCAGGACACTTTGATATGCTTCGAAATGCCGTTTTTTGCAATCACTCATTGGTATGCTTTCTCATGGCATGATTATGCAGACAAAACAATTTCTGCCGCTCGGTTACCGGTGATATACGCCCTTCGAGATGCGTTCGGACCCCGAGATCTCATCGAAGATACAAAGATGACTCTCCGGGGCGAAAACTATGAGTATCGGTTATTCGATTCCGGTGACCACATTATCCCTCACGCGGAGTCAGCCTCCCGTGTCAAACGGGTAATGGATGGCATGCGGTACGAGCGGGGAGGAAAGGGAAAGTATTGGATTCCACGGCCAGGCGAGGTTAATAGCCGGACACCGTTACTTGCTGGAGAGACATCGAGCGGGGGGGGCAGAAGAAGCAGCGCGCTGGAGCGCTTTCGCGCCTACGGCGATCTCGAGGAGTCTACACTGGACGATGAAGATGAACGCCTATTTACCAAGGCTCGAGCCTTGGAGTTTGGCGATTGGAATGTACGCACATACCTCCCCTGGCTTTGGCTGGACCTTTGAAGTTAACAAGCAATCAGTACCCTGTGATCACAGCCAATGAAGTTCCACGAGACCAACGTCTTGGGTACCCGAGGCCGTACCAGAGCTACCAGAGCCTGCGTTCATCTGGACAGAGTTCCCAGTCATCTGAACCCGTCAAGAAAGCCCGAAAACACCGAAAGAGCCGAGCTGGTAGTGAAGCCACGCACGGAACTGAAGGACATCGCAGCCCTAAGAACGTCAAAAATCCTCGAAAGAAAAGCTCGTTTGGAGAGCCCGGCGCTTTGCAGCGGGAAACCAGCAGCACATCTCATGGCTCTCGTCGCGGGCAACTGGTTGACTTGGTTGTGGAGAATCGTGAAGCTGAGGAGCAAGAAAGGGTGCATGCTCAGAGAACGCTTGGCTCTGCCTGGGCTGGTCCCGAACGAAGGCATTTCGAGTAAGTAATTCTCGGCTCTTTCCAGATAATATGGAGACAGGCTTGGCTGACTTGCTTGCTAGACGCCCATCGGGGCACTCTGCGGAAGAACCGCCCAACGTCGAAATGCCGCAAAATGTAGAAAGCGAACAGCTAAATGTTGAGAGCACGGAAACAACTCGATGGGAGGATAGCCCCGATGAAGAGCCGCCCAAAGGGCCGGCTTGGGCTTATGGGCCACTGGAGGAAGAAAATGTCTGGGGTAAATAGGTTTGTGGAGCAATTCACACATGATGTTCTGTGTGCTTGGTTGATGAACGAATTTCTTTTTGAATGTTTAGACTCTTTCATCTAGATAGACATTAGCAAAAAGTTTTCGACGGCTTAGGTTAGAGCTTCGAAGAGAATGGATAAGATTCCCTCGTTCTCATAAATAATTGCTTGTATTTTCGTTTGTCTAGCCAATCCGACTGACAATTCACTGCTTTCACTTGCAAGACATGTGACCATAGAGAAATCTCTTTCTTTTCACCCTTTTGTATTCTTCTATGTTAGCTACTTCCTCTCCATAATGGGCATGACTGGCAGCTCCTCGTCCAACTGGCCAGATATATGGACAATCGCGTTCTGCCGCCTTGTGAGTCCATACATCCGGTACTAATTTTCTGTGTTACCAAAGGTCCCTTCCAGTTCCCTTACACGATATATTTAGAAGACAACATTGCCTGGGCAATGTCGGACCCAACTCGGAAGCTGCCTGCTTCGAGACTGTTATCGTTGCGTGACCACCGGGTTGTATGACTTCGGTGACCATCGAATGACTCGATGACATTGAGATTGTATTGGATGCGAGAGATACCAAAAGAGCCCGCATTGTCTCATTTGCCCACGAAAAATTGGAGGACAAGGCCAGGATATTAGACCATGGTTTGTTTTCACAAAGCTATCTAACCCGTTTCAAGAGATTCGTGCTTCGCAAATCTATGTAGCTCCCCGAAAGCAATTTTCAAAAGGACATGGGGCTCTCGGATATCAGACACGAAGAACCCTTTTCATATTCGTGGCACCCCTTCACGGGGAGTTTGACAAATTCACGCTTGTCTTAAATTCAACGGTATGTATGGATCTTATTGAATTTGTTGGTCGTAATACTGAGATCTGAATAGGATGAGAATGACACTTACGGTATCCTATTTATGGGCACTCCCCAATCGGCACTCTTTCGTTATATGCCTCCGCCCGACAATGAGAGCACAGATATACGCTCACGGGATCCGATGTACTTCCATATACCACTATACTCCGAGCCCATGCATAGGGTATGCTTTAAGACATATGGCGCCGGTGGTTTCTGCGGGAGTTGGCCTCGATGGAAGCGTTTAGATCGAGGGGCTTTTATCACCCTTGCTCAATATCTAGGAGATTGGAATATAGTGGTATTGTCATTACTTATGGACTAAACTCACGTGTGAGAATGATTAGGGTGACAGGTCCAGAGAAGCGAGTGGATGTCATTTCAAGAAAATATATTACCAATTGTATTCTGACTATGCAAAATGACTCTCCAATGAAAAAGCTAAATAATCTGATTCACTCGAAGCTCACCATCCATAAGAGCGTGCGGTGCACGTTTCTAAAGAGGGTGGCAAGACTATCAGAGCTGTTAGCAGAGACCTCAACAGGAGCCACGGGAAGTCAGCACTTACACCCTTGCCCTCAGGGCAGCAAGCAGTAATGCCCTTGCAACCACTATCCTTGTTACCCTTCTTGGTAAAACCTGATACACGCATTAGCTTTCATATCATATAGACGAGGAATAACAGGTTCTCATACCGAGCAGGTTGACGTTCTCAATGAGCTCCCACTTGGCGCAGGACTGCTCTTTAGAGCCAAGGAGAGGGGTCAGGGCACCCTGGGTAAGGACACCAGATAGGGTACCATCAGCATGGATGTCGGAGTGCTCGAAACAGCAGGAAATGTGGCCGCCATCGCACCGGTTCTTGGATTGGTGGATTTCGGGGCCCTGTGGAATGGCAGCAACGCTGAGGGCGAGAGTGAGGAAAGTAGCGACGGTAGAGAAGTGCATTGTGATGGTGTTTGGGAAGAGGTTTGCTTGAATTAAAGAGAAGCCTCTGAGGTTCAGAGGAGAGAAGGCTTGAGAGAATGATGAGAGTGACTTGAGGGTGGTCGAGGGCTTTTTATAACCACAATCTGAAGGTCGATTGGCTGGTCACTGCATATTCTGGTATTGTTATTGTCTCTGTACTTCTATCTCTTCACACCCTGCCTTCTGAATGCGGTATATCCGGATATGAGGAAGCTAGCATGGCCGGAGATGCAAGTGGCAAGGGAAAAATAAGGCTGTTTAAAAACCACGCCAATCGGAAAGAACAAGGTCATCAATTTTCCGTGCGTATCTTGATCAAGGGAAGCAGTGGGTGCATCATCTGGCATATAGACTGTGCATGCATATTGCATGCATTTATTTACAGGTCGCATCTAGACAAGAGCCTTATCCACTTTCCAGATAAAGGTGTTTAATCTCTATAGTAGATTTGAGACTGGTGACAATGGGTCGTATTGCTATTGTCGTGCACGATAAACGATATGGTGAGAATCTAGGGTTACTGAGTCGCTGCTTCGTGAGTACACCTCCACTTTTGATAAGGGATAATTGAAGGATAAAATAGAAATCTTCGAGTATGAATGGATAGGAGCATCTTACCGCTACATGTAGTATTCACCTCTCCGATCCCTGGCTTCAGCTCGAATCCCATGCCTTGCGCCGGGAATTAGAGCTGCTCTGAAGTATCCTGGGTAACAAATGTTCCTGAACACCTAGGGTGTAAGAAAGGAAAGCTTTAATGAACCGAGAAACAAAAACGGTCACCTCGATCTCCATATCGTTATATATATCCTGAGTCCTGATCTTATCGATTCTTCCCCACCCGCATAGTCAACCAATTCCTTGTCCAGCTTCATACCACTTTTAAGAACCCTTGAAATCCTTCATTCTCTACAGCCCCAACAATATTCACAATGCAACTCACTATCATTGCTTCTTTCTTCGCCCTTGCTCTCAGCGTCACTGCCATGCCCCAGGGTCCCGGCGGTTCCAGCGTCAACCAGGCCACTGAGCATCACCCTGGCGGCGAGAAGGCTTGCTGTCTCCCACACTCCGATATCCACGCCGATGGTATCCTGGCTGACGCTCTTACCCACGGGATCCTGACTCCTCTTATTGGTTCTAAGGAGCAATCCTGCGCCAAGTTCCAGCCCATCGAGAACCTCAACTTGCTTGGTATGATTCGCCTTCTGTATATATCTCAGTAAAATCGGTCGATCTAACCATGATTATAGGCTTCACTGAGGAGGGTAGCAATGGAAAAGGGTGCCGTGGTACCCCTGCCGTCTGCCATACTATATAAGTTCTCTAGATAAAAAGTCTAGTACATACGACCATAGGGTGTGGAGAACAGGGCTTCCCGTCCGCTCAGCCGTACTTAAGCCACATGTTAAGTGCGGCAAACCGTCATTTTTGCCCTTTTCTCGTTGCTGCTCTAAGGGTGATGTCTGCGTGAGCACTAGTTGGGTGCAGGTGATTGGGGTGAGGCCTTTAGAGTCAAGGGTGAGCGTTGGGGTGATCAGTGGGTGAGCATGGTGTTGCGAAACCAAACAGTATTCTAAAAGACTATTTGGCATAAATGGGCTGTTGTTTCGCTTGAGCATCACTTTTTTTCTTCTTCATTTTCCTGCCTTGTGTCCTTCTAGAGGAAATTCTGACGCTATTCATCTTTTCTGATGAAAGTCAAGGTGGATTAATAGTTGGTCCGATTACCGAGGCCGACAGACCCCTCATATACGGACACACACACACTCGGTTTAGATAGCCAAGCACTCATTCTATCACCTTTGTGTCTATAGAGATCAATGTTATCCTCCTTAGTGTAATTAAATTCGTCGCCTACAGCCTCGTGCAGTCCGGATAATCGACTCCCCCGACTTCCCCGATACGGAGTTTTAACCGCTACATTGGTTTATCCGTTTCATTTTCAAACATGTCACATGATTATGGTCATATGACCGCAGAAGATCTGATAAGGAATAATGTCGGACCGATTAGGCAAGTTCCGCCGGTCCGATGATATAGGCCAGCGTGAGCGCACGTTTAGATAGACAAGCACTCAATCAGCTGCGTACAAGCACATACGTTCGTTAGGCAATATACCTCTTTCGCCTAGCTAGTCCTCTCCATATAGACCTCGCTAGTCGCGGATAATCGACTCCTCCGGACCTCCGGCCCCCGATCCCCATTTTAATATTCCAACACAGGATCACGTGACCTCCTACCATCGCTCTACCTTGAATGGTATACAAAAAGGTATACTGCTACCATTATTCGACCACAGATGGTAGCCCAGATGGTATATGAACACAGGGCCCACTTGGTAATCGTGACGTGAGTGCAAACGGTTTTTGAATTTCTGATCGACAACGTTACATTTGGGAAGTGTGGGTGAATCGTGTGCTCCGAATTGTTTATGTGTCCTAAGAACAGCTACATGTATCCCCAAAAGTCTCCTCCAGCAGCCGTCTTTGTGTCAAGTCTGATCAATTTCCGTCCTGCGCAATCCCTTCAATTCATTTTCTTTTTTTTTTTTTTTTTTTTTTTTTTTTTTTTTTTTTTTTTCAGTGTTACCTGTAGCAAAAATACAACCGAAGCCATGGGGAACGATGGAAAAACGGAGCGTCTGGTAGGGGAACCAATTATCATGCTAAATGGCCTTTGCTCGAGTAACCGACTTAGTCATCATGGACGTGTGCATTCAGGCCTTGGCATGTGTTGCGATGAAATTCTGGTAAAATACGAGTTTTGTCCGTAGTGTAGTTATCGTCCGCCATAATGTTTCCAAATTGCCGCAGGTTTTGGCGGATTTTCTGATTGTGCACTCGCTACATTCAGCTGCTTTGCACACAGGTGAGCGGGCCACCTCCACGCAATCACCATAAAAAAGGACCATTCAAGGTCGGAAAATACAAGTGGAAACCGCGCCATTGACTTGACAGTTACAGCTGACACCCTTTCCTGGCGCGGGAGTCTACAAAAAGCAGATGCTGAACAAACAGATAGGCAAAGTAAACAATGTCTTCAATGAGTATATTCCTATAAACATCCCTTCTACAACTAGTTTTCTGCAGTGTGACAGGGAAATGTTCAACAACTCTCCAAGAGTGCGGAAATAATAGATCAGGTAAAAGTTAGACCCATCCGTCCAGAGTGGTCCATCCAGAGCTGATCAGTCTGGTTGCTGAAAAGAGCGTGTCATTGCGGGAATTGTCGACCTTGATTTTGGCATATTTGTCACCGCGGAAGACATAATACACATCGCCGCCAGTAGGGCTTGGAAGAATTGCATCAACAGCATCAAACCCAGCCTGAGTAATGCTAGGCCAGCCCTGTGAAATTGGCGAAGGGCCATTGATGATCTCGTCCGTGGAGTTGTCCACCCGGACATAATTCAAGCCCCGAAAGAAGTACAACTGGTTGTTGGTGCCGGGAACTACCACCGCAGCATCGACAGTGTCAAATCCCGCCCTTTCAAGTGATTTCCAGCCGGCAGGAATCGTACGGGGGCCATTGTTCACAAAGGTGTCATTGAAATAGCTATCAATCTTGATCTTGAGATAGCGGCCTCCAAAGAAAACATAAACTTGGTCCTGGGAGCCAGGAACAGACACAACGGTATCGACTCTGCCGAAGTCGGATTCATCAAAGGTTTTCCAGCCAGTGCGGATGCTTTTAGGGCCCGCCTTGAGGCGCTCCTCTGAGCCGCCTGGTGTAAATTCGATTCGAGCGTACTGTCTGCCAGACCAGATGTAGACTTGGCTTGTGCCCGGAAGGGGGTAGGCTGCGTCGACCATGTTGAACAGCAAGTATGGATAGGGATCCAAAGGGAATAAACAGAAGAATCCTGAGAATGATCAAAAAAATTGGTAGGAAGAGAAGATTGGTTGGAGATTGATATTTAACCAAAAGAAATGGAACCGATGGCGGCGTATTTATAGGTTTCTCAACCTCTATCTTTGCTGATGTCTTTCAGCTCTATGCAATTGATGTGATCCAAATGTATAGGTTGCATGTCTCCAATGCACTCATGATGATGCATTTCAAGATACAGATCACTCATCTGGTCCTGAACTGCAGGTTGATCCGTCACATGCAATACCATACCATCACAGTATTTACATTAATAGTACATAGGTGTCACGGTGCCAGCCCGTGATCTATGCACGTGACTAGGCACGTGACCCACAGAGATATCTGTCTGCGCCAACGCCGATTCTGCTGCAGCTCTTCGAGCTGCGTCTTGTCTATGAACCTGTAGATAGCCTGACCGTAGCTTACCCTGTTCGTCAATTCCTAATATATATCGCTACCTGACCCTGCACCCTGACAATAGGACACCAATTGAATATAGGCAATACATATTATCACCACATCAATCCCATTCCAACGGCTTCAGGAGCAGCTTGCGCCGCTTGATGTGGAGTGGTGCAATCCAATAATATTCTACTGTAAAACCTCGCTATGGCAATCCCTGCTATAATGAGATCCCCGCTATAATTTTCTTCTTTTTCTTTTTTCTTTCGCAAAATATTTGTAAGTCAAGGAGGCACCAACCAATAACTATGTCTCGACTTTAAAACTTTCAGGCGGCACGACCCTCAATCCAGCAAAGCGCCAGGTTGACCTACTGCTGTTGGCTGAAGCCCACAGTCCTATCGGTAATCTTACGGATCACCAGGAAGGAAAATCAGATTGTGGCTATGTGCAGGTGCCAAGTGACTCGGTGTTTGAAGTGGAAGCATAGCAGCCAATGACCAGTCTCATATACCTGGATGTGGATATTAATATTTTGAAAGGGTGAGTGTTGGGATGATCAGTGGCTGAGCAGAGTGATACAGTCTTGAGTTCATGCGAAATTGACTTGTCATCACCCTATCCTTGTCAGAAATGAGGCTTTTCAGTACTTGACATCCATGGATGTCTGGTGTCCAGTTGGTGAACTCTAACCGCCGGGCTCCGCCGTCTCTGGTCAAGGAGTAGTTCCATGGGTGGTATGGCTGATTCTCGGTGAAGTGCGGCTGTTTGGGTGGTCCTATAAACTGGGAGGGTTCCTAGAAGCGCGCTACGGAGTACCCGGTCCAGACAGGCTAGCAGAAGAGGTGCTTTTATACACCCCTCCAAAGTATTGGCTAGTACATACGACCATAGGGTATGGATAACAGGGCTTCCCGTCCACTCAGCCATACTTAAGCCACATGTTAAGCTCGGTCAACTATCATTTTTGCCCTTTTCTCGTTGCCGCGTCAAGGGTGATGGCCAGGTGAGCACTAGTTGGGTACAGTTAATTGAGGTGATGCCTTTAGAGTCAAAGATGGGCGTTGAGGTGATTAGTAGGTGAGCAAGATCATGCAAAACCAAACAATTCTTTAAAAACACATTTGGTTCAAATAGGCAGTTCTGTCACAGGCTCGGACTAGTAGATACTAACGAAATGATATAATAATCTGGACATTTCTGCCAAAGAGGTGGGCCCATTGAGGCACTGTACAGGCCTGGTCTTCAAAAGTAGCCATGATGAGAGTGCTGGAGTGTGGGTTCTTGCTTGATCAATAGAATTTCAGGGGAGGGAGGCCTGTCTGTGGCTTAAATTCATCTAAGGCTGTATGGTCACTAACAGGCACGGTTGGCTGACCATTTGCTGCCGGGCAAGCACCGAGAATGCCATTGCTATCGCTTTTACCAATACCCCATATATCGTCAGTGAAAATGGCAATGACCAACAGTAGTCCCGTTGTCAAGAACCCAACAGTTATACTGACAACCTTGTGTATGGCCGGCCTGGGCCGGCCGTCTTCAGTCGGATGGTCGTGGCAGTGTATGTGAGGGGAAAGGACACGAGACAACGCGTGAATCAAACCGCTACGTCTGTAGCCATGATGCCATCAGTGATGTTGTATAGAACAAAGCCTGGCTCTGGATCCGCGATTTCATCATTTGCGGCCGCATATGATCCCAGAACAGGAACCCAATCAGTGGGATAGCCGTAGGCAAGATTCCCAATTGAGGTGCTCATTTCTTTTGCTCCAAAGATAGTCACCAGACCGAGGGCATCGAATTGAAATGGCACCCATTTTGAGAGGTGGGCCAGAGGCAGGTGCACCATCGGTTGGGCAGCTTCTGCAGTATGACCCTGGTCGTCTTTTTGACACCGTCTCGCCAATCAAATAAAAACAGTAATGATGGTCGAAGAATAATTATCAGAAACGTGGATTAGGAAGGGCGACTGTAGATAGCAAAGATCAGAAAGAAGAGTCGAGCAAACCCGAGAGAATACTAACGAACCTTTAGGTTCTAATACTATGTGGTTATTCGAGCAAAACCTCCCCCGAATGCAATGTGTTATGTCTCTTAGGGCAGCTGAAAGCCATGCAGGAGCTTAACACGTCACCTCTTACACACAATACTACTATGTGTGTACGGAGTACTCCGTAGGCGAACTTCGTCAATCGTCCAAGCAATCAGCAATGAAGGCGAGCCAACATGCAGTGCAATGCAGCCAATCACCACCAGCATCTCACTGCCAACAAACCCTAATGAAATATCGCGGCTGAACAAGACAGATGAAACAGTTCATTAGCAGTTGAGTGTACGACTCCACAGAGGCAATTGACCCATACATTAGCATTGTCCTGATGTTCAGCCCTCTGAGCACCGGTCAAGGCCGGCGCAGAGGCAATTCTGGACGACATAAACGCTGACCAGCCATCCAAGGACTGATGATAGTACAGATGTTATGGAGCTGACACAAACACACAAAGCACAAATAAGCGGAGTTCGAGGTTGATCAAATGGCTCATACTTGGTAAAGAAGCTGTATCTCGACACGAGTATTCGAGTAGAAGTACAGAGTACACCAAATAGAACACGGTATACTTTAGTCGCCATCTCACCCCAGTGCCTACTCTGGACAGAAGCAGTAATGTTTAAAACCAAGTTGATCTGAACATAAACAGTATCTCATAAAGTCATCTATCAATCCACCACCCGCCCCATAAACCCCAAAGCCTCATCAATCAGCCCTTCCATCCGCTCATCCCCACAAACCCCTCTCGCCTCCCGCAACCTCTCCCCCCAAGCCTCCCATCGATCCCGCTCATACCCTTTCCATCCCCGAGCCGCAAACGCCTCACACCCAGGCCCAGTCCCAAAGTCCTCAGGATCATAATTACGACCGTACCGGACATTATCCCACACCCGGGCCGCGGCGTATATAAACCAGATGCACGCAGCCTCCATGGCAGCCGTCCTGGCGAGCGTTGGCATGGGGATGTCATCGTTTTCAAGGGCGAGCTTGAATACTCGGAGTGCCCGGTAGGATCTGTCGATGGGGTGGATGTTATCGCCCTGGTCTAAAGGGGGTTTGTAGCTGATATTGGCGGCTTGGGTGAGTTGGGCGATGAAGGCGTTTTCATTGATCCAGCGCTGTCTTTGTTCACCTTGTAGGTCGGGGGTTTCGGGGTCTGGGCATGTTGGTTAGCGAAGCGTACAAAAGACAGAAGGATATGATGATATTACCTTTATATTCACCCCCACACTCGTCCCATGTTTCCATCTCAGTGTATCCAAATGACGGCAGATTCGTCCAGAGAACGGCCTTGGTAGGTCCTACTGTAAGTGGTTGACCAGTCGCTGGATCTGCCACTGTGCACTTTTGAAGTCCATAGAGGAACTGAACGAGTTTGCTGTGCTTGGTTGGCTCTAAGCGCTGGACAAGCATCATTAGGGTAAAAGAGATTATGTAGTCGACGTTTCCGGGTGTAAAGTTTTCATCGTCAGAGGGTGCGAGGGCTGATATTGTCAGATCGGTAATTTGGTCCAGTGCGTTATCGACGCTTGCCCCGGGGTTTGTGACGAGGTTATTGAGGATTTGATATTGTTTAGAGTTTTCCATTGATTTGAGGAATTCGATGTATTCCGGGGGGTGCGGCATGGTGTCTGTTTACCGTGACTAGGGGCAAAAAGAGAGAAGAAATAATTATCGAACGTAAAAAGTTATAGCAAGATATAAATTATTGATAAAATATATACCAAATCCCAGTATATCCCTGAAAATCCACGAGGCTGAATACCGACAGTAAGGCTGGCTCGGGTTACTATTTCTGGAAGTCACGTGGTCGACATGGCCCTCCATTTCGGACCCCGACAATCAACAGACTGCGCCTCCCGCTCGCCTAGATGCTGCATCTGCAGCCAGAACGACCATAATGAAGAACTACACCCCCACCACAACCATGAGGATGCACGAGGCCCAAACTGCACCAACTGCTGTGGCCCCTTCGCGGCAGATCACCCCAACTGTCCCACCCGCCCAACCATACAACAGGGTGTTATCCAGCGGTTATCTAGATCACAGTTTATTGCAGCGAGGAAAGCCGGTGCACGTCAACATAAGAGGAAAAACCAGACTGATACTACTGAGCCCTCTCAAGGCCTGGGCTCCTGACCTTCAAGAGAACAGTCTCATCCATGTTAGATAGACTATCTCACCTACAGATCCTCCAACTCAATGTTGGCCGAAACTGGGAAGCACATGAAACTGCGCTACAACTAGCTTTTGAAAATAACTGCCATGTAGTACTAATTCAAGAGCCCTGGATATTCACAGACCGCTCCCGTCGAATATCTAAACACCATCCATCATTCCACCAACTTGCCCCGATTGAGGACTGGTCAGATAGGCCCCGAGTCCTCACCTATGTAATGAAACAACCACACCTGAAAGCGGACCTAGTTCCTTTTGGACCACCATCCAGGGACATTCTAGCCGTCCAAATCAACACCCCCCAGAAGACGGCATTCCTGGTCAACATCTATAATGCTCCCCGTGGAGCAGTTGATGAAGGTCAAGGTTTGGAGTCTCTCATGGCACAGACAACTCCATCCCTCCCCTGCTTAATAGCTGGAGACTTTAATCTCCAACATCCTATATGGCAGTCCTATGCTCGACCTTCTCCTAGAGCAGAACACCTCCTATCTTGGACAGAATCCCAAGATCTCACCCTGACACTCCCACCAGACTCGTCGACTCGAGGACAAAACACGATTGACCTATTTTGGGCGAATAGTGCTCTGCTCAGCCTTGGGATATCCTCAGAAGTCACTGCAGACCTCCCACCTCTTGCAGACCATTTGAAGCGAATGTGGTAGGCTAACTGGAACAGCTGGTCCTGGCTCATTCCGCGCTGTCACGGACTAAAATAACGCCTTTGTTGGTGTTATGTGGGAGAAGACGGTTGGTGCTAAGATGACGAAGTGCACCCCTGTGGCGAGACGACTAGTGCTGCCCCTAAGCAGACAAATTCTGCTAAGAAGGACGAGAAGGACAGTAAGACACACTAAGTATGGATAACAAGGACTAATTTGTTTCACGGTGTTTTTGGGAGATATATACGGAGTCAAATTGTTCGATTTTGTATTTGTTTGGTGTTTTGTTTGGATGAGTGTATCATATGAATCGATACCGCATTTGACCCTATTTGAATATTCTTTCTAGAAGACGTATTGCCTCCTGCCCATGACTGAGGCTTTCAACACCATATAGAAGTTGCATACAATTTCATACATAATGTCAAGCTAATAGCGACTGACATGAGCCCAATAATCTGTTGGGATAATTGAGAAAAAAAAAAAAAAAAAAAAAAAAAAAGCTAGAACCACCTGGATATATTTATACATACTGGATCTTCTAGGAAAAATGTGACTTTCCTCTTCTAGGTGCTGCTGCTTAAGTGACTAACGCCTGCTTTTCGAACCTTTCATTGGCGATTAGAAACAGATGCTGAGATCCAAAGACTGTACATGAGACCTGGCGGAAAGTTCCCTGGATTTTCGGCTTGTTCAGGGATTTCTTTGAAAATACTTTGCAGACTCCGCATTCATTCTACAGCTTGTTCCAGAGCCAACGGTTCACTATTATGTCACCTCTAAACCAAGCGTAGTGTCTGGGCACAATATTTGACGTATTATTATGTTCTTTTGTTACTACACTCCTGTATAAGGGCATCACTCGTTTCACTGCAGCCTGGGTACATAGACATGCAACTCTTCTGCTGGTATGCCACCCACGGGTATCTGTCTTTAGTCCATACTAATGGTTCCAGGCCATCGAGGCGGCAACATTTGGGAAGTCTTTTGACTAATACCTAGTGTCTGGCCACATTATCGAACATAGAGCCCCTTTTTATTACTATTTTTACTGAATTTCCCGTTCATGAACCATGGTTCAGTAGCCCTATATTCCACGGATACTATACGCTCCTGTATAAGAACTATTGTCGTCAGCTGATTCTACTAAATTTACCGATGACCTGGAAGTTGCAGAAGAGGAGATGTTTATGTATCTAGACTGCAGCGAAACTGTGCCATCAGGGAAACATTTGTTGACAGAGATACGATAACGAAAAGGAGGAAAGCCTAAAAAAACGGGCAAAACAGGAAACCTTGAAACAAAAAGGTCACTCGCCACTAAAAACAATAGGCAACAGGTTATCATCAGTCAGTCAGTCAGTCAGTCATCATCGTCAGTTGTCAACAACAGGTCCATAATGTAAGTCACATTGATCCTTTTATTTGTTGTTGATATATGACTAACTTGGATGAGTATAATACTTCCACAACAGGGGTAGAACCTCAATCAGGTCTGCCAGAGCGTCACTCCATACCCTTTATAAGCATCTGCATCTGCAAAGACTGTAACAACAATCTTGAAATGCAATGAACCAACAAGAATAGACAGTTTTAGAGCATCAGTCTCGAATAGTTTAAATGTGCTGTAGAATCAAAACGAAGCAATGCCGCATAAGTAAAGACCTTGAAACGCCCTAATGATTGCAAAGCTATGCAATATCAATACACTTGGAGAATATTCGAATGGAATCGCTCCGTAGCAAATTGGAAGTATCATGGGTTGAAACATCAGTCAACATATGAAGGTCACAGCGTGGTAAAATGACTCAAAACAACATGTTATGTTAGAGACCAAGACGACAACCATTTCAAAAATAATGCTCGCTGTTCAAATGACGGAAGTAGATGATAGAAGGCCATCTATTTTTCACACCCTCTACATGCAGGTTTATGCAGCAAACTTTTTCATGACCCAGACAAGCCATTGCACCTTCGCGAATGATTCGCAGGAACGGTATGACTTCTCGAATGGGTAGATGCAGATTTCTTTTCATCTTCGCTATCGCTGTCTCCCATCTGGTCGAGCATGCGATCGATCTCATCCCCGGCGTTTGCTTCTAGGCCGCTATGCCGGGACTGATCATGCGATTCTAATGCAGATGCACCAGTGTTGTAATGCGTATTCATATGACGATTAAGGTAAGGGTTTGGGTTGCTAATAGAGCTCGAGCCGCTGCCCATGGAGCTGTCAATACTGTTGGATATTGTGTCCTGTCGTTGTCGCGTGTTAGAGCGGTAGCCGGAATTTTCTGGGCTGGACATGAAGAGAAGAGTTTCGATTGCATCCTGTTCCATTGATGATTCCTGTGAGTCGGTTGGTGGCCTTGTGTAGCCATCATACGGGGTGGATGTTGGATATTCGTGTGATGGTCGAAGAGAAGGTGTTCCAGGGATTGGGTGGGATTCATGCCCAGAATATGGTTTTGATGCCCCGAGTTCTAGCTGTGAGTGATGTCGTCGATGACAAGAAGGCAGGCTGATCCGTGGAGGTTGGGCCCATTCATTAGGATTGGGGCGCCGTCGCCGGCCGCTACCCCACCCGGAAACGATATCTACAGGCGGTGCAAGTTTCGGGGATTGTTGTATTTTCCTAGGTGAATATTGCGACGTTGGCTGTATTGAGTGTGGCTTAGAGAAAGATGGTGATGTTTCAGGAAATCGTGGCGGGCCATTAGGAGGATGAAAACTGTAGGTTGCAGATCGATTCAAAGTGGAGGCTATGGTGCCATTCGAACGATCATCAAACCCTATCCCGACATCCAATTGTTTCCCGTTATCAACAGGAGACGTTGACGAAAGAGTGGGATTTGCACCGCGCAATGGACTTTTACTGCGCAAATCCTGAGACTGTCGATTCTTCTCGACCTTAGCCGCAGCATGCGAAAGACGAGTGCGGAGTTGCACAGACAACTGGGGTTTGAAACCGTCAGCACTTTGGACACTATATGACCACTGGTCTGAGATGTATTTACCGCTGCAATCCTGCTTTCATGCGAGGCTGAGCTAATGCTTCTGGAACGGCATCCCGCAGGGCCATCTACGCCGTGACCAGGCGATGCTATGTCCGCCGACGGAGATTTAATCTCACCGACAGCATTTCTTTTCTGACCTGATATTGCCTGGGATGAGTTGACGAGAGGCGACATCGACGACCCGTTAACCCGCATATCTGAGACCGATTGTTCTGGTTTAATCTGCTGCCGGTCCCCTGCATATTGTCCCTGTCGCATATAGTCCGATGAAGCGTAAGCGCCCCCGTGCGGCAGTTCTTGACGCGAATCCGGGAAACTCCCCAATGGTTCCTTTATCCCTGCTTGCCCTAACTCTCGAGTCTCCGGATCGTAAGTATTACTTTGCTCCGCGCCATCAATGTGATTCCCTGACGTCAATCCGCGATAGCCACTCTGCGTGTTGCCCTGGCTCCCATCCACGCGCACAGGCTGTAGCTTATCTCCAATGCCGCGTGGTATTTGCGCAGGACGCAACCGGCCGTCATAGTAAAACTGTGCTGTTGCTGTTTCAACGGGTCCTCGGTGCTGATGTTGGTGCAACACCCCGCGAATTGACGGGATGTCGGCGCTATCATTCATCTTCCTTGTCAGGGGGCAAACGGCAAGTAATTGGTTGAAAATGTACAGAAATTAATCATTCACACATCTCAGGTCATTGGCACTAGCCGGGATCGTTTCCGGGACTCAGAGCGTGGTCGAGGTCACCGCGCACGACCACCCGCATAGAGGATCAACGCGGGACTTGGTCTGATGCGATGCGGGGCACTTCAAGACTAGGATTTGAAAGATAGCGGTGCACGACCTGGATCACCGGGGAAATGTTCCTGGCGATATTGTTTCGTTATTGCTGCTGTTGCTATGCTGTATGAAGCGCTCTTGCCGGGTTATTTACGCGGTTCTGCTTGTCTCCGCACGCCGTCAATACCGGCTGTTCAAGAGGTGTCTCAGGTGCTGCTGTGAGGGCAACCGGACAAGGAGCAATCCATAGGATTAGGATGATATATGGCAAACCTGGCAACCACGATTCACCCTGCTCGACCGTTGGTGATTGACCGTTGCGGAATCCTCATCGGTGGTTAACGACGCGTCCGCGGCGCGGTCACGTGTGGTGATGATGTAGGCACGTGATTGTATACAACGTTGTGCTTCAGATGAAAAGGAATAGGGTATAACAAAAGACTGTATTCTCCTGGTATATATAGATTCATCAAAAAATAGACATAATTAATGTCGAAAGATACAAAACGCCAGCCATCATGCAACAGCATAGATACAATAACGACTTTTGAACAGACCCAACCAAATACCAATTATGAACAGAAACCGACAACAATCACCTGCGCTTCTTCCCTCTACCACCACCAGATTCACCGTCCGGATTCTTTCGCTTCTTACCCTCGCGACGCCAGTAGTCATCCCGCTCACGCTTCTCCCGCTCATTCTTCTTCTCCAGGCTGTCAGCCACCTTGGCCCGATGGACCTGACGGCGCTCCTCCTGCTTCGCAGCGCGCTTGGCATGCTTGTCGTTGCGCATAGTGGTGAGCTTCTGCATGAGGTCGCGGGCCTTCTTCTCCTCGCCCGCAAGAACCACAGCTCGCTTCTGCATGTACGTCTGGTCCTTCTTGGAACGCATCTTGGTGATTTGCGATTTGAAGGGGAGGTCTGCAGCAAGCTGTTTGGGCACGCGGAGAGGGTTGAAGTGACGCTCGGGACGGTCGATGGGGCGGTATTCAGCACCCTTCTTTGTGGGGATGGCGATGCCTTCTTCGTGGCGGACTTGACCGGTCAACCGCATTCCCTGCCATCCGGAGTCGCCGTGGGTACCGTCCTCGGGTAGGTCGAGGAGGTTGGTAACGGGATTGTAGAAGCGGTGCGGCTTGATCGGGTACCATGCGCGGAGGAAGACCAGGTCACTCATCAAGATCTTGTCTTCGAAGGTGGCACGGAAGCATCCCTCGGGTTTGCTCAGAGCTCGCTTGATCTGACCTCGGATACCGGAGACGGTGCGAACGGAGGCGCCTTCGAACTTGGCGATTTCAAGAGAGCTGTTGAACATGTCCTTGATGAAAGCAGTGTTCTTGAAGATCTTGTACGGGTAACCGGTAAGCTTCAGCTTCTTCACGATTTCCGTGTGCTCGTCGACGCTGAGCACGGTTCCCGTGGCGGCAATCCGGAAGCCGGGGTTCTTGTTCGAGAATGACTGCACACAACAGAAACCGGTGTTTGGTGCGACGAGAGGTCCGTAGAACGTTCCGGAGCAGTGCATGTGCTCAGGGGAGTACTTAAGCATACGGTTCCGCGTCCGACTGTCCGAGGTACTGTAGATGGGGGTGGACTGGAAGCGACGCCAGCCAAGGGAGAAGATGAGGGGGTCGTTGCTCTTCAAGATCTTCTTGTGCCAACGATGTCTCTTGATACGGATCTGCACGTAACCGAACCGATCTTCCGTAGGAGACAGTCCACCGACAATGAGAGGGAAGCGAGGATTGAACTTGGCGGCAAATTCGTACGGCACCTTTTCGAGAACGATGCGCGCGTAAGTACCGGCTTTGAAGCCTTCTGCTCGAGCTCTCGAGGCAGGGTCTAGCGAATCGAACTCTGCGCGGTTGATGTCCTGCTGCTTTTGCAACTTAGCCTTCTGCGCATCGTACCAATCGTCTTCGCCGAATTCCTCGTCGGCATCGCCGCGAGAGTTGTCCTTTTGCTTTCCAAAGCCTTCGCGGTCTTCCTCCTCGAACCGTAGTCGCAATTCTTCTTTCTTCTTGGCATTGCGCTCACGTTCGGCGTCAAGGTCAACAGGACCTTCCTCTTTCTCCTCTGCCTCTGACTCTTCCTCGCCCTCTTCCTTTCCGAATGTCTCACCCGTCTCCAGATCCTCGAACTCTCCGTCTCCTTCATCGTCCTCGTCCTCGTCAAAGGCGTCGTCGACATCATCGTCATCATCATCGTCATCGTCATCGCCACGAGACAGTTTACCGGTGACAAAACGGCTTCGCAAGGCTTCAAGTCTTTCCTCTTCCTGCCATTTCTTCTCCAGTTGCTCGTAGTCAAACTCTGGGATGGCGCGATTATCGGCTAGCTCTTCCTTCTCGGCATTGGTCTTCTTGAAGAAGTCGTCTTCACCGTCTTCTTGGTCCTCATCGTCCTCATCACTCTCTTCCTTTCCGGACCACCTCTTCATCACCTCCGCAGGGGCGACAGCATCGTCGTACAGAATCCGCGATAAATCGGTGACACGGAACTTGGGCTTTCCATGAAGAGATTGGGCATTGGCGAGCATGTTTTCTTTCCATCGGACGGCGCTCTCTTCTTCTTCGCCCTCCATATCGTCGTCATCATCATTATCATCTTCATCCTCATCATCCTCGTCCAAGACCTGGTCTTCTGCGGACGAAATGGAGCCCAGATCGGAATCGCTGTCAGCAAAAGCAAGATCGCCCTCTTCACGACGAGCGTTCCCGTTCTGCTTCTCCTTAAACGAAGTCTCGAAGTCTGCGGGAGTGGAAACATCAACTTCTTCGTCATCGTCGTCGTCCATCTCGTCCTCATCTTCATCCTCGTCATCTTCTTCTTCATCACCCTCGCCACTTTCAAAGCCCTCATCGTCATCTCCAGAAAGACCTTGGCTATCCTCTTCACCTTCAAGAGCCTTGATGCTTCGTCTCTTTGTCCGGCCAGTCTCCTCGTCCTCGTCGTCGGCCTTGTCGATAGCACCACCACCGCGGAATAGACGGACGCCGGCGTCTGCCTCACCGAGCAGTTTCCTTTCACCCTGCAGACCAACAACCAGTTGTTCTCCCAGTCCACGGCGGTCTGGATCCTCTTCCTCCTCATCCTCGTCTCTGTTGAAGTTGGCGGTCTTGACATCAATGTAGACTGCATCTTTGTCGACCAAAACACCACCGACGTCGGACATGGGTGCAAAAAGCAACTTCTGCTTGTCTCCTAGTCTGCGTCTGGAATCCCTGCCAGTTGCTTTGGCCATCTGCTGGTCGATGAAGGGAGTGGGGCACGGATCCGGAAGACCCTCGATTTCTGACACGGTAAGGTCGCCAACACCGGGAACATGAACTCGCGCACCCGTAGCGGGGAAATTCGTTCCTCGTAGATAACCGTAGAGAGCCACTGTTCGGTCACATTTCGGGTCCTCTTCGATCTGTGTCGGCGGGGTGATGTCCAAAAAGCGATCCGCAAGAGCGTACGGGTGGGAGTTACGCCAGATAAGAGGTCGAGGGTTCTTCATGATGGACAAGAAACGGGAAAGGTTGTGGACTTCGCGGTCTGGGTAGCGGCCGTTCACGACGCCGGAAAGATAGAACAGCTTTGCTCCATTGTACAATTCGCTCCAGAAACGGTTCTTGAGGCGCTTCTTTGCCGCCTTGAGTGTGCTCTGCTTCTTGAACAGGTCCAGATGGGTCAGGATACCGAACACATTTCCAGGCATACCGTGGGAACCCAAGACGTTCAAAAACTCCATAGTCTCCATCTCGAAGCCATAGTTGCCATCGATCATGAGAAGCACAATATCTGCAATCTTGGCCACATCGATCATACTCGCGAGGGAATCTGACGGACTTTCGAGGAACGTCAGGCGCCGCTTTTTCGACGTGATGACGGTCAAGGGTCCTTGGGGAGTGCTGAGGGTTTGCTTGGTATAACGGCGAATCAGGGACTTGATGAGGGTTGTCTTTCCGACCTAAGCGCAAGAATTGAATGGTTAGAGACTTCTTCCTGCGAATGCAATTCATCGCATAGGAATACATACCCCCGAAGGTCCAACCACCGCCACGATCACTGGAGGGGCCTCTTCAGGAATACGGTCGACAAGAGGCACATGGAGACGTTTCTCTTTGATCTATAAGTGCGAAGAAAGATTAGTACTCGAGAATTTCATGCCATCGCAAAATTTCAAGGTCGTGAAGCCATACATCATGCGATCGAGCCGCCTGTTTATTCAACTTTCCCGGATTCGAGACCGCAAACGCCTTCGGATTGGAACCTGTGAGGACTTCATGTTAGTATCTGGAGATTGAAGAAAAGCGCGATTGAAGATTCTGGCAAATCTTTTGCAAGCGCAGATATCGGAGCTATCTCCGGCGTACATACCTTCATACTTCTTCTTCTCCTTGGCGGGGCGATGCGTCCGGTTTGATTGCTGCTCCATATTGAGAATCAGGTCTTCTCGGACCTTACTCAAATCTCACAACAAGCAAAAAACCAGTCGTGTCGGTCCGTGAACTGTGCTCGTTGAACGCTGCTAGCTTGCTCGGTCTCGAAAAATGTTATCGGCGATTCCTTTTTGCGGATCGGGACGGAATTTCCTATCGCCGGGAGGAACGGAAAGATTTTGTAGACACCTGAAATATTAGGCAGCTTACTCCCAGAATGGAAGCGTTTATTATCGGGCCGCCCTGCCATGATAAGGGTTGACCCTATCACGCCGGCCCGAAGTCGATTGGACATGCCAGATACGGATACGTACCCTTGTACATACGAGATGCGATATGAGCTAAACTGCTACGGTAATGACAGGATGCAATATCGGCGCTATCGCGATATGTCCGAGGTCAAACGTGACCAGATAAATACAGGATGAGTGCCCCTGCACCATTGGCATTCACACCAAGCCACTTGTCTCTACGGAGTACTCCTACGACCGAACCAAGATGTCTACCCCGCGTCGACCACCCCCGGCATACACTGCACCTCCGGAATCGTCGGTCTTTGCAACCTCTCAGCTATACAGATCTATCTCCGAAACAGCCTCTGATGCGCCCGCCCGCGAGCTGAAGTCATCGTTCACCATCCGTCCCTGCTCCGGCCAGGCATGGATCGTCCCAGCCGGCCATGTTTGTCGATTGACCACTCCGCTCGGACCCCAAGTTGGCGATCTGAACATCTGGAATGCAAAAAACCCCCGTGAGCGACTCTGGGCTGCTCGCACGCGTCAGATTCATGCGTCGCACGTCTCTGTCGGTGACCGGCTTTGGTCGAATTTGCCATATTTGCGGCCTCTGGTGTCGATCACTGGTGACTCTTTGGGAGGCGGACAACTGCATGAGGTGCTGGATACGGAGGGAAAGCGGAAGCCAAGTGTAGGGTTCGGAACATCACAATGGGGAGGACGGGTCCATGATCTCCTAGGCACTAGATGTGATCCGTACGTCAACTTGCTTATGGGCGGGGAGACGTTTGACTTTCACTGCCATTCGAACCTCACCCGTGCGGTGGTGCCGTATGGGTTGACGGAATTGGACGTGCATGATGTTCTGAACGTGTTCCAGGTGACTGGACTAGACGAGGACGCCAAGTACTTCATGGAGACTTCACCTGCAAAGCCAGGGGAGTATTTCGAATTCTTTGCAGAAGTGGATGTGCTCTGTGCACTTTCCGCTTGTCCCGGTGGTATGGATGAATCTGAATCTAGGGTGTACGGTCATGACTGACGAATTTCTGACAGGCGATCTTTCCAACTGGGGCTGGGATGACAAAGAAGGAGACATGGGTGCAACCACTCGTCCCCTTGGTGTAGAGGTCTACCAGTTACGCGACTCCAAGGTCCTGGAGGGGTGGAAGGAGCCGGAGAGTCCGAAATACACCGGCATGCATGGACTGCGAATGCCCCCTAGATCGGATGACGGAACAGGCTATGTTGGACAGTAGATTCTGCAGAGTGTTGCAATACAAATCCGGTATTTTACTATTGACTGCTAAACCCCTGAAGTGAGTGTACGGCATACAGCCATGTCATATCACGTGACAGCCCCGCCCCCGCCATGGCCAGCGTCATCGGGTATCGCAAACCGCGGATAGCGAGAGATGATTATTGACAGGCGTGCTAGAGTAAATGCAAACACGTAGCCTGAAGGACAATACGAGGTATTCTGTACACTGAATCTGACTGTATTCTGCATTCCAATCTAGCTGGAAAGAGCAGTGCAACTTTATCTTTCTGGCGGGTTGCAGATGTCGTGTACGGCTGTGGTAACTGACCACAGTCAATCACATCATCTCCAAGGCAAGGCAAGGAATAGCCACTGGCTGAGAGTGGCTAAGATGAATGGCGCAACATGGCAAAAAAAGTAACCAAATGATATGTCTGGTGATATATCCAGGGGGGGCAGTATAAGTATTTAGTAGAAGTAGACAACCTGCAAGTTCGTAGTCCCCCCTCTTATCAGTCTCAACCCCGCCTATTTTATCTGCCACCTTATATTTAGCTTCTTCTTCCTATCACTATCTTCGCACTTTCATCCATCTGTCAAACCACTCCTGCACTATTCGCCTACAGACTCTTTACTCTGCACGACGACTTCTGTCTCACCAAACCAGCAAAATGCCTCTCTACAACGTTCGTCTACTCGACTATGACTCTACTTACCCCCATCACTGCAATGCTAACCCCCTATCTAGGTCACCCTGAAGAAGGACGCTCCCCAGGAGCAACTCGAGAAGTATGCTCAAGCTATTCCCATTTCATTCACATTACCTTTGGCTAACAAGTCCCAGGGCCAAGCAGCAAGCAAGAGAACAAGGCGGAACCATCCAACACGAGTACAGCCTCATCAAGGGCTTCACGTAAGCGATACACCCTTCCTCTTATTCCTTTTATTCCTTTTATCAGTCCTTCAAACTAACAGCGTCACAGCGTCGAGTACCCGGATGACCACGTCAACGCCCTCCAAACCACCGAGCACATCCACGTCGAACAGGATGGTGAAGTCCGGACCCAGTAGACGAGACAATGACGTCCACTGCCTATCTTTCGATCGACAATATCCGTATTCGAGTCTGGGGTGGTCATAAAAACGAACAAAAACAAAAAGAAAGGCTGGATACCCTGGGAGCGGACGATGGCAACGGATAAGGACACTTGATGGCTCAATAGTCCTCCGACCAGACTCGTGATCAGATACTAGCAGGGGGTGCATTTGTATACACGTATACGTACATACAACGCGAGCACGAAGTTACGGATATTGCGATCGTTTACGGTGAGGTCGGGTTGCTATGACCAAGTCCACACGGTGTTCAGAGCAGATATCCCGGATGCGTCCATGTTATGATTACGATGATTTTCAATATGATTATTTTGGCTCTTTGAAATGTGTTTCCAGAGCGGTAATAGACATTGCCGTGGAAGTCGCTGTAGGATGACGGATTATTGCAGACCGTGGGTTATCCCTTGACTGCCCGTAGTTGATCTCTATCCGTACAGGTAGGTCTGAGATATTTGTGTCTTGCCTCGCTCAAGGAGTATCATTATTCTCAGTCACCGTCTAGTTATCTACATTATATTGCATATTGGCTGGGGATGCCATGCGGATGCAGGTTTACGCCGGCCATGCAGTATGCACAGTGACCTTTGTCAGTACAGGGTATGTTTACCATTCCGGATTCAGGAACATGCTAACCAGTTTTATAAGATAGCCATAGCAATATGTATGAGGCAGAGGAGCAGACGATATACTAGCACGAGAACCGGTATCCAGGAACCGGCACGGTGAATCTCTACTATGTACTTCCGAGATTTTGTCAGATCCGCATTGGCATGGAAGAATCGATGAAGACTATCCAGGGACATTTGCTTAAATACACCAGTCCCTTGCAGTTATCCGCACTCCCCGTGGCTATCTCCCGTGCAGGGAACGGGGTATATCCTTCCGACTCACATACCGCCATGCTACGCAAGGCACTCGAGGCATGTCTGAGAGGTGCATTCTGTGTTCTCGATTTTGAAGCCTTTGCAACAACTATACCAAGATGTGAAAGCACAGGCTGAACGAGTCCATTGAACCAGCTCCAAAATCTATATAAACTGTCTCGGCCATCACCCAGAATCGAATTCATCATCCAGCAAAACCAAAAACCAAAGCAACTCTTCTCTTCTCTCACTCCACTTCAATACTTGAGGATTCAATTTACCAACCCTAAAAACCACCAAAATGCAGTTCACCACCATCGCCACCCTCTTCACCCTCGCCCTCAGCGTCACAGCCCATCCCGGCCGTCCCCCCGTCGACGTCCACCAGCAAAAGAACGAGTGCGGCGGTGGCCACCTCGCCTGCTGTCTCGAGCACTCCGACATCCACGCCGACGGTTTCCTCTCCGGTCTTCTGACCGAGGGTCTGCTCACTCCCATCATCGGTTCCCAGGAGCAGTCTTGTGCCAAGTTCTCGCTTATTGAGAATCTTAACATTCTTGGTATGTTTTCTTATGTTGAGAAATGTGAGTTTGTAGTAGTTGCTAATAGTGTGGTTAAGGTTTTACTAAGAAGGGTGATGATTCGCCTTCTTGCAAGTCTATTACTGCTTGTTGCCCTGAGGGCAAGGGGGTAAGTTTCTTTCTTTGTGGTTGTATTTGGCAATATACTAACGACATTGCAGTCTTGTGACCGTGTCTAAGCGCGTTAATTCAATCGCTCATAATCTGGTATATTTTCGGGGAGGTCATCGGGTACAGAGTAGATAGTCTAGTGAGCTTAATATCACGATTGTACTATACCCATTCCGCTTGTTTTATTCAATCTAGACCACCAAATAGTTGTAAACAATCAATTCTATAAAAAAAACCCAACGAAGCAATAATAAACATCGTACCCCCAAACCGACGGCCACAAGTACATCCCAAAAATGGACTTGCTGATCACCACAACCGCCGCCGATGATTGGAATACACCAACCACCAGTACAACCACTACGCGCCCACCTTCCGCCAGCCCTCAACCAACGACACTCCTCTCCGCCTGTGATGAACAATGTGATATCTCCACCAGGCGCTGCACTTCTGAATAAGCGTCACGCTCTAGTTTAGTCTGATAGCAATAGCAATTGATGTGCATGCTCAATGGACGGGATGGGATGGATTTTGTCAGTAACGTGGGGGTTACTTTTATCGCTGTCCCGCTGTGCGTACTTGTATGTTTCTCTTTCTTTTCTTTTGCTTTTATCTGTTTTGTGCATGCGGAGTTCTCCATACTGTCCTCTACTCTGTATGGAGATGTAAAGCTGACGATGACGGTCCTCGAGCTCGCAGGATCGCGATTCGCTAGCTGGATCTCCTGCTTGTTTCTTTGTTCCGAGTCAGATAATGGAGGCCAGCAACGGCAGGTGGAGGGGAAGAGTCAGTACCTATACATGCATTTATCTATACCACGGCAGATAACTAATGGATACAGGCGTCAAGCGGGAGCGAGATATGATGATAAATACACAACCGGAGCTCGTTTCTCCTATGCGGTTGGGTTCATGCGATGGGGAGAATGGGAATGAGAAACATCCTCTATCTCTACCACTATCACCACCTCTCCCCCGACCTCAACGGACCCATCGCGACAACACAATGTCAAGAAGATCCTCCATCCGCGCAAGTCTCTCCTTCAGCCGGAAATCCACCATCGGGCCCAGACCCAGCGCAATCCGAATCAGCGCGCCCTCGGACTTTAGACGAGTCCAGTCAATGACCAATTTCCCTGTATCCAAACCCCAACCTCAAGCGCAAACCCAAATACCAGAGAAAGGAAAAGGAAACCACTTCCTCGAACTGAGCATCTACAACAACCCCCACCACGCACTCCCCGATCTCCCCTCCTTCGATGATTTCCATGTCACCGATGCTGAATCACCGATTAAACGGCCACAGAGAGTCTTCTCGTCGCCACCGGGCTTCTCACTACCACCTGTTGTCCCTCGTTCGCGGGACACGGAAGGAAGTATATCAGGGTCAGCGTCGTTCCGGCTACCGCGGAAACCTGTTGGGACGGCGCCGGTACCGCGGCGGTCTTCTACTGCTGCTGCTGCTGCTGTTGCTAGTGCTAGTGCTTGGCCGGTTGCTAGACCAGAACGACAGCGCTATTCGACTCCGGCTAGTCCTCTGATTCCGCATTTCGCGACGGTTCAGCGGACGAGTATGGCTCGGCCTGTGCCGCGTTCGTTGTCTATGGGGATGGGCCCTGCGTTGGATAGGGAATTCAGGTTTACCCTGCAGAACGGGGCGATTCATGCTACCAATAACGACCACACCGACATGACACCTCCCATCTCCCCCTCTCCAACCCTAACCTCCCTCCAATCCCAGTCCCGATTCCAACACAAACCACTCCCACTCCCACTCCCACCATCACAATCACAACCAGGGCCAGAGCACACCCGCTCCTGGAGCGGCTCAACGCTCGCCTCCTCCACATACACATACACATACTCTCTCAAGGGATTCGACGTATCAGTGATTTCCAGACCCGGGTCGAGAACTGGGTTGGGGCAAGGGGCGGTTGTGTATCCGTTTCCGGCGCCGACTATTTATGAGGGGAAGCAGGTTGTTGGGTACATTTAATGGTTTTATCAAGAATTATTGAGCATATTGGATGTGTGGTTGTTTGGGATGGGTTGTGATTTTTTTTTTTTTTTTTTTTTTTTTGTTTATTGTCTTTTGGATACCCTCTTTGTTTTTAATCTCTCGAACATATCCCAATGACAAATTATGGTCAATCTCATCTACACTGTCGACTAAGACTTCAAACACTACAACTAGGTATTACGCACCAAACACGACAATCTTAGAGAACGAGACTACAATGAAACTGCATTTCTACCACATAATAAGTATTTCGGGATATCAAACAACAACAATCGAGGTATATAAACGATTCAAAACAAAAACAATCAACAGAAGCAGCATAGGCACGGCACTGAAATCAATCTGAAACAATGAAACGGAGCAAAAAGCTCTCGAAATCGCATTCAAACCAAATTATAAGTCAAAAACAGGAAAAAGCAGACGAGCAAACATCAACATCATCTCACTTGGTATCATAGCTGAAAATGTTTCCCAGTAATAATATAAAAAGCAGACCTCTCACACCCGTGTATCACTAGACTGCCACATGGAAAGATCAAATACACAATAAAAACAAACGCGTAAAAAAAAAAAAAAAAAAAAAAGCAGAATCAACCACAAAACAAGGTCAGAATGGGGTATACATAAAATGCGTGATGGCAGGCGACCAGTACCTTCCAATAGCAGGATTTATAGTATCATCCACTCTGTCCATGCTCCTTCTCTTTCCTCGAAATTCTCCTTGCTTTGCATAACTGTCTGTGGTATCAAAGAAAACACAAAAAGCAGATAATCAAATCCAAAAAAGACAAATAACCGCTGGAAAAAAAAAGAAAAAAAGAAAAATCAAAGTGCCTTTGGGGTATACAGCTGCAACTCAGTTTTTTAACGCGGTGGCCCAATTGGGGCCGGGTATCCAGAAGTAGAATTGGAAGTGCTAGGTCGACCACTGTCAAAAGAAGCGCGCAGGTCATGCTTAGGAGTCATGTCACCTGGCGCCGCACTGAATGGAAACTTTGTATCAAAACGCACTGGCCAGCCATTGCTGTTGCTGTGGCTATGGGACGTACCAAGAACCGGCAAGTCGTCCTCGGGGAGGTTCACCCCAGAATCATTCCATGGATTGCGGTAGCCACTATCCCGGGACTCCATGGAGACAAGAGAAGCCTTCGAGGCGTTGCTCGAGGCGTGCTTGAAAAATGATCCTGGAGAGGCAGAGTGATTCTTGCGACCGATGAACGACGAGAACGAGGAGATACTACCGGGCCTCCGGAGCCGCTCGAAGATCGATCCACGCTCGCTAGTGTCATCGGGGAAATTCGGCCGAGTGGGGGAGTCGGTCACGATCGGAGCAGGAGCGTGCTGCAACAGTTTGGAGTCGAAGAACGGCAATGACTCCTCGAAAGAATCGGATTTGGGTCGGGGAATGGCACCCTTGACCGTAGTGGCATCGAGGCCGTGAGCGACGAGACGCGAGATCAAGAAGTCGATGGCATCTTTCAGACCACCCGCATTGTTCCGGGTGTATCCTAGAACGACGCGATCCTCGGGAGGCGCGATAGACGAGTTCGAACCTTGCTCGGGAGAGGGGGGAGCATCAATACAGGTATCCACCGTCGTGTCCACTTCGTATTGTTCCTTCAACTTGGTAGAGACATTCTCACGGAAGTCGGAGGACTTGAAATAGTCGCGGAGTTCATCGGAACTGTTGAAGAGAAGCTCATGGCTTTCGGGGACCATTCCCAATAGAGCATCGACGGCCTGAGGAACCTGGTACTCAGGTCCAGAGATGGACACGATGTCACTGGCAAGTTCAGTGCTGGGGAACTCGATCTTGCAGTTCCACTTCTTCTCCAGCTCGTCGATTTCGGATATGCGGGCGAGCAATTCGCGGTGATACAGACGGTTGATGGCAACCCGCTCAGAGACGTACTCGGCGTCAACCTTCTCGACCATGTCCATAATCTCCTGCTTGACAAGGTCCAAGCTCTGGGCATTGCGAGCCGGAGTGCGGCAGATGACGTTGTCAACCTTGATATCATCATCCTCTTTGCCCATGCCGCCGCGGTCCATTGCGTTGGAGAATTTGACGAAAACAGAGTACTTCTTCATGATGCGCTGGATGTGCTGGCCGCCAATTCCGATGATCCGCTTGTGGTACTGGTCGGGAACGTGGAAAGAGATCGAAGCAGGCATTTCCTGCTCGACGAGATCCAGACCGTTCTTGGTGGACTCGTACTGGTTACCACAGACATCGATGTAAAAGTTGTACTCGTTGAATCCGTCGAAGATGATTTGGACATTGCCTGCACGGGGTCAGTATGGTTTACTTGTACCACGGAGACGGGTGTACTTACTTTGACCCATGATCTTGTTGATCTTGCCATTCTTCTTTCCACTGACAAACTCCTTGTGCTCGTTGGCCAGCTCGATCTTGACGCGCATCTGGTATTGGCTGCGTTTGACGAAGGGAATCTGGTTGATAACCATCATGCCAGCCTTGACCGCATCGTCGGATCCATTGATGGTGAAGGTCAAGTTGTCGAAGCTGACCTCTGCTTCCGAGTTGGTGCAAATGTCGGACAACATGGTGCGAACATCGGCAGCAGAGGGAGCGCGGAAGCCACCCTGAGAGGGATCCGGCATGATAATCCACCAAGATGCACTGTAAAATTGGCCAGCCTAATAGCCGTTAGCCCCATTTTTCTGAAACACCCGGGAAGCTGAAGGATGACATACCAAAGCCATAATCTCCCGAACCGTGCGCTCGACGTGCAAAACCTCCGAACCCTGAATGCGGACGAGGCCACGCTGACTGCCCAGCTGCGGGAACAAGACGTAGGAACCGTTCATCTCCATGACCTTGCGGACCTTATCAAGACGGTCAAGCAGAATGTTGTCAATCTTGTTAGAGTTGACAATGACATCCTTGACATAGATCTTGACACCCATGACCAACTCTCGCAACTTTTGTTTGGCGCGGGCAATCTGCTCAGGAGCGTCACCAGTAATGTAAACCTCATCCTCAGCGCGACGGTGAGCACCCGGAGGCGTGTATCCAAAGATTCGTGGGAACGGAGGAGGGAAGTAGATGGCGGTGCCGGTGGCCGCTTCGATGAGCTTGATGTTCTTGCGGGTGCGACCGCAGACCAAGGTGTGCATTGTGAGCTCGAGCTTCAGGGCGTCGACGTGGCGTTTGAGCTAGTAGCATGTTAGCATGCGAAAGCACCTCATCAAGACAATGATGATATGCTTACAATCTGGTCAATCATAATCAACACGCGGGTCTTTGCATGCTCCGCACTCTCCATGTCTCCATAAATCGCGACTCGGAATCGGTGGTCGAGGCCATTGTCGGAAGCGTAGCCATAAGACGAAACCACGGCGCTGTCGGTATCCCGAACCTTGGGGGTCAACAGGAAGATGTCGGTTCCGGTATAGGCGGCCAAGGTGTCTAAGTGTTCCAGCACACTCGCACGAATTCCTTTGGTCGAACCATCCATGATGAGATGCATATCCACGTCCACCGTCGCACATCGCTACCAGAATTAGTTACAAATGTCACCGCAAGAAGGGAAAAAAAGGAAACGTACCAAGAGAATTGGAGTCTCGTTGAGAATCTTCGCCCGCATTTTGCGCACCGTCTCTCCCTCACCCGTAATACAGACATTGGTCACGAGACTTTGAGGTCGTCGTTGGAGGGAGGGAACGACTTTCGGCTCCGAGGTGGTGACGGTGGCCTCGATCCGGCCAGCACTGGACTCTGTGATTTGACGACAGAGTCTCCGCAAGGACTCGACATTACTAACATGAACCGGTAATAGATGAACGGGGGTGCCTTCCGGGGTGCCTTCGGGAAAAGACCAGCGCTGGAGAGCGCCAGGACTGGCGTGGATCACATCCTCAGCGTCGGGACCGGCCAAAGTGGAGGAAAACGGCACATTCATGGACAGATTGACGGTGGGATCGATACCGGTCGGAGGAGTCATTGGGGGCGCGCCATGGGGCCGACGGAGAGAGTGGGAGGCCAGATCGGTATGAGGCCTGGACATGCTAAAGGTTGGAGTCATGCGTTCCCAGCCATGACGGGCCTGGCCGGTAAAATTGGAAATCTTGTGCATGGCCAGAACGTTGGATGGACCGAGTCTCTTACCCCCTTAGATCGAAACGATTTCGATGGGGGAAAGAGATGATGATGATGATGATGATGATGATGATGGATGAATGAATGATAGGAGAGGATTCGACAAAGTGAGTGGGAGACAAGACACGGTTTGGCGCGGGGAGGACGACCAGCAACAGCAGCAGAGAAGAATCGAAAGAATAATAAAAGTCGAGACCAGCGAAAAGAGAAAAAAAAAAAAAAAAAGAGAGAGAAAATAACAGTCGAGGGTTCGACAGGGATAGATTATTGGTGGAAAGTAAAGAGAATGAGAGTGTGGGAGTGTCAGAGAGAAAGTGAGAAGAGAGGAATGAGAGGAGCGCGGCTGAGCAGGAATTGGGGGGGGGGGATTCCGCGGAATGTCACAGGTCAAGAAAAAAATAAAATAAGGGAATAAAGGGAAGAGAAAAATATAAGAAAATTGGGGAAAAATCAGATGAATTTGAGTTGCAGAAATGAA